TGGGGAGGGAACAGCAAAGTGCTCTAATAATGAGGAAGGGAGGGCCTGAAATTTGTTTTGTTTGCGGAACAGGCATGGATTCAGGTAGTAACATGAATGCTCACCCATCTTCTGTAATTCAGTGGCTACTGAATTCACTTGCCTGGAATGGTCTGGGTGGTCTGAGGGAGGACATGACTTCACACACACAGGATACACCAAGGGTGATTCCTGAGAATTGAAGTGAAAATCTCAGATGCCATCTCCACGAGAAAGGGAAATCATAGGATTTTTTTTTTTTTTTTTTTTTTTGAGATGGAGTTTCGCTCTTGTTACCCAGGCTGGAGTGCAATGGCGCGATCTCGGCTCACTGCAACCTCCGCCTCCTGGATTCAGGCAATTCTCCTGCCTCAGCCTCCTGAGTAGCTGGAATTACAGGTACGTGCTACCATGCCCAGCTAATTTTTTATATTTTTAGTAGAGACGAGGTTTCACCATGTTGACCAGGATGGTCTCGATCTCTTGACCTCGTGATCCACCCACCTCGGCCTCCCAAAGTGCTGGGATTACAGGCGTGAGCCACTGTGCCCGGCAGGATTTTTTAAATTAATTAATTAATTTTTTAAATTGCATTTTAGGTTTTGGGGTACATGTGAAGAACATGCAGAATTGTTGCTTAGGTACACTCATGGCAGTGTGGTTTGCTGCCTTCCTCCCCTTCACCTATATCTGGCATTTCTCCCCATGCTATCTCTCCCCAACTCCCCACCCCCGTCCCTCCCGTTTCCCCACAACAGACCCCAGTGTGTAGCGCTCCCCTCCCTGTGTCCATGTGTTCTCATTGTTCAACACCCGCCTGTGAGTGAGAACATGTGGTGTTTGATTTTCTGTTCTTGTGTCAGTTTGCTGAGAATGATGGTTTCCAGGTTCATCCATGTCGCTACAAACGACACGAACTCATTGTTTTTGATGGCTGCATAATATTCCATGCTGTATATGTGCCACATTTTCCCTGTCCAGTCTATCATCGATGGGCATTTGGGTTGGTTCCAGGTCTTTGCTATTGTCAACTGTGCTGTAATGAACATTCATGTGCATGTGTCCTTATAGTAGAATGATTTGTAGTCCTTTGGATATATACCCAGTAATGGGATTGCTGGGTCAAATGGAATTTCTATTTCTAGGTCCTTGAGGAATCGCCACACTGTCTTCCATGGGACTTTTTTTTTTACCGGGTTGTAATTTGGTAGCCAACATATAAAACTATATTAATTTTTACCAGGTTTTCTTTGAGCCCAGGAGCCATGTTTTACAAATCTTGCAAACGAGCAACTCGTCACTCAGCACATAGTGGATGCTCAAGAAAGATGTTGTTGATTCAGGCTGTGGGTACCACACACTAGACGGCAGGGTGAGCTGCAGACTGCGGTGGGTGTGGGCTGACAACTCGGCATGGGATAGAAAGTTTGCTTTCTTTTTTTTTTTTTTTGAGACTGAGTTTTGCTCTTGTTACCCAGGCTGGAGTGCAATGGCACGATGTTGGCTCACTGCAACTCCGCCTCCTGGGTTCAGGCAATTCTCCTGCCTCAGCCTCCTGAGTAGCTGGGATTACAGGCACGCACCACCATGCCCAGCTGATTTTTTGTATTTTTAGTAGAGATAGGGTTTCACCGTGTTGACCAGGATGGTCTCGATCTCTTAACCTTGTGATTCACCCGCCTCGGCCTCCCAAAGTGCTGGGATTATAGGCGTGAGCCACTGCGCTCGGCCAGAAAGTTTTCTTTCTTTTCTTTTTCTTTTTTTGTTTTTCTTTCCCCCATAGACAGGGTCTCGCTATGTTGTCCAGGCTGGTCTCAAACTCCTGGGCTCAAACAGTCCTCCCAAAGTACTGGCATTACAGGTGTAAGTCACTGTGGCCACTGAGATGAGTGCTTTCTATTTTTTTTCTTTTTTTTAGATGGAGTTTCGCTGTTGTTACCCAGGCTGGAGTGCAATGGCGCAATCTCGGCTCACCGCAACCTCTGCCTCCTGGGTGCAGGTAATTCTCCTGCCTCAGCCTCCTGAGTAGCTGGGACTGCAGGCACACACTACCATGTCCAGCTAATTTTTGTATTTTTAGTAGAGATGGGGTTTCATCATGTTGACCAGGATGGTCTTGATCTCTTGACCTCGTGATCCACCTGCCTCGGCCTCCCAAAGTGCTGGGATTATAGGTGTGAGCCACCGTGCCCGGCCTTGTGTTTTCCATTTTTAAAAAAAATTAGGCCCGGGCACGGTGGCTCATGCCTGTAATCCCAGCTACTCGGGAGGCTGAGGCAGGAGAATTGCCTGAACCCAGGAGGCAGAGGTTGTGGTGAGCCAAGATCGCACCATTGCACTCCAGCCTGGGTAACAAGAGCGAAACTCAGTCTCAAAAAAAAAAAAAAAACAACTAATTATTTTATTTATTTTGAGACAGAGTCTCACTCTGTTGCCCAGGCTGGAGTGCAATGACATGATATTGGTTCACTGCAACCTCCGTCTCCCGGGGTTCAAGAAATTCTCCTGCCTCCCGAATAGCTGAAACTACAGGCCTGCACCACCACACCTGGCTAATTTTTGTATTTTCATTAGAGATGGGGTTTCACTGTCTCAAACTCCTGACCTTAGGTGATCTGTCCGCCTCGGCCGCCCAAAGTGTTGGGATTTCAAAGACAAAAGGTTAAAAAAAAAAAAAAAGTGTTGGGATTACAGGTGTGCACCACCACGCCCAGCTGATTTTTGTGTTTTCAGTAGAGAAGGGGTTTCACCATGTTGGCCAGGCTGGTCTTGAACTCCTGACCTCAGGTGGTCCGCCCGCCTCGGCCTCCCAAAGTGCTGAGATTTCGGACCTGAGCTACTGCATCCAGCTAGAAGACATAACTTTTAGAGGCTCCAGGATCTGGGTACAGAGCAAAAGGCAGGGCAGTTTGGGAGTGGGTTGCAGAGAACCCCAAGGGAAAAGCTGAAGAAGAGGAGGGGAGACTAGGCCTGCCTGCATGGGGAGGGAGGAGGGAATTCCCAGCTCCAGCCTGATCTGCCTGGCTCCAGCGAAGCCGGCTGTTTCCTGCCCTCAGTGACCCACCCCCCAACCCTGGCCAAGGACCCAGGCAGAACAGCAAGGAAGGGCAGTGGTGTGGGGACCACCTCTTGCAGCAGGAAGATAAGTAAGCTGGGACAAGAGGTTATCACAGGCCCGCTGTCCTCTCTGGGACGTAAGGGCCCTGGCAGCCCCCCAAACATCCTGGACTCCAGCGTCTCTCTTGCTGGGCTCTTCAAGATTCTGTCTCCCAGCCGAGGGCGGTGGCTCTTGTCTGTAATCCCAGTACTTTGGGAGGCCAAGGTGGGTGGATCACTTGAGGTCAGGAGTTCAAGACCAGCTTGGCCAACATGCAAAACCCTGTCTCTACTAAAAATAGAAAAACTAGCCAGGGGTGGTGGCAGGCGTCTGTAATCCCAGCTACTTGGGAGGCTGAGGCAGAATGGCTTGAATCCGGGAGTCGGAGGTTGCAGTGAGCTGAGATCGTGCCGCTGTACCCCAGCCTGGGCGACTGAGACTCCATCTCAAAAAAGAGAGAGAGAGAGATCGATTCTGTCTGGGTAATTCCTTTCGGAGTCTAAGTCCTTTTCTTCTGCCCCTTGCAGGGGTTGACTCCTGGAGCAGCACCTCCTCCAATCCATCCACCCAGTAACCCATAGAAGTAGGAGGGGGTTGGTGGGAGGAGCACCGCTGTGGTGGACCCTCCCCGCTAACTGATGGGAGGGTGAAGGGAGCTGGCAATGAGAGGAAGGGCCCCTCCCAGCCATCCCGAGGGCCCCCAGGAGCCAGACAGGAAACAGCTCAGGAAAGACAGCAGCAGCCTCAGGGGTCGTGGCTGCGGGCGGCGGGGGAAGCCCCCCCAAAACACGAGAGTGAGAGTGAGAAGGGCTATTTGGAGATCTACCCGGACCCCTCACCCTCTCGGACACACCCACTTTTTCTTTCTTTCTTTTTCTTTTTTTTGTTGTTTTGTTTTTGAGAGGGAGTCTCGCTCTGTAGCCAAGGCTGGAATGCAGTGGGGGGAAATCTCTACTCACTGCAACCTCCGCCTCCCGGGTTCAAGCGATTCTCCTGCCTCAGCCTCCCGAGTAGCTAGGATTACAGGCGTGCGCCACCATGTCCAGCTAATTTTTGTATTTTTAGTAGAGTCCAGGTTTCACCATGTCGGCCAGGCTAGTCTTGAACTCCTGACTTTGTGATCTGCCCGCCTCTGCCTCCCAAAGTGCTGGGATTACAGGCGTGAGCCATCGCCCCCGGCCACACCCACCTTTTCTTTACCGTTGCTTCCGCGATTTTTCTCTATTTATCCCCAGGTCAGCTTAATGCCCGCCCCCTCTGTACATTTTTAAGGGCTCGGTTGCGCGCACAGTAGGTCCCCAACACTTAATGTTTATGGGGTGACTGTGTGAACGTTCACTGCAAAGTTTTCCAAACTAGGATTCCTCCTTCGGACCCCTAGGCAGCCCTCCATTCTCCAAAGCTTCTGCCCCTTTTTCCTTCCCTTTCCCCCTCAAACGCAGTCCCTGCGCCCACTAGAGGGTGATGGGCGCATCCAAGAGCGGCATCTGGAGTCCGCAGCAAGGTCAGAGCCGGCTTTGTGTGCGCGGGGAACATCTACCCGCACTCCAGAGCGGCCCCCTGTGTTGCTGCTGGGTGTGTATTTTCTCTGCTCCCTGGTGCCAGCCGGGTTCGGGCCTGTCCCGGGGGGTCCCTGGGCCCCAGCCCCAACATGCTCCGTCCAGGACAGGGCGCACGGCCTCGGCGCACATCTGGGCGGTCCCGGGGTTCCACGCCCGCTGCCCCTCCCCCTTTTCCAAACTTTCTCCCAACTTCCCGACCTGCTCCGCTCGGCGCCCCTCTCCGCTTCCCTCATGAATTATTCATTAGCATGAGCTCCAATCAGCGCGCCCCAGGCCCCTTCGCCGAGCCCCGGCGTAGGGGGAGCTGCCCCGCCCCCCGCGCGTTCCCTCCCTCCCGGGCCCGACGCCGCCCGGCCCAGTCCCCGCGCTGCTCAGCCCCGGCCCGGCCCGCCTGGCCCCGCGCCGCAGTCTCCCTCCCTCCCGCTCTGTCCCCGCTCGGGCTCCCACCCTCCCCGCCCGAGAGGAGAGCAGTCGGCCCGGCGGCGCGAATAGCGCCACTCCTGGGAGGGGGGGAGACCGCGAGCGGCCGGCTCAGCCCCCGCCAGCCGGGGCGGGACCCTGAGGCCCGGGAGGGACCCCAACTCCAGCCACGTCTCCCTGCGCGCCGGCCCGGCGTGGCCACTGCCAGCACGCCCCGGGCCCGCCGCCGGTGCGCGCGGAGTAGACGCGGGGCCACACTTGGGCGCCTCACCCGGTGCCCCGCGCGCTCGCATGGGCCCGCGCTGAGGGCCCCGACGGAAAGTCCCGCGCGGAGAATCGGCGTCCACTCGCCCAAGGAGAATCAGAGCTGGGGGGGCGAGGGCCCCCCAAACTCGGATCGGATCCTAACCGAGTGAGGCGGCGCCATGGAGCTCCGGGCGCTGCTCTGCTGGGCTTCTCTGGCCGCTGCTTTGGAAGGTGAGTTTCCTTGGGGGGGGCACCCCGTCACTCCTGGGGCCTCTCCCCCACATCTGGGCCACGGAGTGGAGGGGCCGTCCTCTGTCTATCCCTACCCGGACACCCCAATCCCAAACACTTCGGACCAATAGTGCTGGAACGGGAGGGGGGCGGGGAAGAGGCGCCCGGCGGGGAGTGGAGTTTTCTTTTGTTTGGGAAAGAGATGGAGTCTGGCTGCGACCCGGGACATTCCCCTGCCCGGGCTCCCCAAACTCTCACTGCTGACTCCAGACGCCCCTGGCAGCCTTTCCTTTCCTCCCTACCCCACTGTTCAAAACTACTGCAAAGTTTCTGTCCCACTCCCACCTCCCGCCCTACGTGAGGGAACGTTTCTGGAGGAGCAACAGCAGACAAGGCAGAACTTGGTGCTGGGCTCTAAAACGACGCCCGCCGCTAATTCCCTAGCGATCACACCTTGATCCTACAGTTCCACACTCCTGCAACAGGATGGCCTCCTTTGCGTTCACACCCCGAACACCCAAACTGCTCTCCAGCCCACTGCCCTGCCCTGCTAGAGTGGCCCCTTGGTTTCTACAGGCTGCACCCCATCCCTTTAAATGCCGTCTAGACCCCCGCCTCAGGTGAGCCCTGGGCTTCCCTGGAGACCTAGGAGCCGGTAGAAAGGGACCCGCACGGCCCCCACGTCGCCCTAACACAGCCTAACTCCAGCCTCCTGGTCTCCAAGTGTTTCCTCGGCCATGGGTCGCTGTCCCTCCTGGTCCCCTAGAGGGGAGCCAAGAGCCCTAGAAACCCTCCTATGTCCCTAATCTCCTTTACGTGAGCTGCCAACACCTCCCTTTCGCTATCTGGTATGAAAGGGGTCTCTGGCGGGGGATAGGCTATGGGGGGCTCCTGAAAGGAAGGATTCAGCGGTGTTGGAAAAACCCTCTCCCCCAAGCTGGGGAGGACTGCTCTGGGCTGAGGCTCGAAGCCTGGGTGTGGGGTGGGAGTGAGGGGAGGCTTGCCAGCTCAGAGAAAGGAAAAGGGAAAATCGTGGAGGAAGAGGTGGGAAAACCACGAGGACGAGGTGTGGTGAGAAGAAAGACACAGGCAAAGAGAAAATGGTGATTGTGACACCTGGGCAAGCATCCTGCCTGTGCTGAGCACCTTACAAATGTTAATTTCACGCCTCCAGCAACACTGAGGGTGGGCGCTGTCATTGGCCCCAGTTTTCAGATGAGGAGGCTGGGGCTTAGTTAAGGTTAAGTAGTTTATCCAAAGCCCTGTGCCTGGAGGAATGCCGAGCAGTGGAGGTAGAAAGAGAAGGAGAGATAGTGACTGTCAGAAAGAGAAATGGAGGTGGACAGAGGGTGGGGGAGAGGTGAGAGACGCGAGAACTGACAGATCAAAGCGTGCTGCGGCCGAGCTGGGATGCGGAGAGGGAGCCCGCACTTGCTCCGGGCTGTGGACTACCCGAGGCAGAGACAGTGTGTAAATTGGAGACAGGAAAACACTATCCCGGCTGGAACAATGGAGGGTGGAGACGGCAGCCTCTATCCACCCCCTTCCCAGAACCCGGGCATCCTGTCCCCAGTGAGCAGGGCTGTCTCTTGCCATCCATGGGGACCCTGCACCTCTCACCTCAAGCTGGCTGGGTTCCCATCTGACCCCTGGCGGGAGGACATCATTTGGTCCCCGGGAAGAGGCTGCCTCACCCACCCTCTTTCCCTTCTGTCCTGCAGCCCCCGTGGGGTGGGAGGTGGTTCCAGGTGTTCTCCTGGCTCCCCTCTCCACCCGATGCCCCCCCACATTGCCGGCCCCCAAGGGGATTCCCCTACCCTCCCTCCTCCTCTCTCCACTGCCAGGGGCTGTGCAGTTTTTCCTAATCCTCCTCCCTTCAGTGCCTGTCCCCTCCCCTGATGATTTGAACCAAGCCAGGTGTGTTCATCCCTCCCATTCCACACTGCCCCCCCAGAATCTCCTCCCCTTTGCCTTTCCATAACCAAATCCAGATGTGAGGCCTCTGCGGGAGCCACAGTGGGAACCCTAGCTTCCCTCCCTCCAGCGCCTCCTGCTCTTGGCACTGGCAGGGAAGGAGGTGCTGGGGTGGGGGTCAGGGCTATGCCCCAGGCACGGAGCACCCCCTTCCAGGAGAGAAGGATGAGGTGTTTGGTCTGAAAGCAGGGAGGGGTCTTGGACAGGGAGTGAAGTTTTGGGGCCTCCCACACCAGCACCAGCAGCCTCTGCTCGTGGGGGTCAGGACCTGGGCAGAGCTCTCATTTGAACCTTTTCTGAGCTGCCGCCCCTTCTCCCAATACGTTTTGTTCTCCCTCCCTCCTCCAGGGAGGCTTAGATCTGGGGTATTCCGAGGGAGCCCCATGTGTGCCAGATGTTGGGGCTGGGGTTGGCACTTAGCAAAAGAGGCCAGAAATCAGTCGGGTGTAGAGGGCAAGGCTTGCTCCCTTCTCCCTCCCATCCCAGCTCGGAGCTAAGAGGATCCACCTGCCTCGGTTTTCAGGGATCTGGTGTTCCTGACTTCCCTCCCCCACCCCAAGCACTGACTTTGTCTCTGTCTCTGTCTCAGAGACCCTGCTGAATACAAAATTGGAAACTGCTGATCTGAAGTGGGTGACGTTCCCTCAAGTTGATGGGCAGGTGAGAGCTGGGCCCAGGAGCTGGAGCTCTGGAGGAAACTAAGGGAGGAGGGGGTGCGCTTGCTGCCTGCTTTCTGTGTACCCCTCCTCACCCCTGTCCCCCAGATGACAGTGGCCCAAGCAGTGTCATCTGAGCCCTTGCCCTCAGAGGCGCCCTCTGAACAGTCCTTCCTCAGTCCCTCTCAGTTTATGGGGTTCACCGCATGCAGCCTTCTCCCTGACCCCCTTCTCTGCAGTGGGAGGAGCTGAGCGGCCTGGATGAGGAGCAGCACAGCGTGCGTACCTACGAGGTGTGTGATGTGCAGCGCCCCCCGGGCCAGGCCCACTGGCTCCGCACAGGCTGGGTCCCACGGCGGGGCGCCGTCCACGTGTACGCCACGCTGCGCTTCACCATGCTGGAGTGTCTGTCCCTGCCTCGGGCCGGGCGCTCCTGCAAAGAGACTTTCACCGTCTTCTACTATGAGAGCGACGCTGACACGGCCACGGCCCTCACACCTGCCTGGATGGAGAACCCCTACATCAAGGTACCCAGGCGCCCCTGGGGCTCAGCCACAGCCAAGGCGGAATTCCTAATGAGCAGGCCTGTGGCCTAGAGGGCAGCCAATGCAGTTCCCAGGCCTCTGGTCAGGGCGCTGGGGGCCAGAAGCAGGAGGCTGAGCTATGGGGAGGGAAGCAGTTGGTCTTCTGGGTGGAGCAGCAGAATATCTGGGGGCTGCCTGGCCAGGCCCCCAGGGAGACCCAGGCCTGAGGCCTCCAGTGACCTCTGCCACCCTATCCCACCACGCTCCAGCCACGCGGAGCTGCTCCGTTCCCTGACCGTACCTGGCTGGTTTCCAGCTCCGGACTTTGCTGCAGTCTCCACCTAGGGGCCTTCTCTGTGCCTCTCACACCCCTAGTTGTCTTCCAGGTTTCAGCTCCGAGATCTCTCCTGTGCCGCCTTGGCAGATTCTTCCCTGTGGTCCTGCAGATCTCTGTCCACCTGTCTGTCTTGGCACTCATTTCACTTTATTAACTTTTTTTAAAATTTTTTAAATTTTTGAGACAGAATCTCACTGCTACCCAGGCTGGAGTGCAGTGTCTCAGTCTTGGCTCACTGCAACCTCCATCTCCCTTCCTCTTTAGAGCAATTCTCTGCCTCAGCCCCACTGAGATTACGGGTGCACACCACCGTGCCCCACTAATTCTTTTTTGTGTTTTTAGTAGAGATGGGGTTTCACTATCTTGGGCACATTGGTCTTGAACTCCTGACCTCAGCTGATCCACCCGCCTCGGCTTCACAAAGTGCTGGGATTACAGGCGTGAGCCACCGTGCCCCGCCTGTTTATTTTTATTTTATATCTATATTTTTAAAATGGGGTCTTGCTATGTTGCCCAGGCTGGTATTGAACTCCTGGGCTCAAGTAATTCTGCCTCAGCCTCCCAAAGTGCTAGGATTACAAGCCTGAGGCACCACGCCCGGCCTCAGGATACTGTAACTTCCCTAGGATTCATTTACTTCTGTCTCCTTGACTCTGAGATCAAAGCCTGGCATGGCGTCAGTGCCAGTAAATGTTTGTAGAACAAGTGACTGAAAAGGGGCAGGCTGGAGTTTGGGCACATTACAGAAGCTTTGCAAGGATGAATGGACAGTGCAGGGGCTGCAGAAAGTGTGTCCTGGGGAAGGTGGGAGAAGGTTCTGGAACAGGAATGGAGGAGGTCCGGGAGGGTGAGCTGGGAAGCACATGACAGTCCACTGGATCCTCAGGGAGTGGGACAGCAGTGGTATCTCCCCCACACTGGCAGGTGGACACGGTGGCCGCCGAGCATCTCACCCGGAAGCGCCCTGGGGCGGAGGCCACCGGGAAGGTCAATGTGAAGACGCTGCGCCTGGGACCGCTCAGCAAGGCCGGCTTCTACCTGGCCTTCCAGGACCAGGGCGCCTGCATGGCCCTGCTGTCCCTGCACCTCTTCTACAAGAAGTGTGCCCAGCTGACTGTGAACCTGACCCGCTTCCCGGAGACCGTGCCTCGGGAGCTGGTCGTGCCCGTGGCCGGGAGCTGCGTGGTGGATGCCGTCCCCGCCCCTGGCCCCAGTCCCAGCCTCTACTGCCGTGAGGACGGCCAGTGGGCCGAGCAGCCGGTCACGGGCTGCAGCTGTGCTCCGGGGTTCGAGGCAGCTGAGGGGAACACCAAGTGCCGAGGTGAGAGCTGGAGCATCCCCTGAGAATGCTGCTCATCCAGGGGGAGAGTCCTGAACAAACGCCATGAACTCCACTCTTGGACCCACGTTTGTTTTTTTTTTCGGAGACCATGTCTTGCTCTGTCGCCCAGGCTGCAATGCAATGGCATAGTCTAGGCTCACTGCACCCTCTGCCTCCCGGGTTCATGCAATTGTTCTGCCTCAGCCTCCCAAGCAGCTGGGATTACAGGCACCCACCACCTTGCCCAGCTAATTTTGTATTTTCAGTAGAGACAGGGTTTCACCATGTTGGCCAGGCTGGTCTCAAGCCCCTGACCTTGTGATCCACCCGCCTCAGCCTCCTAAAGTGCTGGGATTACAGGCATGAGCCACTACGCCTAGCCCAGACCCATTTCTTAAGTTTCCATTTTATTTATTTAGTTAGTTTTTGAGATGGAGTCTCCCTCTTCACCTAGGCTGGAGTACAGTGGAGTGATCTTGGCTTACTGCAACCAGGTTCAAGCGATTCTCCTGCCTCAGCCTCTGGAGTAGCTGGGATTACAGGCGCACACCACCACACCCGGCTAATTTTGTATTTTTAGTAGAGACTGGGTTCACCATGTTAAGCAGGCTAGTCTCAAACTCCTGACCTCGGGATCTGCCCACCTTGGCCTCCCAAAGTGGGATTACGGGCGTGAGCCGACACCCGGCCAAGTTTCCGTTTTAAATGTTCTTCCCTCTCCTGAGGTTACTAGAGGGTGGATCTGTTTTCTGGGCTCTTTCTCATTTCCAGACTTCTCTGGAAGCCTGGCCAACTTCCCTGCTTGCCGACCACGGGAGGCTGGCCTGGGCTGCAGGACTGTCCTGTGGGGGGACCTTGTTGATGTCCGGACAAAGCCATCAAGTTCTCCCTACTTGTTCGTTGTGAGTCTCCTCTAATCTGCTGATACTGAATTCTCACATAGCCTTCCCTCTAGACAAGGGCTTCTTACCCTATGGTTTTCTAGGGAATCTGTGAGCTTTGGTGGAAGAAAAAAAATGACGTTATTTTTTTTTGAGACAGAGTCTTGCTCTGTCACCAAGGCTAGCGTGCAGTGAGTGGCACAATCTCAGCTCACTGCAGCCTCCACCTCCCAGGTTCAAGTGATTCTCCTGCCTCGACCTCCCGAATAGCTGGGATTATAGGAGTGATTTTAGTAGAGATGGGGTTTCACCACGTTGGCCAGGTAGACCTTGAACTCCTGACCTCAAGTGATCTACCCAATTCAGCCGCCTCCTTAGGAAAAAAAACATAACAGGTATTTACAGCCCATTCCAAGTGCCTCGAGAATCTCAAAACGTTTTGGTCAGGATGACTTCAGTACTACAGAGGTTAGGAGACCTGCTGCTGCCTCTTAATAAAAACTCAAATGTTGTTGTAGCCCACACTTTTTTCTTTGTGTTTCAATCATTGCATTTCAGCTTAATTGGTTTCCCTGGTATTGCTATGTATTTTGTGGTGTGCGTTCGAAGTCATAATCTGGAGTAGAGGTCTTTCTGTGGGCTTCACCAGACTACCAAGATCAGGGTCAAGAAAGGTTAGGACCGCTTCTCTGGGGAGAGAGTCTCCTTTCTCCTCTTAAGAGGTGAGGTTTTGAGATCTTCCTTCCATTTTCCCACCTTAGCACTTCGTCAGCCTTAAAAGCAGCTGGATTTTATTTTTAAGAGATGGGATCTCACTCTGTCGCCCAGGCTAAAGTGCAGTGGCGCCATCTCTGCTCACCGCAACTCCGCTTCCCGGTTCAAACAATTTTCCTGTCTCAGCCTCCCAAGTAGCTGGTACTACCGGCGCCCACCACCACACCCAGCTAATTTTTTTGCATTAGTAGAGATGGGGTTTCACTGTTAGCCAGGATGGTCTCGATCTCCTGACCTCGTGATCCACCCACCTTGGCCTCCCAAAGTGCTGAGATTACAGGTGTGAGCCACTGCACCTGACACTTGCCCAGGCTGGTCTTGAACCCCTTGGCTCAAGCAACCCTCCAGCCTCGGCCTCCCAAAGTGCTGGCATTACAGACTTGTGCCACCAGGCCCACCGTGCAGGTGGATGTTTTGTGCATACTGTTGATGAATGCTTTCTTTCTCCCTCCCTCTCTCTCTCAGCCTGTGCCCAGGGCACCTTCAAGCCCCTGTCTGGAGAAGGGTCCTGCCAGCCATGCCCAGCCAACAGCCATTCTAACACCATCGGATCAGCTGTCTGCCAGTGCCGCATTGGGTACTTTCGGGCACACACAGACCCCCGGGGTGCGCCCTGCACCAGTAAGTGACCAGCACTCAGGTGCAGTTCATTGGGGAGGGATCGGAGACCCCTGAGATGGGCCCCGACGTGACCCCCATCCTCCCGGACTTCCTTCCTTTGCCTCTGGCATGCTGCTCCTTAGCTCCAAGGTGAACCCTGCTGTCTCCAAGGCAAGAGGCCAGCATGGCTGCTGGCCCCTCCACTGCCCTCTCGCCACTGCTGTGGAGCAGGTCGGCCTCTGTCTGACCGCCGCTCCCCCCGCTCCCCTCTCTCCTGCAGCCCCTCCCTCGGCTCCACGGAGCGTGGTTTCCCACCTGAACGGCTCCTCCCTGCACCTGGAGTGGAGCGCCCCCCTCGAGTCAGGCGGCCGAGAGGACCTCACCTACGCTCTCCGCTGTCGGGAGTGCCGACCTGGAGGTTCCTGTGCGCCCTGCGGGGGAGACCTGACCTTCGATCCCCGTACCCGGGACCTGGTAGAACCCTGGGTGATGGTTCGAGGCCTGCGTCCTGACTTCACCTATGCCTTTGAGGTCACTGCGTTGAACGGGGTGTCCTCCTTAGCCACAGGGCCCGTCCCATTTGAGGCTGTCAATGTCACCACGGACCGAGAGGGTGAGACTTAGGGGCTGGGGCAGCTGGTCGTCCGGCGGGAGGGATGTCACTGAGAGCCTGAAGGGAGAGGCAGGGGCTATGAAGTGGGGTTCCCAGGAATTGCGAGCAGTCAAGGCTTTGGGGGCAAGAGGCAGAAAGAGGGCAAGGGGTGGGCATAGTGGCTCACTCCTGTAATCCCAGCACTTTTGGAGGCTGAGACAGGTGGATCACTTGAGCCCTGGAGTTCAAGACCAGCCTGGGAAACATAGGAAAACCTTGTTTTCACAAAAAATAAAAATATCACCCAGGTGAGGCAGTCCATACCTGTGGTCCCAGCTACTCAAGAGGCTGAGGTGAGAGGATCACTTGAGTCCCGGGAGTTGGAGGCTGCAGTGAGCTGTGATCACACCACTGCACTCCAGCCTGGGCGCAGAGCAAGACCCTCTCTCAAAATAAACGAATAAGAAAGAGAGGGTAAGGAGAACGGAAAGGTGGGCGGGAGAGTTCTGCAAATGGGACTGGGGGGCAGAAAGAATCAGAAGGAATTCTTGAAACAGCCAGGGGGAATCAGACAAGCGTATCCAGCAGAGAAAGTGCTGGAAAAGATAAGGGACATGGTCAGGCTGATCAGGAGGTCAGTAGTTCAACACTAGCCTGGCCAACATGGTGAAATCCCATCTCTACTAAAAATAAAAAATTTAGGGCTGGGCGTAGTGGCTCACGCTTCTAATCCCAGCACTTTGGGAGGCCAAGGCGCATGGATCACCTGAGGTCAGGAGTTCAAGATCAACCTAGCCAACATGGTGAAACCCTATTTCTACTAAAAATTAAAAAATTAGCCAGGTGTGGTGGTGGGTGCCTATAATCCACTTGGGAGGCTGAAGTAGAAGAACTGCTTGAACCTGGGAGGTGGAAGTTGCAGTGAGCCAAGATTGTACCACTGCATTCCAGCCTGGGTGGCAGAGCAAGATGCTGTCTCGGAAAAAAAAAATCCAAAAATTTAAAAAGATAAAGGACAGACGAGCATGCATAAGGGTTCCCTGTGTCTCTGCTTCTCACAGTACCCCCTGCAGTATCCGACATCCGGGTGATGAGGTCCTCACCCAGCAGCTTGAGCTTGGCATGGGCTGTTCCCCGGGCACCTAGTGGAGCTGTGCTGGACTACGAGGTCAAGTACCATGAGAAGGTGAGGCCAACCCGTGCCCCGGGAGTGGGTGGGCAGTGGGTTGTGCTCTCCCAGCGGGGATATCTGTGTTGCAGACACCTAGCAGGCATTTAAATTCCAGCTCTGCCATGGATTCTCTGGGCTGCCCTGGGTAAGCCTCTTGGCCTATCTGAGCCTCGGACACCTTGTCTATATAATAGTTACTGTGACAGTACCAGGCACACGTGGCCAGTACAGTGGCTCAGGTCATGTGTGGTGGCCAAGCCTGTAATACCCAGCACTTTGGGAAGCTGAGACGGGCAGACTGCTTGAGCCTAGGAGTTTGAGGCCAGCCTGGGCAACATGGTGAAACCTCATATCTATAAAAAATTTAAAATGAAAAAAAAAAAATTAGACTGGGCACAATGGCTCACACCTATAATCCCAGCACTTTGGGAGGCCGAGGCAGGTAGAACACCTGGGGTCAGGAGTTCGAGATCTGCCTGGCCAACATGGTGAAACCCCATCTCTACAAAAAAATACCAAAATTAGCCAGGCGCACTGGTGGGTCCCTGTAATCCCAGCTACTTAGGAAGCTGAGGCAGGAGAATCACTTGAACGAAAGATGCAGAGGTTTCAGTGAGCCAAGATTGCACCACTGCACTCCAGCCTGGACAACAGAGTGAGATTCTGTCCCAAAAAATATTAGCCAGGCATGGGGGCATGTGCCTGTGGTACCAGCTACTTGGGAGGCTGAGGTGGGAATATCACTTGAGCCCAGGAGGTTGAGGCTGCAGTGAGCTGTGTTTGGGTCACTGCACTCAAGCCTGACTGACAGAGTGGGACCTTGTCTTTGAAAAAAAAAGATATTATGAATGCACAGCACATGGCTTGCACACGTAAGTTCTCCCAAAGGCCTTGCCAGCTGCCAGGCAGGCTAGTGATGTGAGCGCAGGGTGAGGGGAGGAGGCAAGAAGAGCAGCAGGAACTTGGGCCCTGGGTGACAGCCAGTCCCCTCCTTCTCCTGGACAGGGCGCCGAGGGTCCCAGCAGCGTGCGGTTCCTGAAGACATCAGAAAACCGGGCAGAGCTGCGGGGGCTGAAGCGGGGAGCCAGCTACCTGGTGCAGGTGCGGGCACGCTCTGAGGCCGGCTACGGGCCCTTCGGCCAGGAGCATCACAGCCAGACCCAACTGGATGGTGAGCCTGGGGAAGAGGGTGAGGGTGGGGGGTTGGAAAGACCCCCAAAGTTGCTGGAAAGACCCCAATGTGCCATCTTTTTTTTTTTTTTTTTTTTTTTTTGAGACGGAGTCTTGCACGGGCTGGAGTATAGTGGCGAGATCTCGGCTCACTGCAACCTCTGCCTCCTGGGTTCGAGCGATTCTCCTGATTTGGCCTCCCGAGTAGCTGGGATTGCAGGTGTGCGCTACCATGCCCAGCTAATTTTTTGGACTTTTAGTAGAGACCAGGTTTCACCTCATGATTAGCCCGCCTCGGCCTCCCAAAGTGCTGGGATTACAGGCATGAGCCACCGTGCCCGGCCAAAGTCCCATCTTCATGTCCTCCTTTCTGTCAATCATATGGCACACCCTAAAGAGGAGGGAATGTAGGATGTCAAAACTAAAACCCACAGCTGAGTGTGAAGTCTGGCCTGGTTCACTCTGTCCCCGAGGCTGGAAGTAGTGGCCTGATCAAAGTTCACTGCATGGCCAGGTGCAGTGGCTCACCCTGTCATCTCAGCACTTTGGGAGGCCAATGCAGGAAGATCATTTGAGGTCAAGAGTTCAAGATCTGGCCGGGTGTGGTGGCTCATGCCTGAAATCCCAGCACTTTGGGAGGCTGAGGTGGGTGGATCACCCGAGGTCAGGAGTTCGAAACCACCCTGACCAACAAGGTGAAACCCCATCTCTATAATTAATAAATAAATAAATAAGAGTTCAAGATCACCCTGGCCAACATGGTGAACTCCCATCTCTACTAAAAATACAAAAGTTAGCTGTGCATGGTGGTGCATGCCTGTAATCCCACCTACTCAGGAGGCTGAGGCAGGAGAGTTGGTTGAACCTGGGAAGTGGAGTTTGCAGTGAGATGAGATTGTGTCACTGCACTCCAGCCTAGGTGACAGAGCAAGGCTCTGTCTCAAAAAAACAAAACAAAACAGCTCACTGCAGGCTCAACATTTAGCAACAACCTGACCCCTGGACCCCATTTCCTCATCCAGTAAAATGGGCGTATCATGAACCCCCCTGCAGGACTTTGAGGATTCAAGGTAACAGATTATTTTTAATATGGGCCACTGGGCCAGTGGCTTGCTGCTTTTTTTTTTTTTTTTTTTAACTTTGTTTTTTAAGAGACAGAGTCTCGCTCTATTGCCAGGCTGGAGTGCAGTGGCACCATCATAGCTCACTGCAGCCTCCAACTCCCGAGCTCCAGCAATCCTCCCATCTCAGCCTCCCAAGTAACTGGGACTATAGCCGTGTGCCACCATGCTCAGCTAATTTTTAAAAATTTTTGTTGAGCTCTGGGTTTCCTGATACTGCTCAGGCTGGTCTCAAATTCCTGGCCTGAAGCAGTCCTCCCACATCGGCCTCCCAAAGTTCTGGGATTACAGGCATGAGCTGCGGCACCCAGCTTTGGACCAGCGGCTTTCTAAACCTTGTAATTTTCTGTAATAGCTTTACTGAGATATAGTTCCCCTGCCGTACAATTTACCCATTCAAAGTATACTATTGATGGCTTTTGATACATTCACAAAATTGTGCAGTCACCACCACAAGTAATTTTGGGAAATTTCAGCTCCCTCAAAGGGGTCCCTATAGCCCTTAGCCATCACTCCCGACACAGATCCTTCTGTTGCCTCAGCCCCTGGCAAGCGCTAATCCACTTTCTGTCTTTATGGATTTGCCTGTTTGGGGTATTTCATAAAAATGAAATCCTCCAGTGTGGTCTTTTGTGACTGTGCTCCAAGCAGAATGTTTTCAAAGTTTATGCATGTCGTAGTATGTATCTGTGGGTTTTTGGGTTGTGTTTTGTTTTGGAAGCAGGATCTCACTCTGTCACCCAGGCTTGAGTGTAATGGTTCAATTACAGCTCACTGCAGCCTCAACCTCCAGGGCTCAGGTGATCCTCACACCTCAGCCTCCCCAGTAGCTGGGACTGCAGGTGTGAGCCACCATACCTGGCTTATTTTTCTTTTTTTAAATTTTTTTGTATTTTTTGTAAAGACAGGTTTTCACCATGTTGCCCAGGCTGGTCTTGAACTCCTGAGCTCAGGCAGTCTGCCTACTTCAGCCTCCTGAAGTGCTGCGATTACAGGCATGAGCCACTGCAGCCAGCCTGCTGTTTTTCTAAATTATTATTATTTTATTTTATTTTTATTTTTATTTTTTGAGGCGGAGTTTCACTCTTGTTACCTAGGCTGGAGTGCAATGGCGTGATCTCGGCTCACCGCAACCTCTGCCTCCTGGGTTAGGGCAATTCTCCTGCCTCAGCCTCCTGAGTAGCTGGGATTACAGGTACGCGCCACCATGCCCAGCTAATTTTTTGTATATTTAGTAGAGGCGGGGTTTCACCATGTTAACCAGGATGGTCTCGATCTCTTGACCTCGTGATCCACCCGCCTCGACCTCCCAAAGTGCTGGGATTACAGGCATGAGCCACCACGCCCGGCCTATTACTATTTTAGATATGGGTTTGCTCTGTCACCCAAGCTGGAGTATAGTGATATGATCACGGTGCACTGCAGTCTCAAACTCCTGGGCTCAAGCAGTCCTCCCACCGCAGCCTCCTGAGTAGCTGGGACCACATGTGCTCACCACCATGCCCAGCTAATTGTTATTATTTTGTAGAGATGGGGTCTTGCTATTTTGCCCAGGCTGGTCTTGAACACCTGGCCTCAAACAGTCCTCCCACTTCAGCCTCTCAAAGTGCTGGGATCACAGGCATTTTGAGCCACTGCACCTGGCCAGTGTTTCATTTCTTTTTCTGGAAACGTAATAATCAGCTGTATTGAAATAGCTGATTTTGTTCATTCTTTTATTTATTGGTCAACATTTTAGTTGTTTCTACTTTTTGGATAGAAACCTGAAAGTGCCTTATCTTTAGAACGCTTCATTCAGAGGAGATCTTTTGTGGACTCTGGTATTTATACTAGAACCAAAAATCAAAACCACTCTGGCGGCTGGCGTGGTGGCTTATGCCTATAATCCCAGCACTTTGGGGGGGCTGAGATGAGTAGATCACCTGAGGCCAGGAGTTGGAGACCAGCCTGGCCAACATGGTGAAACCCCATCTCTACTAAAATTATACAAATTAGTCGAGCACAGTGGTGCACACCTGTAATCCCAGCTACTCAGTAGGCGGAGGCAGAATTATTTAAACCAGGGAGGTGGAGGTTGCGGTGAGCTGAGATTGTGCCACTGCATTCCAGCCTGGGCGACAGGGACTCTGTCTCAACAAACAAAAAACTACTCTGGCAGTAAAAAGATTGAGAAACTTCTTCCCTTGCCCTGAGGGACTTCAGAGGAGCCTGCTGGCCCCTGGAGGACAGTTTGAAACCCACTGTTTGTTCCCTGACCTTGCCTGCCTGTGTTCTCTCCCTCCACCTATCCCCTGAACTGGGGACCCGTTCTCAGGAGATCACAGCTCATAGCCAGGGCTGGGGCCTCCTACAGGGCTGTCAGTTTCTCCTGATCAGCAACCTTTCCTCCCGCAGAGAGCGAGGGCTGGCGGGAGCAGCTGGCCCTGATCGTGGGCACAGCGGTTGTGGGTGTGGTGCTGGTCCTGGTGGTCATTGTGGTCGCTGTTCTCTGCCTCAGGTAAGGACTCTGACACCCGGAGGCCTCAGGAAGCCTGAGCTGATGACCAGTTGCCTGGTTGCTACAGGGCAAGCCTTTCTGGGTGCCCCCAGCCTCTTTTTACTTGGAATCTTCTCCAATTCCTTCTCCTCCCTTTGCTGTGTGCCTCATAGAGATATGTGACTCAGTTTACCTTTTGCTCCTTTCCCCTTGGCTACAGGAAGCAGAGCAGCGGGAGAGAAGCCGAATATTCGGACAAACACGGACAGTATCTCATCGGGCATGGTGGGTTGCCCTAAATTGATGGAAATAGGGGATTGGGGCCGGGCGTGGTGGCTCACGCCTATAAACCCAACACTTTGGGAGGCAGAGGTGGGCAGATCGCCTGAGGTCAGGAGTGTGAGATCAGTCTGGCCAACATGGTGAAACCCTTCTCTACTAAAAGTACAATTAGCTGGACATGGTGCTGAGCACCTGCAATCCCAGCTACTCAGGAGGCTGAGGCAGGAGAAGAATCGCTTGAACCTGGGAGGTGTAGGTGGGCAGATCACTTGAAGTTAGGAGTTTGAGACCAGCCTGGCTAACATGGCGAAACCCTTTCTCTACTAAGAATACAAAAATTAGCCAGGCGTCGTGGGCACCTGTAATTCCAGCTACTGGGGAGGATGAGGCAGGAGAATCGCTTGAACCCGGGAGGTGGAGGTTGCAGTGAGCCAAGATCAGGCCACTGCACTCCAGCCTGGGCAATAGAGCAAGACTCCATCTCAAAGTAAAAAAAAAGAACTAGCAGCTTGGGGACAAGACCTGTGAGCGTAGCCTCTGAGTCACGTGGGAGTTAATTCCCAGCTAATGAGGCCCTGCCTGATTCTCAGGTACTAAGGTCTACATCGACCCCTTCACTTACGAAGACCCTAACGAGGCCGTGAGGGAATTTGCAAAAGAGATCGATGTCTCCTACGTTAAGATTGAAGAGGTGATTGGCGCAGGTGAGAGCATAAGGCTGCACAGGCACCTGGGAACGAAGTGGGGGTGGGCAGGCAGGAGGGCAGGACCCCACTGGGGCGGGAGGAGAGCTCATGACCTCCGTGTCCTTGTTTGAAGGTGAGTTTGGTGAGGTGTGCCGGGGGCGGCTCAAGGCCCCCGGGAAGAAGGAGAGCTGTGTGGCCATCAAGACCCTGAAGGGCGGCTACACGGAGCGGCAGCGGCGGGAGTTCCTGAGCGAGGCCTCCATCATGGGCCAGTTTGAGCACCCCAATATCATCCGCCTGGAGGGTGTGGTCACCAACAGCATGCCCGTCATGATTCTCACGGAGTTCATGGAGAATGGTGCCCTGGACTCCTTCCTGCGGGTGAGCGCCCACCCTGGCTTCTGCGGCCACCTGGAGCTCCCACCTACACCCAGAGGCCACTTGGGCTAAGAAGCCAGGGCAGACAGTGGGTCCCATGTCATCTCCTCTGTCCTCTTCCTCTTGGGCTAAGCCCTACTCCTCTGCCTTTTTTTAATTTTTTATTGTTTGGGGGATGGAGTCTCGCTCTATTGCCTAGCCTAGAGTGGTGCAATCTCACCTCATTGCCATCTCTGCCTCCAGGGTTCAAGCAATTCTCCTGCCTTAGTCTCCCAAGTAGCTGCTACCATAGGCACGAACCACCATGTCCGACTAATTTTGTATTTTTAGTAGAGACAGGGTTTCACCATGTTGCCCAGGCTGGTTTTGAACTCCTAGGCTCAAGTGATCCACCCACCTCAGCCTGCCAAATGGCTGGGATTACAGGCATGAGCCACCGCGTCCAGCCTAGGCATCTTTTTAAAAAAAATCAAAGCATTTTCCTATGTAACGAAATAACATTGCATCGAACAGAATTACAGTGATTTCCCCAGCGTCACTGAATACCCAGCTGATTTTCACGTTTCTCTAGTTCCAAAAATGTCCTTTTCTGCTGCTTTATTCCCACCAGGATCCAGGTCAGGACCAGGCGTTGTACCTGGTTATTATATATTTTTTATTTATTTAAGAAACAGGGTCTCACCCAGTCGCCCGATTTGGAGTACAGTGGTGCGATCATAGCTCACTGCAGCCTCCAAACTCCTTGGCTCAGGTGATCCTCCTGCCTCAGCTTCCTGGGTAGCTGGAATTTCAGGTGCATACCACCACACCTGGCTATTTTTTTTTTTTTTTTTTTTTTTTTGAGACAGAGTCTTGCTCTGTTGTCCAGGCTGGAGTGCACTGGTGTGATCTCAGCTCACTATAACCTCTGATTCCCAGGTTCAAGCAATTCTCCTGCCTCAGCCTCCCGAGAAGCCGGGATTACAGGCACCCATTGTCATGCCTGGTACTTTTGTAGAGACAGGGTTTCACCATGTTGGCCAGGCTGGTCTTGAACTCCTGACGTCAGGTGATCCGCCCACCTCGGCCTCTCAAAGTGCTGGGATTACAGGCATGAGCCACCACACTTGGCTGACACCTGGCTAATTTTTAAATTTTTTGTGGGGATGGGGTCTTGCTATGTTGCCCAGGCTGGTCTCAAATTCCTGGATTCAAGCAATCCTCTCTCCTTTACCTCCAAAAGTACTGGGATTACAGGCATGAACCACCTTGGCCTGCTGGTTATTATATTTTCAAGCTTCTCTAAATCCCGTGCAGTTCCTTATGATGACACTGACATGCCGAGGGGTTGGGTCCCTTGTTCCCCTGAATGTCTTGTTTTCTGGATTTATGAGATTCTTCTTGTGGGATCACAATGGCCAGGCTGGTTTCAAACTCCTGACTTCAAGTGATCTGCCTGCCTTGGCCTCCCAAAATGCTAGGGTTACAGGCATGAGCCACCACTCCCAGCCTGATGTGTTTTTTAAAAATCACTTGTTGGGTATAAATTTATGGGGTCTGACCAGGCAAGGTGCTGTAATCCCAGCACTTTGGGAGGCTGAGGTGGGCGGATCACCTGAGGTCAGGAATTCGAGACCAACCTGGTCAACATGGCGAAACCCCATCTCTACTATAAATATAAAAATTAGGTGGGTGTGATGGGGGCACCTGTAATCCCAGCTACTCAGGAGGTTGCAACAGGAGAATCACTTGCACCCAGGAAGTGGAGGTTTGCACCGAGCCAAGATCTCACCACTGCACTCCACCCTGGGAGACAGAGCAAGACTCCAAGAAAAATGATGGGGTATGAGTGCAATCTTGTTACGTGCACAGATAGCAGTCAGGGCTCTAGGGTAACCATCACCTGAAACTGTTTGGTATTTTGTTGAATCCAAAATTCAGCGTTGATCACTAGACTACATGGCAGGTGCTGTGTCCCTCAGGCAGATCCCATCTGCAGACACATATCGGTCTGCCACCATGAGTGGTGCTGACACAGACCCTGGAGTTACATGGGGATAGCCTTGTGGACACAGGAGTCTGCACAGAGGTCCAGTTGCAGGGAGTGGGGAGAAGAGATGACATTTGGGTAGATGAGAAAGAGCTCATCATGAGAAGACAATATGTTTGGAGCAAAGTAGCATGTTTAAGAGACAGAAAGCATATTTTTTTCTTCTCTTTTTTTTTTTTTTTTTGAGATGAGTCTCTGTTGCCCCGGATGGAGTGCAGTGGTGTGCTGTCAGCTCACTGCAACATCCACCTCCCAGATTCGTGATTCTCCTGCCTCAGCCTCCCAAGTAGCTGGGATTACAGGTGCATGCCACCATGCCAGGCTAATTTTTGTATTTTTAGTAGAGACGGGGTTTTTCGTCATGTTGGCCAGGCTGATCTCAAAACCCTGGCCTCAAGCGATCCGCCCGTCTTGGTCTCCCAAAGTGCTGGGATTAAAGGCGTGAGCCACCATCCCTGGCCAAAGAGACAGAAAGGGTCTTAAAGGTGCCCTAGCTTGGCTGGGCGCAGTGGCTCACGCCTGTAATCCCAGCACTTTGGGAGGCCGAGGTGGGCGGATTGTGTTCAAGACCAGACTGGCCAACACGGTGAAACCACATCTCTACTATAAAATACAAAAATTAGCAGTCGTGGTAGCTGGTGCCTGTAATCCCAGCTACTTGGGAGACTGAGGCAGAATTGCTTGAACTGGGACCCAGGAGGCGGAGGCTGCAGTGAGCTGAGATCACACCACTACACTCCAGCCTGGGCTACATATTGAGACATCCATCTCAAAAAAAAAAGGGGGGGTGCCCTGACTCACACCTGTGATCCCAGCACTTTGGGAGGCTGAGGCTGGCAGATCGCTTGAGGTCAGTTTTTCAAGATCAACCTGGGCAACATGGTGAAACCTCGTCCCCACAAAAAGTACAAAAATGAACAGAACATGATGATGCACATCTGTAGTCCCAGCTACTCAGGAGGCTGAGGTGAGAGGATCACTTAAGCCTGGGAGATCAGGGCTGCAGTGAGCCACCATGCACCACTGCACTCCAGCCTGGGTGACCCCATCTCTTAAAGAAGAGAAAGAAGGAGGCCGGGTGCAATGGCTTACACTTGTAATCCCAGCACTTTGGGAGGCCAAGGCGGTGGATCACCTGAGGTCAGAAGTTCGAGACCAGCATGGCCAACATGGCGAAACCCCATCTCTATTAAAAATGCAAAATTAGCCAGGCACGGTGGCTCAAGCCTGTAATCCAAGCACTTTGGGAGGCCGAGGCAGGTGGATCATGAGGTCAAGAGATCGAGACCATCCTGGTCAACGTGGTGAAACCCCGTCTCTACTAAAAATACAAAAAATTAGCTGGGCATAGTGGCGCGTGCCTGTAATCCCAGCTACTCAGGAGGTGGAGGTTGCGGTGAGTCAAGATGGCTCTACTGCACTCCAGCCTGGGTAACAAGAGCGAAACTCCGTCTCAAGAAAAAAAAAAAGAGAGACAGGAAGGCCAGCGCCAGTGAAACCTGGTGAACAGAGGAGAGATGGTAGACCCTGCATTGGGTAATGTGATGGGAACTCACTGGAGGGTTTGGGCAGGAGAGTGGTTTAAGAGGATCCTGGCGGGGCACGGTGGCACACACCTATAATCCCAGCACTTTGGGAGGCCGAGGCACGCTGGATCACTTGAGCTCAGGAGTTCGAGACCAGCCTGGCCAACATGGTGAAACCTCTACTAAAAATATAAAAATTAGGCATGGTGGTGCACACCTCTAATCCCAGCTACTCAGGAGACTAAAACAGGAGAATCACTCTGCCTGGGAGACAGAGGTTGCAGTCAGCCAAGATCACACCACTGCACTCCAGCATGGGCAACAGAGCGAGACTTGTTTCAATAAAAAAACAAACCTCTTTGCTGGGTGCTGGGGAACAAGAGCAGGAGCTTGGAGAAGCCTGCAGCAGAAGCCTGTTGCCAGCATCTAGGTCGTGGGGTGAAGGGAAGGGTTTGGATTTGGGACATATCTTGGAAGCATCACCAGCAGAATTTGCTGATGGACTGTAAGTGGCTGGTGAGGGAGAAAAGGAGGTCACAGGAGACTCTGAGGTCTATACCCTATCTGGCAAGTAGTGGTGTTGCCACGAACTGGGGGGGATTTCCAGGCAGCTGCAGATCTGGGTGATGGATTCCAAATTCAGTTTTTGGACTGTCTGTCCCTGACTCTGCAGGACTGCAGACGGTCTCCCAAATCTTAGCTGAACCCAGAAGATGGGATTTGTTTACTGTCTGTGACTTGTTGGTTTCCCTGGTGAGAGCAAACTCTTTAAAGGTCAAGGTTGGGCTTCAGACCTTGGTTTTTGCACTGATCATTGGTCATACTCCGGTTCCTCACTGGTCTCTTGCAAAATCCACACACAGCTAATCCAAGAGGGCTGAACCATCTGTGGTTAGAACAGCACCAATGCATCTCCACCTGTAGACAGATAGGTTGCTCAGGTAACTCATTCCTCTAATCCCAGCACCTTGGGAGGCCAAGTTGGGAAGATCATGTGAGGCCAGGAGTTCGAGACTAGCCTGAGAAACATATTGAGACCCCCATCTGTACAAAAAAAATTTTTTTTTTTTTTGCGACAAGAGTCTTGCTCCGTCACCCAGTCTGGAGTGCAATGGTGTAGTCTCAGCTCACTGCAACCTCCGCCTCCCAGGTTCAAGCAATTCTACCTGAGCCTCCCAAGTAGCTGGGATTATAGGCGCCTGCCACCATGCTGGGCTAATTTTTGTATTTTTAGTAGAGACATGGTTTCTCCATGTTGGTCAGGCTGGTCTCGAACTCCTGACCTCATGATCTGCCCACCTCAACCTCCCAAAGTGCTGGAATTACAGGTGTTAGCCACCGTGCCTGGCCAACTTTTTTTTTTTTTTTGAGACAGAGTTTCGCTCTTGTTACCCAGACTGGAGTGCAATGGCATGATCTTAGCTCACCGCAACCTCTGCCTTCTGGGTTCAAGCAAGTCTCCTGCCTCAGCCTCCCAAGTAGCTGGGACTACAGGCGTGCACCACCATGCCCAGCTAATTTTTCTATTTTTAGTAGAGACGGGGTTTCACCTTGTTGACCAGGATGGTCTCGATCTCTTGACCTTGTGATCCACCCGCCTCGGCCTCCCAAAGTGCTGGGATTACAGTCATGAGCCACGGCGCCCGGCCCAAAATTTTATTTAGTAGCCAGGTGCAGTGGTGTGTACCTGTAAGGAGACTGAGGCAGAAGGACTGTTGGAGCCCAGGAGTTTAAGGCTACAGTGAACTATGATCATGCCACTACGCTCCAACCTAGGGGAAAGAAAGATACCCTGTGTCTAAAAAACTAAAAAACAGAAAAGCATTTGTTGAGTATTTACTGGGTGTAAAGCAGTATACCTGGTTAAAGGAAAGGAAAAGTTGAAACAGGTTTTCAAATGATGATCTAATTGGGAGAGACCGAATGCTTATCATTGCAACAGGAACCACTGTAAGCAGTGTGTTATGATACTGTAGCAAGAGCTGAGAAAACCTGGAAAAAGAGAAAGAAGGAGGGCTCACCTGGGAGAGTTGGGGGGGCTTGCCCTGCAGGTGAGTTGTGAGGTGGGTCTGGAAGTGACAGATACAGTTTAGGAAGTGGATGGGAGGCTGGGTGCGGTGGCTCACACCTGGAATCCCAGAGCTCTGGGAGACCCAAGCAGAAGGATGGCTTCAGGCCAGGAGTTTAAGACCAGTCTGGGCATCATAGTGAGAACCTATCTCTACTAAAAATTTAAAAGTTGGTCTGGGCTCGGTGTAATCCCAGCACTTCGGGAGGCCAAGGTGGGTGGATCACCTGAGGTCAGGAGTTTGAGACCAGCCTGACCAACATGGAGAAACTCTGTCTCTACTAAAAATTAGCCAGTATGGTGGCACATGCCTGTAATCCCAGCTGTTCAGAAGGCTGAGGCAGGAGAATAGCTTGAACCTGGGAGTCAGAGGTTGCAGTGTGCCGAGATAGTGCCATTGCACTCCAGCTTGGGCAACGAGTGAAACTCATCTCAAAAAAAAAAAAAAATTAGCCAGGTATAGTGGCACGTGCCTATTGTCCCAGATACTCAGGAGGCTGAGGCAGGAGGATCGCTTGAGCCCAGGAGGTTGAGGCTGTAGTGAGCTATGACGGCACCACTGCACTCCAGCCTGGGCTACAGAACAAGACTTTGTCTTAAAAAAAAAACAAGTGGATGGGAGGGGGAACGGTGGGTGGGCTGTGCTCACCAAGCCCCAACTCCTGCCCTGCAGCTAAACGACGGACAGTTCACGGTCATCCAGCTGGTGGGCATGCTGCGGGGCATCGCCTCAGGCATGCGGTACCTTGCTGAGATGAGCTACGTGCACCGAGACCTGGCTGCCCGCAACATCCTAGTCAACAGCAACCTCGTCTGCAAAGTGTCTGACTTTGGCCTTTCCCGATTCTTGGAGGAAAACTCTTCCGATCCCACCTACACAAGCTCTCTGGTAACGCTGGGGGCTAGGGGTGTGAGCCTCTTAGGGCCAGGTGGGGAGGGCAGGTTGGAAAGGTGAGAGATTGGCAGCCCTGCTCCAGGAAGAGGATACAGGAGCAGGCTGGGGGGGGGGGGGAGGCAGGGACAGTCAGCTCTTTGAAGCTGACTTCCGGGTGTCTAGGAAAATAACAGTTGGAGCTGAGGCAGGTGGATCACCTGGGGTCAGGAGTTTGAGACCAGCCTGACCAACATGGAGAAACCCTATCTCTACTAAAAATAGAAAAAATGAGCTGGACATGGTGGCACACACCTGTAATCCCAGCTACTTGGGAGGCTGAGGCAGGAGAATTGCTTGAACCTAAGAGGCAGAAGTTGCGATGAGCCAAGATTATGACACTGCATTCCAGCCCGGGCAATGATTGAAACTCCATCTCAAAAAAAAAAAAAAAAAGGAACAGTGGCCGGGAGCAGTGGCTCACGCCTATAATCCTAGCACTTTGGGAGACCAAAGCGGGAGGATCACCTGAGGTCGGGAGTTCGAGATCAGCCTGGCAAACATGATAAAACCCTGTCTCTACTAAAAATAAAAAATTAGCCAGGCATGGTGTCACAAGCCTGTAATTCCAGCTACTCGGGAGGCTGAGGTAGGAAATTCGCTTGAACCCAGGAGGTGGAGGTTTCAGTGAGCCAAGATCTCGTTACTGTTCTCCAGCCTGGGTAAAAAGAGTGAAACTCCAACTAAAAAAAAAAACAGGCCGGGCTCGATGGCTCACCCCTGTCATCCTAGCACTTTGGGAGGCCGAGGTAGGTGGATCACCTGAGGTCAGGAGTTTAAGACCAGCCTGGCCATCAAGGTATAACCCCATCTTAAATAAATAAATATATAAAAAATAAAAATAAAATAAAAAACAGTTGGAGAGTAAGAAGCTTGGGACCTGAGCTAGGGGGAAAAAGCAGAGGTGGGTAGGAGACTGGGGGGCCAATGTGCTGGGTCTGGTGAGTCCCTCAGTGAGTCCCTCGGCTCACCTTTCTCCTCCTTCTGCAGGGAGGAAAGATTCCCATCCGATGGACAGCCCCGGAAGCCATTGCCTTCCGGAAGTTCACTTCTGCCAGTGATGCCTGGAGTTATGGGATTGTGATGTGGGAGGTGATGTCATTTGGGGAGAGGCCGTACTGGGACATGAGCAATCAGGACGTGAGTGCCCCATGGTGGTACCAAGCTTTCCTGGAACATTCTCTCACCTGGGATTTGGGGTGAAGGGTGGGTTCACAGAGTCATCACTGCTGGGTCCTTGAGACCATGGAGATGACAAAAAGAACTGATCCTTGTATCAAAGAGCCTGGGGTACAGGGCCAGGCCCGGTGGCTCATGCCTGTAATCCCAGCTCCTTGGGAGGCTGAGGAGGGGGGATCAGTTGAACTCAGGAGTTGAGACCAGCCTGGGCAGCATGGCCAGCTCCTACTATCCTACAAATAAATTTAAAGAGTCGGATACAGCGTATTTGGGTCGCAGAAGGATGCAGAGATGGAGGGCAGGGTTGGAAGGTGACATGCCTATATCATAGCCCAAGAGCTGCTGGGACCTCCAGCCACAGACAGCCTCAACTCTGGCTAGTTGGACTCCTGGATCTGTGATTTTTTTGGGGGAAGGGGGGCTGTGGCTCCTATCCTGCCATCTGCCAAATCACCATTTCCTGGGCCTGTTAGTGTCTCTGCTCTCCCTGGACAGCCTCACCAGAGCTTCCTTCCCCTCTTTGCAGGTAATCAATGCTATCGAACAGGACTACCGGCTGCCCCCACCCCCAGACTGTCCCACCTCCCTCCACCAGCTCATGCTGGACTGTTGGCAGAAAGATCGGAATGCCCGGCCCCGCTTCCCCCAGGTGGTCAGCGCCCTGGACAAAATGATCCGGAACCCTGCCAGCCTCAAAATCGTGGCCCGGGAGAATGGCGGGTGAGGATGGCAGGGAATGGGCCCTTCTTCCTGCTCTCTGCCCCCACGCCTCACCCAGAAGGGTCCATCCCTTGCTGTTGGGTGGGAGGGTCTCTGTCAACCTCTCCAAGGGTGGGCTCCATCTCCTCACCCTGACCCAGGCCTGGTACTCAGCATTCCTCCCCATCCTTGCCCCCCAGGGCCTCACACCCTCTCCTGGACCAGCGGCAGCCTCACTACTCAGCTTTTGGTTCTGTGGGCGAGTGGCTTCGGGCCATCAAGATGGGAAGATACGAAGAAAGTTTTGCAGCCGCTGGCTTTGGCTCCTTCGAGCTGGTTAGCCAGATCTCTGCCGAGTAAGTGGTAGCAGGAACTGGAGCGGGGCAGGGAGAGCAGGGTAGCTGGCGGCTGGCATCAGGCCCACAGGGTCTGCAGGGGCTTTCGGGGTCAGCTTTGGGTGCCAGCGCTGTCTTCTTGCACTACATTCATGCCATGCTTAGAAGGGCCCCAGAGGAGTAGTAACAGCCCCTGGAGCTGAGGACCCAAGGGCTTTCTGGGGCCAGCCTGCCCGTCTCATCTCCTGCCATCACGCCCCTGGACCATCGCGCTTCCACCCTCATTCCGTATCTATCTGTGCATCTATCTGCATTCCAGGCCCCGCTCTCACAGTAACAACGTGTCAACTCGGGTTCTCTTTTTCCACCATAAAAGGAGAAGATTAGGCTAGGTTTTGGAGCTCCTCTCCAGCTTTTATGTGAAATGGTTTTATGATTCCTTGCCTCCCAAAGGCAGCGTATCCCCACTTGGCCTTTGTCTGTTACTCCCCCTTCCTGCCTTCCCGTTTCTCTCCCAAGGTCTCCTCTCACCCCAGGATGAATAACAGAAACAGAAGGAATAGAAATCTAAAGACTAGGCACAGTGGCTCATGCTTGTAATCCCAGCACTTCGGGAGGCCAAAGCGGGCAGATCACTTGAGGTCAGGGGTTTGAGACCATTATGGGCAACTTGGTGAAACCTCCTCTCTACTAAAAATACAAAAATTAGCTGGGTATGATAGCGCTTGCCTGTAATACCAGCTACTCAGGAGGCTGAGGCAGGAGGATCTCTCGAACCTGGGAGGTGGAGGTTGCAGTGAGCCGAGACTGAGCCACTGCACTCAAGCCTGGATGACAGAGTGAAACTCCATCTGAAAAAAAGAAATCTGAAGGCCGGGCAGTGGCTCATGCCTGTAATCCCAGTACTTAGGGAGGCCAAGGTGGACCTGGCTTCCCTGGCTTAAGCCTAGGAGTTTGAGAGCAGCCTGGGCAACATAGCAAAACCTCATTTCTACCAAAAAAAAAAATTAGCTGGGCACGTGTTTAGTGCCTGTGGTCCCAGCTACTCGGGAGGCTAGAGCCAGAAGGTCCCTGGCCAGTCTGCCCCTGCCACATGGGGCCTGGGCACGTCCCTCCCTAAGTCTTCCCAGCCTCTCTCTGACCCAGGGGGCATCCTCCCTTTCCCCCCCATCTCAGCTTCCAGCCATCAGCAATCTCTTCCTCTCCATCTGGCTCTTCCTCTCCCAGTTTGGCCTTTTCTTTCTCACGTCTCTACGGCAATCTATGTGGCCTCTTCCCCCAATCTTATTTTTCGGGCTTTTCTCTCTTTTTCCCTCCCTCCTGGGCACCCAAGCCAAAGCCCCCACCTCTGGCCTCCAGCCTCACGCTTTACTGCCGCTGCGCAAAGGATGACTGCCCGGCGATTGTTGACTTCTGTTCTCCCTCCCCCGCTGGCTTTTCTGATTGGCTGACAGTCCTGAGGCTGGAACCCGCTCTGGAGCCAAGCTTGGAGAGCCGCCGCGGGGATCCCAGGGTCTCACCGAGCTCTGCTTTCCTTCCACAGGGACCTGCTCCGAATCGGAGTCACTCTGGCGGGCCACCAGAAGAAAATATTGGCCAGTGTCCAGCACATGAAGTCCCAGGCCAAGCCGGGAGCCCCGGGTGGGACAGGAGGACCAGCCCCGCAGTACTGACCTGCAGGAACTCCCCACCCCAAGAACGCGGCCTCCCCATCTTTCTGGGGCAGAATGGGGACTCCTAGAGGCCCCCAGCCCTGCGCCCCGCTGGATTGCACTTTGAACCCGTGGGGTGGGGAGTTGGCAATTTGGAGAGAGAGAATTTGGGGGTTCTGCCATACAGGAGTGGAACATCACCCCTCATCCCCCTTGGGGAACTCTAGACCAAGGGTGAACGCGCCTTTCCCTCGGGACTGGGTGTGACCAGAGGGAAAAGGAACACCCATCATCTCCCGGCCTCCCCAGGTGCCCCCCCACTCATCTTGACGGGTGTGTTCCCGTAGACCAAAGAGAGCATGACTCCCTTGCCAGCTCCAGAGTAGGGGGCTGTCCCAGGGGCAAGAAGAGGGGTCAGGCCCCCGTGACAAAATCATTGGGGTTTGTAGTCCCAACTTGCTGCTGTCACCACCAAACGCAATCATTTTTCTCCCTTGTAAATGCCCCTCTCCCAGCTGCTGCCTTCATATTGAAGGTTTTTTGAGTTTTGTTTTTGGTCTTAATTTTTCTCCCCGCCCCTTTCTGTTTTCTCGTTTCATTTTTCTATGGTCCTTGTCATAACTCTGTGTTGGAGGGAACCTGTTTCACTATCACCTCCTTTGCCCACGTTGAAACAGGGACCCATCTTGTCTGTTTCCAAAAGAGTGCCTTGGTCATGCCACCTCCCCGACCCCCCTGGGACCCCCAAGCTGTGTCCATGAAGGGGTGCGGGCTGAGGTAGTGAAAGGGGTGGTAGGTGGTGGTGGAACCCAGAAACTGACGCTGGTGCTTGGAGAGGGTTCTTAAATTATATTTAAAAAAACAATTTTTTGTATAAATAAAAGAAAATGGGACAAGTCCCAGCTCCAGGGGTGATGGGAGGTGATGGACCAGATTTCTAAGGAGAGTGGGGCTGGGTAGGGAGGGCTTTGTGGCTGGCTGAGTGGGGTCAGAGGTCTGGAGGCTGCAGGACTATGGGGGGCTGGAGCTTGGTTCTCAGCTCCAGGGTGTGTTTGAGGTGGTGGGGTGGGGGCTGAGCAAGATGAGTCATTCGCAGCTGCTTCCAACGGCTCCAGCTGGCTCTGCCAAGAGCCTGGGGCACCTCCGGGGTGGGGCTGTCCCCTCCCTTCCCTGTCCTGGTTCCTCAGCCCTGGCCAGGGGCTGCTGGGGGAGGGAGGGGAGGCCTTGAGCCCACAGCCCCTTGAGAGGGAGGAGGTGGCCAGAGCTGGAGCACGGGGTCTGGTTGGATGGAGACAGATGGGGGCCAGATGTTGACAGCTGGGGTAGATTTAGAGGCAATTTGGGGAGTGTGCATTGGCTGTGGGGTAGGGGAAGGGACCCCCGCCCACTTGTGTACACAGGCGCGTGTGCACGCACGCACACACGTGGCTGGGCCGGGGACAATTCTCCCATTCAAGATGCTGCCCAGGCAGGTTCTCCCAGCCTCTTGGGAAGGGGAGGGGAACCTTGTGTGTTTCCCCAACTTCTTCCCAAACAGGAAGAGGACAGGGTCAGTCCCCCCTCTAAAGACCCGGATTTATTTTCTTTCTCGCCATTTTTTGTGTCCTTTCCTCTGGGGATCTTTCTGGCCTCCCCCGCTGAGACCTGCAGCGGCAGGTCTTGACAAGGATCAGGCTGGTTTAGCCTGGTCCATTTCTTTTCCTTTTTTGTTTAGACAGGGTCTCACTTTGTCTCTCAGGCTGGAATGCAGTGGAATGACTTGAACTCCTGGGGCAAGGGAGCCTCCCAGGGCACTGGGATTACAGGCCCAATCTGCCTTTTCCATTTCTGCACTTCAGTCGCCCCCTGTTGACATGTATGGGTCAGTGCTGGGTCCTAAATCAGCTCGGACCCTTCTGGCCCAGGGAGGCTTGTCCTCAATTTCCCACCTCTACAACCCTCTTCTGGAGTTCCTCAGGCTCTTGAGTCCTCTGTCCCCACTTCCCTTGGTGACACATCACCCATGTTTGGTACCCTCAGGAGGTGTGGGAGGGACTTGGGGGTCCATCCAGAGGATGCTGCCCAGACCCACCCTCTTCCCCTGCCAACCAGACATCCGGGCTAGATAGCATGTCCTAGAGAGCTGATAGCTGGAAGAAGAAAACTTAAGGGGCACAGCAGAGGCACAGCAGAGAGGCCAAGAGCGAAGACCAAGTGCAGGGAGCTGAGGGAACCCCCTGAGATCCATCCCAGCTCCAGGCTGCCCTGAGCCTTCCTGTCACATCCAGCTCTCTAGTGTGAGTGCTCTCCCTTCTTGGGGCCCTTTCCTTACCCAGGCTGGGTCTTGCTTCCTTCCATGAAGGTGGGACCCCAAGGGCTGGTCATCTCAGAGGATGCTCATACAGTATATACATTTCTATACAGGGAGCATATAGGCCGGGTGTGGTGGCTCACGCCTGTAATCCCAGCACTTTGGGAGGCCAAGGCAGAGGGAATCACCTAGTTTGAGACCAGCCTGACCAACATGGTGAAACCCTGTCTCTACTAAAAATGCAAAGAAAAAAAATTAGCCGGGCATGGTGGCGCACACCTGAAATCCCAGCTACTCAGGAGGCTGAGGCAGGAGAATCACTTGAACCCAGGAGGCGGAGGTTGCAGTGAGCTGAGATTGCACCACTACACTCCAGCCTGGGCGACAGAGCCAGACTCTGTATTAAAAAAAACCGCCATATTTCTAGAACTTAGAATCCTCCCTGGTTGGTTGCTTTGTTTTTTTAGAGACAGAGTCTTGTTCTCTTGCCCAGGCTGGAGTGCAGTGGTGTGATCATAGCTCACTGCAGCTTAGAACTCCTGGGTTCAAGCAATCCTCCCGCCTCAAGCACCCAAGAATGTTTTATATTTTTGTAGAGACAGAAGGGACTCGCTATATTGCTCAAGCTGGTCTCCAGCTCCTGATCTCAAGCAATTCTCCCTCCTCAGCCTCCCAAAGCACTGGGATTACAGGCAATAAGCCACCACACCCAGCCTATATCCTCCCTGTCCCAAACCCAAATCCCCTTTGGGGTCCTACATCCCGATCTCCCTCCAGTCCAGCTGGCAGCCTTCCTTTCTTTCTTCTTTTTTTAAAAGTCTTGCTCTGTAGCCCAGACTGGAATGCAGTGGTGCAATCTTGGCTCACTGCAACCTCAGCCTCCCGGGTTCAAACGATCCCACCTCAGCCTCCTGAGTAGCTGGGACTACAGGTACCCCCACCATGCCCAGCTAATTTTTGTATTTTTAGTAGAGATGGGGTTTCACCATGTTGGCCAGGCTGGTCTCGAACTCGACCTCAAATGATCTGCCTGCCTTGGCTTCCCAAAGTGCTGGGATTACAGGCATGAACCACTGGGCCCAGCAAGCCTTTCTTTCCTTCTTAGAGCCCAAGCTGGATGTCCCAGCCCTATCTTCCAAGCAAGGAGCTGCCTCATGGGAGGCAGGAGCCCTGAGGGAGAGGGTGGGACATTTGCACCTTGGCCTCAGGCTGGGGTGAGTGGGTCACTCCTACTATGTTAGAGGTAAGAATTCTTCAGCAACCCAGACTGCAGACCCTCTCCCCACACCGTCCTCAGTTCCCATAGTAACCCCTATCCCCTTTGGGAAATGGAAGAATGCCGAGGGTGGGGGCCTCCCCAGAGGGTCACAGGCTAATTTGCTTTTTTGGAAAAAGCCACATTTTTTGTTTGTTTGTTTGCTTTTGTTTTTGTTTTGAGACAGGGTCTCAGTCTGTCATCCAGGCTGGAGTGCAGTGGCGTGATCTCAGCTGACTACAACCTCTGCCTCCCGGGTTAAAGTGATTCTCCTGCCTCAGCCTCCCAAGCAGCTGGGATTACAGGTCGCCACCATGACACCGGCTAATTTTTGTATTTTTATAGAGAGGCTAATTTTTGTATTTTTATAGAGACAGGATTTCACCATGTTCGTCAGGCTGGTCTCGAACTCCTGACCTCAAGCAATCTGCCCCACTCGGCCTCCCAAAGTGCTAGGATTATAGATGTGAGCCACTGCGCCCAGCCAAAGGGTGACATGCAACTATAGTCCTGGCTACTTGAGAGGCTGAGGCTTGAGGCCAGGAGTTCTAGCTCCTGTCTCAGCCTCCTGAGAACCTGGGAATCCTCCAAGCACATACCACCATGCCCACTGATTTTTTATTTTTTGTAGAGACAGCGGTCTCATAATGTTCCCCAGGCTGATCTCAAAGTCCTGGCCTCAAGCAATCCTCCAGCCTCAGCCTCCCAAGGCGCTGGGATTTCAGGTCTGAGCCACTGCACCCAACCTACTTTTTCCATTCCTGCACCTCAGACGCCCCCTGTTGTCGTGTTTGGGTCAGTGCTGGACCCCAAATCACCGCTTGGGCCCTTCCCAGCCCAAGGAGTCTTGTCCTCAATTTCCCACCTCTATAGGCCACTTCTGGAGTCCCTCGGGCTCTTGAGTCCTCTGTCCCCTCTTCCCTTGGCGATACCTCACCCATATATTGTACCCCCGAGGAGGTGTGGGAGGGACTTGGGAGGTGAGCTATGATTGTACCAGTGCACTCCAGCCTGGGTAACAGAGGAAGCACCTGTCTCTAAAAAAGGAAGGAAGGAAGGAAGGGAGGGAAGGAGGGGAGGGGAAAAGAGGGAAAGAGAAAGGAAAGGCGTGGTGGCTCACGCCTGTAATCCTAGCACTTTGGAGGCCAAGGTGGGCGGATCACCTGAGGTAGGGAGTTCAAGACCAGCCTGACCAACATGGTGAAACCCCATCTTTAAAAAAAAGAAAGAGAGGAAAGGAAGGAAGGAAGGAAGGAAAGAAAGAAAGAAAAAGAAAAAGAAAAAAGGGGGGAGGGAGGGAAGGAGGGAAAAGTAAAAGGAAAAGAAGAAGGAGTAAGAGAGGAAAGAAGGGAGGGAGGAAGGCAGGAAGAGAGGGAAAAAGGAATGAAGGAAGGGCCACATTTGGCTGGGTGTGGTGGCTCTCATGTGTATTCCCAGTGCTTTGGGAGGTGGAGGCAGGATGACCTCTTTGAGCCCAGGAGTTTGAGACCAGCCTGGGCAACATAGTGAGAGCCCCTCTTCCAAAAAGATATGAAAATTAGCCAGGCGTAGTGGTGCATGCCTGTAGTCCCGGCTAGTCAGGAGGCTGAGGTGGGAGGATCATTGGAGGCCCGGGGGTCAAGGCTGCCATGAGCTACGAGTGTACCACTCTAGCCTGGGCAACAGAGCAAGACCCTGAAAACAAGAAGGAAAGAAAAAAAAGATAGAAAGAAAAAAGAGAAAAAATAAGGAAGGAAGGAAAGGAAAGGAAAGAAAGAGAAAGAAACGAAAGGAAAAGAAAGAGAAAGCCATATCCCCAGCCTCAGCCTCTACTTGACATGTACAAGCTCTCAGAATCACCTTGGGGGAAGCCAGAGGCCACGTTCTCTAAGAACTCAGATTCCTGGGGTGAAGTCTTCTCCTAAATCAGAAGCCAAGGGTCTGGGGCTGCTTCCCACCCTCCGTTCCTCTGCCCCCCACTGCTCCTTCTGTCTCCTCTAGTGATGTCAGCAGGACTGAACGGGCCGCTCCCATGTGGCTTTCTCTAAGGGACAATACCACCTCAAACCTAGGCTCCTCTCCCCTCATTTTGTGCAGAACCCAGCCCTACCTAGGCCTCCACATGCTTTTCTCCCTCATTTTCCTCCCTCCAAGACCCAACCTTCTCCACCATGGCCATATAGACATTGACATCTCAAAAATAAATAATTCTGGCTGGGCACGGTGCCTCACGCCTGTAATCCCAGCACGTTGGGAGGACGAGGCAGGCGGATCACTTGAGGTCAGGAATTTGAGACCAGCTTGGCCAACATGGCAAAACCCTGTCTCTATTAAAAATACAAAAATTAGCTAGGTGAGGTGGGACATACCTGTAAAACCAACTACTTGGGAGGCTAAGGCAGGAGAACTGCTTGAACCCAGGTGGCAGAGATTGCAGTGAGCAGAGATCATGGCACTGTATTCCAGCCTGGGCAGCAGTGCAAGACTCCATCTCAACAAAAAACCAAAACAAAAATAAATAATTTTGGCCAGATGCCATGGCTCATACCTGTAAACCCCAGCACTCTGGGAGGCCAAGGCGGGAGGATCGCTGGAGGCCAGGAGTTTGAGATCAGCCTGGCAAACACCGTGAGACGCCCCCCACATCTCTACAAAAACAAAAAAAATAAAATTTAGCTCTCATGGTGACGTGTATCTGTAGTCCCAGCTACTTGGGAGGCTGGGGCAGGAGGTCCAGCCTCTGATCGCACTTCACTCCAGCCTGGGCAACAGAGCAAGACCCTGTCTCAAATAAACAAATACATACATTGATTTAATCTTCTTGTTTGAACACAACTCAAAACTGAGCAATTTAAAAGACACAGTCCGGAGCAATATCTGAGGAGAAAGCAAGACAACCGTGTATGAGAGGAGAGTAGACTCCAAGCCCCAGCATTTCAGGCTGTGGGCTCAGTTCTCACCTGTGTCCACCAGCCTGGCCAGTCCGTCTCCCTCCTGGCTGTGCGTTTTCTCTCTAGAATGAGTTGGAGAACAGACGTGGTTCCCAGAGTTGCCCTTTACAGGCCCAGCTGCTCCCCCGTTTGCACACCCTACCCACCCTTCCTCTCCCCTTCCCGGAACTCACCTCTGCCTCCTTGTTCTGTAAATGCACTGTCTGGTCACTGCTGGTACTACAACCACCACAGGCACCAGCAGTCCCAACAGGAGGGCCACCAGGTTAGATGCTTCTGCGTGCAGGGAAAGGATACAGGGATGTGAAACAGGAAGGGCGGGGACTCAGGGGCACTCCCTTTTGGACATCGCTTGCTACCCCAAGGGACCTCATCTCTCTAAATCGCTAGGTGTGTCCTCTTCTCCCTCCAGGAGGCTCTCACCTCCAGGGATTCCAAGATCTTAGTGCCACCCCCACCTCTTGCAATGTTTTCTGTTTCCCATAAGCTTTTTTAGACAGAGTCTGGCTCTGTTGTCCAGGCTGGAGTGCAGTGGCGTGATCATAACTCTCTGCAGCCTTGAACTCCTGGGCTCAAGTGATCCTCCCGCCTCAGCCTCCCTTCCAGGTTGCTGGGACTATAGGTACATGCCATCACACCCAGTTAAGTTTTGTGATTTTTTTTTTGGCAGGGGGAGATGGAGTCTCACTAGGTGGCCTGGGCTGGAGTGCAGTGGCACAATCTCGGCTCACTGCAATCTCCGCCTCTCAGGTTCAAGCAATTCTTCTGTCTCAGCCTCCAGAGTAGCTAGGATTACGGGTGTGTGCCACCACGCCCAGCTAAATTTTGTATTTTTAGTAGAGACGGGGTTTCACCATACTGATCAGGCTGTTAAACTCCTGACCTCAGATGATCCGCCCACATCAGCCTCCCAGAGTGCTGAGATTACAGGCAGGAGCCACTGCGCCTGGCCAGGACTGGTTTTTTGAGGATGCTTGTCCCGCTAATTTCTACGGATTATATTATAACATGATTCCTACTATAATAATATAATATATAAACATTTATTTATTTATGAGACAGAGTTTCGCTCTTGTTACCCAGGCTGGAGTGCAATGGTGCGATCTCGGCTCACCACAACCTCCGCCTCCTGGGCTCAGGCAATTCTCCTGCCTCAGCCTCCTGAGTAGCTGGGATTACAGGCACGCACCACCATGCCCAGCTAATTTTTTGTATTTTTAGTAGAGACGGGGTTTCACCATGTTGACCAGGATGGTCTCGATCTCTTGACCTTGTGATCCACCCGCCTCGGCCTCCCAAAGTGCTGGGATTACAGGCTTGAGCCATCGCGCCCAGCCACATTTATTAATATATAACACATATTAATATATTAATAATATATTGTCCATTATATCTATGAATCGATATTATGTTGATAATATATATCCATAACATATATTAATATATATCTATAAAATATAAAATATATAATTATGTTACATAATATATACCATATCAATATATCTACATAATATATAATATCTATAACATATATTATAATAGATATCATTCTATATGTGAATATAATACACATAGAATCATTCTGTGGTGGCTGTCGGCCTGGCTGACAGGTTGACAGGCTGTGAGGGTACAGGGCGTTGGATGCCCTCACCTGGTTTTCTAGGAGGTGGCACATCCCGAGGCTCTGTACAGAGGTCTCCTCCGTAACCAACTTCACACCTGCAGGTGAATGTGGCTCCCTGCTCCTGACACTGCCCGTCATTCTGACAGGGGTTCTGCAGACAGGGGCTTTCTGCAGGACAGAGAGGGTTGTGGGAGGGGCCTTGAGAGGACACTTCCAGCTCAGGGGAGGACTGACTGGGGGCTGGGACGCCAGGGGAGAAAGCAGCAGCTGCCAGAGACTGCTGGCCAGGAGCCAGCCAGCCTGGCTCCCAACCCTGCCTCACTACCCCTGGGTTTGGGGGAAACTTCTTTCCTTCAAAATTCCTTCCTCCCTCCCTCCCTTTCTCCCGCCTTCTCCCTTCCTCTCCTCTCCCTTCCCCTCCCTTTCTTCCTTTCCTCTCCTCCCCTCCCCTTCTTCCTTCTCTTCTCTCTCTTTCTTTTTTTTTTTGAGAGGGAGTTTCACTTTTGTTGCCCAGGCTGGAGTGCAGTGGCGGGATCTCGGCTCACCACAACCTCCGCCTCCCAGGTTCAAACGATTCTCCTGTCTCAGCCTCCCAAGTAGCTGAGTAGCTGGGATTACAGGCATGCGCCACCATGCCCGGCTAACTTTGTATTTTTAGTGGAGACAGGGTTCACCATGTTGGTCAGGCTGGTCTCGAACTCCTGACTTTGTGATCCACTTACCTGGGCTTCCCAAAGTACTGGGATTACAGGTGTGAGCCACCTTGCTGGCATCTTCTCCTTTTTTTTGAGACAGGATCTCACTCTGTTGCAGGCTGGAGTGCAGTGGCACAATTATGGCTCACTGTAGCCTCAATCTCTTGGGTTCAAGTGATTTTCCCACCTCAGCCTCCCAAGTAGTTGAGACTAGAGGTACGCACCATCACACCCAGCTTTTATTTTTCTTTAATTTTTAGTAGAGACTAAAAATTAAAAATTTTCCTCTGTTGCTCAGGCTGATCTTGAACTCCTGAGCTCAAAGCAATTCTCTCACCTTGCCTCCCAAAATGCCAGGATTACAGGCATGAGTCCCCTACACCTGGCGGGACATGGCTGAACCTCGCTGCACTCCATGTTTGTTACATAAATAGGAGTGCTGTGCTAATCACCAGGACTGAAGTGAGGACTGGAGGAGGAACAGGAAGGAAGGCTAGGAAAGGATCCAGCAGCTCACGGATGCTCAGGAAATAGAAGATCTTTGTCCTTTGTCCCTCTCCACAAAGGCAGAGACAGACATCCTGAAATCAATGTGGAAGAGTCCCAAGGACAGGGAGGGGGTGATCCTTGGTGCATAGATGCCCCAGGGCGTGGGTCAGCTTGGAAGCCAGCATGGGTGCAGGTTCACCTGGGAAGCAGCCTCGGGTGTGGTTCCCCAGAGTGCAGACCTCCCCCTCTCTGCAGCTGAAGGATTCACAAAGCAGGATCCGTGAGCGGGCGCAGGTGCAGCGCTGAGAGCAGTCCTCAGTCACGAAGACGTCGCCCAGCTAGAAAAGGGAAAGGCCAGGAGGAGACGCTCCGGTTCCATCCCTGGTCTGGCTCCCCTTGGCACCTCTGCTCCCCAGGGCCTCCCGCTGCCAGCCCAGACCTGGTAGTAGATGCCATTGCCGGTGCAGCCACAGTCAGCCAGCGGGAGGCTCTGGGTGCCGCTGTAGGCGTAGCCTGGGATGCTGGCACAGCCTTCCACGCAGGGGCCCTCGCAGTCCCCAGGGTCCGTCAGGTGGGCACAGGATGCTGGGCAGGGTGTCATACAGCTCTGATACATGGTACCTGCTGGGCACTCCATGGCTGGGGGAAGAGTCACGGTCAGAAGCTGGCTGGGGCTGGGCAGGCCCAACAGGGGCAAGGTCACCCAATAAAACTCAGAGATGCTTACAGGCAGGAAGCCAGAACATGTCATGGCTTCATCTAGGGTCTTTTTTTCCTTTTTTTTTTTTTTTTTTTGTTTAGAGGTGGAGTCCTGCTCTGTTGCCCAGGCTGGAGTTCAGTGGCGTGATCACAGCTCACTGCAGCCTCCAACTCCTGAGTTCCAGTGATCCTCCTACCTCAGCCTCCCCAGTGACTGGAGCTACAGGCATGCATCACCACACCCAGCTAATTTGTCTGAAATTTTTATAGAGATGGGGTCTCACTATGTTGCCCAGGCTGGTCTCAAACTCTTGGCTTCAATTGATGCTCCCGCCTCAGCCTCCCTAAGTGGTGAGACTACAGGTGTGAGCTACCACACCCAGCCTGTCTCATCTTTTCTTCTTTTCTTTTCTTTCTCTTTTTCTTTCCTTTCTCTCTCTTTTTTTTTTTAATGGAGTCTCACTCTGTCACTCAGACTGGAGTGCAGTGGTGCAATCTTGGCTCACTGCAACCTCTGCCTCCCGGGTTCAAGCAATTCTCCTGCCTCAGTTCCTCGAGTAGCTGGGATTACAGGCATCTGCCACTATGTCCAGCTAATTTTTTGCATTTTTAGTAGAGACTGGGTTTCACTATGTTGGCCAGGCTGGTCTCAAACTCCTGACCTTGTGGTTTGCCCACCTTAGCCTCCCTAAGTGCTGCAATTACAGGTGTGAACTACCGTGCCTAGTTTTTTTTTTTTTTTTGAGATAGGATGTTGCTCTGCTGCCCAGGAGTGCAGTGGTGCAGTCATGGCTCACTGCAGCCTCGAACTCCTGGGCTCAAGCCATCTTCCAGCCTCGGCCTCCCAAAGCACTGGGATTACAGGTGTGAGCCACCATGCCCAGCTGATCCAGGGTCTTTTTGTCTGCAACATTAGAGCATTTGAAGGAACTGGCTGAGCAAAGGTGGACCCTGGCAGGAAGGAGCGGGATGGGGGATGGGGTTGGGCGGCTCCCAGGCAGGGTCAGAGGAGTCAGGCTGCAGGTTGTACTGACTTGGACATGGGACTAAGAAAGTTGAGGGAGGCTGGGACTAAGACAGCTGGAGATGAGGCAATGGTGGGAAGAGAGTTCAGCAGAGGTGGATGGCAGAGGGGAGGGGTAGTGCCTCACCGCAGAGGGTGTGGTCCCGCCAGCCGGCCAGGGCAGCGCCCGCCTCCTGGCAGAGGATGGCATACCAGCTGAGGACCTGGCAACGCAGCTCCTCTTGCTCTCTGGGGTCCTGAGCAGAGCACAGATCCAGCACACAGTGCCTGGGGTGAAGAGGGGACAGGAAGGGCAAAGTCAGTTTTGGGGAGGCTAGGAGACCCACCCCTGCAAAAGAGAGCCTGGAACCCCAAACAGAAAGACATCAGTCGGTGTCCAGGGAGGGTCACAAGGAAACGAGGCCACAGGGAGAACAGAGGAGTGACCCAGACAGAGCTTGGGTCAGGAAGCTGGCAGGAGGCCCCAGGGAAAGATCAGAGCAGGCACCTGGGCCATTCCCTCAAGTCCTGGGCCCATGACTCACTCCTGGAAGGGCTCTGGGGCCACCGTCTGGTGACAGGCAGCAAAGGGGCCTTGGGGGTCCGCCAGCACCCTACAGGCCTGGGTGCTGTTGCTCGCCAGCTGCTCCGGGCTACATTCAGACACATGGAGGCCCAGTTCCGCCCCTCGTCCCTCCTCCTCCGCTGGTGCAGCCCTGCAGCAAAGACAGCCACGGGGTCAGGTGAGGCCATAATGAAGGTGAAGTGAGGGAAGAAGAACAACTGATTAGCTGGGCGTGGTGGTGTCTGCCTGTAGTCCCAGCTACTTGGGAGGCTGAGGCAGCAGGATGACTTTAGCCCAGGAGGCAGAAGCTGTAGTGAGCCGAGATCACACCACTGCACTGCACTCCAGCTGGGGCAGCAGAGGAAGACCTTGTCTCTAAAAAAGATTTTTAGAAAAAGAAGAACTGGGAAGGCAGGCTGAGGGTAGGGTGGGGGCACAGACTGGGATTTCCACTGAGCGGGTGCCCCCACGGTCAGGTGAGAGGGAATGACAGAATAGGGAGGATCCAGGTCTCTCTGCACCCTCTCCCTGGAGTTTCATCCTCTGCTGAGGACAGGAGGGCCAGCGGCCGCTGGGTGCAGAGCTGTTCATCTCTCCAACCTCCTCCCTTCCAGGCCACGAACCTGGGGAATCGGAGGAGGGCGTCCTCGGTCTTCACCTCCCAGCTGTTGCCGAAGGTGCTGAGGTTCTGCGTCAGGGCCCCACTGGGCAGCATCATCTCATTCTTTCGGGTCTCATCGTAGTTCCCACAGAGGCCACGCACGAGCCCCCTGTAGATGCTGGGTAGGGAGATCACTGTGGGAGGAAGGGGACCCCCAAAAGTGAGACTCCTCGCTCTTTTTTTTTTTCTGAGACACAGTCTCACTCTGTTGCCCAGGCTGGAGTGCAGTGGCACAATCTTAGCTCACTGCAACCTCCACCTCCCGGATTCAAGTGACTCTTGTGCCTCAGCCTCCAAGTAGCTGGGAATACAGGCACATGCCACCATGCATGGCTAATTCTATATTTTTAGTAGAGATGGTATTTCACCCTGTTGGCCAGACTGGTCTAGAACTCCTGACCTGAAGTGATCCGCCTACCTTGGGCTCCCAAAGTTCAGGAATTACAGGCATGAGCCACCAAGCCCAGCCCTCACCTTTTTTTAAAATTAACTTTTTTTTAAAAAGCAGGGTCTTGCTCCATTGCCCAGGCTGGAGTACAGTGGCATAATCATGGCTCACTGCAGCCTCCAACTCCTGGGCTCAAGTAATCCTCTCTCCTTGGCCCCTCCAGTAGCTGGGACTACAGGTGTGCACCATCATACCCAGCTAATTTTTTATTTTTATTTTTTGTAGAGATGGGGTCTTGCTATGTTGTCAGGCTGGTCCCGAATGCCTGGCTCAAGCGATCCTCCCATCTTGGCCTCTCCAGTTCCAGAAGCTGGGATTACAGGCACATACCATCACACCTGGCTCATTTTAATTGTTTTTTTTGAGACGTAGTTTTGCTCTTGTTACCCAGGCTGGAGTGCAATGGTGCGATCTCAGCTCACCGCAACCTCCGCCTCCTGGGTTCCGGCAATTCTCCTGCCTCAGCCTCCTGAGTAGCTGGGACTACAGGCACACGCCACCATGCCCAGCTAATTTTTTGTATTTTTAGTAGAGATGGGGTTTCACCATGTTGACCAGAATGGTCTCGATCTCTTGACCTTGTGATCCACCCACCTCAGCCTCCCAAAGTGCCGGGATTACAGGCCTGAGCCACTGCGCCCGGCCCTAATTTTTTTTTTTGAGACAGAGTTACTCATGCTGCCAGGCTGGAGTGCAATGGTATGATCTCGGCTCACTGCAACTTCCACCTCCTGGGTTCAATTGATTCTCCTGCCTCAGTATCCCAAGTAGCTGGGATTAGAGGAACCTGCCACCATGGCCAGCTAATTTTTGTATTTTTAGTAAAGATGGGGTTTCACCATGTTGGCTAGGCTGGTGTCGAACTCCTGACCTTAGGTGATCTGCCCGCCTCGGCTTCCCAAAATGCTGGGATTGCAGGCGTGAGCCACACACCTGGCCTTAAAAAATTTTTTTTTGGGTCGGGCGCAGTGGCTCAAGCCTGTAATCCCAACACTTTGGGAGGCCGAGGCTGGTGGACCACGAGGTCAAGAGATCGAGACCATCCTGGTCAACATGGTGAAACCCCGTCTCTACTAAAAATACAAAAATTAGCTGGGCATGGTGGCGCACGCCTGTAGTCCCAGCTACTCGGGAGGCTGAGGCAGGAGAACTGCTTGAACCCAGGAGGCGGAGGTCGCGGTGAGCCGAGATCGCGCCATTGCACTCCAGCCTGGGTAGCCTGGGTAACAAAAGCGAAACTCCGTCTCAAAGAAAAAAATTTTTTTTGTAGAGACGGGGGTCTCACTATGTTCCCCAGGCTGGTCTCGAGCTTCTGGCCTTAAGCGATCCTTGTGTCTCAGTTTCCCAGAACACTGGGATTACAGGCCAGTGCCACAGCACCCAACCAAGGCTCTGCCCTCTGCTCTCCAGCTGGCCTCACTCCACCTCCTCCTGGTCCTCCTCTGGAGCCAGGTGCCCCACATCCGGGCAGAAGTCCTCTCACCAGGATCCGCCTGTCTTAGCCAGGATCTTCCCTACCCCTTCTCAGAAATGGCCCTTCTGCTCTTCTTTTCCCTGTGTCCGCTACCTGCATTTTTCCTTCCACCGAAGCTGACGACCAGCTCAAAGTCGGTGACCAGGTAGAGCCGTTGGCCGTGCAGGGTGACACGCAGGTGCTCATCCGGCCTGTAGGGGACGGCCATCTTCTGGTTGTTGACCTAAAGAGGGAGGACGGGAGCGGCAGGGAGGGCTGAATCTGCCTGACCTGGTACCTTTCCTGCCTGGCCTTTGCTTTTCCCAGTCATGTCCATATGTCTCCGTGAAGACAGGGGAATGAGATAGCCAAGTGGGGGCTTTGCTATTCCACATGGCAGAAGCCTCTGTGAGGTCCTCCCCGTTTCCGGCCAAGTCCTTCCTTGCAAAAAATTGGTGCAGTGAGGCTGGGCACAGTGGCTCACGCCTGTAATCCCAGCACTTTGGGAGGCCGAGATGAGCAGATCACCTGAGGTCAGGAGTTCGAGACCAGCCTGACCAACATGGGGAAACCTGGTTTCTACTAAAAATACAAATATTAACCAGGTGTGGTGGTGCACGCCTGTAATCCCAGTTACTCGAGAGGCTGAGGCAGGAGAATCACTTGAATCTAGGAGGCGGAGGTTGCAGGGAGCTGAGTGGTGCTAGTGCACTCCAGCCTGGGTCAGAGAGTAAGACTCTATTTCAACAAAACAAAATAAAAGCACATTGGTGTAGTGGATGCCACTGACTCTCCAGCCTGGGATTGGCCTTCACACATCGCACGCCCTGTCCTCCTCCACCTCCTCTCTTCCTCTTGTCTCCTGCCAGCCTCTACTGCCTCCCCACATGCAGTGAGCTTGTTGTTGGATTTCTTTTTGGTTTTGAGACCGTTTCTCTTTGTCACCCAGGCTAAAGCTAAAGTGCAATGGCAAGATCTTGGCTCACTGCAGCCTCGAACTCCTGGGCTCAAGCGATCCTCCAGCCTCAGACTGTCCAATAGCTGGGACTACCGGTGTGCGCCCCCATACCCAGCTCATTTTAAATTTTTTGCAGAGATGTAGGGTCTGGCCATGTTGCCCAGGCTGCTTTTGAACTTCTGAGCTCAAGTGATCCTCCCGTCTTAGCCTCCTGAGTGGCTGAGATTACAAGCACGAACCACTGCGTCCTGCTGACTCCAATTTTACAACCCGCCCGCCCCTGCCACCAGCGTCCCAGGGAACAGGGACCCCTGACTTCTCCTCCTGCAGGTGGCCTGCCTGGTCCAGCTGCCTCCCCATACCCACCAGGCCCAGGCCCAGAACTTACCACAAGCTCCAGACCAGCTTGGAACTGCACTTTATAGCCATAGATGGTGGTAATCACCTCGTGCAAAAAGATGGAGCTCCCGGATGGATGTATCTTGTTGCGTCCCTCCACAAGCAGGGGCTCCACCCCCTCAGGCAGCACATCCACAGTCTGGATCAGGATGTAGGTCATGCGGCCCTGGAAGCGGTAGCTGAACCCGTCAAACGTGAGGTAATGGGGGTCCCCGTAGATTGAGCATTGTTCAGACTCTGCCAAGAAGTCAAACAGTGAGAAGGGGCTGGGTGTGGTGGCTCAGGCCTGTAATCCCGGGACTTTGGGAGGCAGAGATGGGTGGATCACCTGAGGTCGGGAGTTAGAGAACAGCCTGGCCAACATGGAGAAATCTCATCTCTACTAAAAAATACAAAAATTAACCAGGTGCGGTGGTGTGTGCCTGTAATTCCAGCTACTTGGGAGGCTGAGACAGGAGAATTGCTTGAAACCGGGAGGCAGAGGTTGCAGTGAGTGCCAAGATCACACCACTACCCTTCAGCCTGGGTGACAGAGTGGGCCTTCATCTCAAAAAAAAAAAAGAGTGAGAAGGGACCCTGCCCAGGTGTAATGGTCCCCAAAGTCACTCCCCCACGGTGACGTCCCCTGTGGCCACCCTCTTAGGCTCCCTGGATCCTTTCTTTTTTCTTATTTTTCTTTTTTTGAGACAGGGTCTCCTTCTGTCACCCAGAATGAAGTACGAGTGGCACAATCACAGCTCACTGCAGCCTCCAACTCCTGGGCTCAAGCAATCCTCCTGCCTCAGCCTCCTGAGTAACTGGAACTTCAGGAGTGCACCACCACCCCTCGCTAATTTTCTTTCTCTTTAGAGATGGGGATCACACTATGTTGCCAGGCTGGTCTTGAACTCCTGGCCTCAAGGAATCCTCCCACCTTGGCCTCCCAAAGTGCTGGGATTACAGGCATAAACCACCGTGCCTGGTGCCTGAGCTTTTTTTTTTTTCCCAATACCTAGTGACACTCAATTAAAGGCCCATTTTTATTTTATTTTTCCAGACAGGGTCTTACTCTTGTCTCCCAGGCTGGAGTGCAGTGGTATAATCATAGCTCACTGCAGCTTCAAACTCCTGAGCTCAGGTAATTCTCCTGCTTCAGTCTCCTGAGTAGCTGAAACTATAGGCACAAGCCACTACACCTGGCTAATTTTTTAATATTTTAAAAATTTTTGTAGAGATAGGCTCTTTCTATGTTGGCCAGGCTGGTATTGAACTCCTGTACTGAGATGAACCTTCCACCTCGCCCTCCCGAGTACTGGGATTACAGTCAGGAACCACCATGCCCAGCCTCCCTGGATTCTTGATCTTCAACTTTCTCCCTCTCCTGGCCTGATTAAAAACCTTAGGGAGGCCAGGCACAGTGGCTCACACCTGTAATCCCAACACTTTGGGAGGCAGGAGGAACATCTGAGATGGGTTCAAGTCCATCCTGGACAACATAGCAAGACCCCATATCTCTACAAAAAAACAGAAAAATTGGCTGGGTGTGGTGGTGCGTGCCTGCAGTTCCAGCTACTTGGGAGGCTGAGATGTGAGGATCACTTGATTCCAGGCATTTGAGGTTACAGCGAGCTATATGATGTGCCAGTGCACTCCAGCATGGACAACAGAGCAAGACCCACCAGTCTCAAAAAACAAACAAGCAGCCAGGCACAGTGGCTCATGCCTGGAATCCCAGCACTTTGGGAGGTCAAGGCCGGAAGGGTCCCAGAGGGGATCAGGACCTGGCACATGGCCACAGAGTTGGCAAAAGGCAGATTGGAGACCAGACCTCCTGATTCAGTCACCTGCCCCAACCCCTTCCTGTGCTCGGGTTCAGGCTAAGCCCCTTCCCGCCCTGCCTCTTCCCCCACCTCTGCCCTGGCCCCAAGTGCTCCCCTCTCCACCCGCCCTGCTTGCTCCCCTTACTGTCTGAGACACAGTTGCTGTTGCTGTTGTCGGAACTGTGCTGGCAGTGGGATCCAGAGGGGCATCGGAAGTCCCTGCACTGAATGGCTCCTCCTGTGCAAACACACTTCTCTGTGCAACCACTGGAGACCCAGCTCTTGTCCGGCTGTAGAAGTCACCAGAAGAGAAAGAGAGTAAGAAAGGGGCCAGGTGTGGTGGCTCACGCCTGCAATCCCAGCACTTTGGGAAGCCAAGATGGATGGATCACCTGAGGTCAGGAGTTCGAAACCAGCCTGGCCAACATGATGAACCCTGTCTCTACTAAAAATAAAAAATTAGCTGAGCGTGGTGGCAGGTGCATGTAATCCCAGCTACTCAGGAGGCTGAGGCAGGAGCACTGCTTGAACCCAGGAGGTGGAGGTTGCAGTGAGCCAAGATCACACCACTGCATTCCAGACTTGGTGACAGAGCGAGACTCTGCCTCAAAAAAAAAAGAGAAAGTGAAGAGAGAAGGGCCGGTTCTCCGTCCTCTTACCCCAGCAGCCTAGTCCATCATCTGAATGGCTTAACTGATGCTGGCCAGAGGCAGCCACAGTGCCAATTGGATATCCAAAAGACACTGTGCGAGGCAAGTGTGGTGGATCATGCCTATAATCCCAGCACTTTGGGAGGCCAAATTGGGCAGATCACTTGAGGTCAGGAGTTCAAGACCAGCCCGGCCGCTGTCTCTACTAAAAATACAAAAATTAGCCAGGCTTGATGGTGCTTGCCTGTCATCTCAGCTACACAGATTGAGGCAGGAGAATCGCTTGAACCTGGGAGGGAGAAGTTGCAGTGAGCAGAGATCATGCCACTTCACTCCAGCCTGGGTGACAGAGGGAGACTCTGCCTCAAAAAAACAAACAAACAAAAAACCACTGTGTTTGGTGTCTTACATACGTTGTGAAAAAGACACTACAAACCCATTTTACAGATGAGGAAACTGAGATAATAGAGGTCATCTGACTCATCAGTGGCACCATTAGGATTCAATCTTAGGTCAGCCTGAAATGAGGCCATGGTCCTTCCACAATACCATGCCATGTGCTGCTTGTTTGGATTCCTCAGACCCACCCAAGCCATGCACCATCAGCTCAGACCTGGCTGGAGATCAATTTGTCACCCACAGCAGCCTTCACACCCCAAGGCCAGCTGTCAAGTCATGGGTGTCCCAGGCTGAGAGAGGTGGGGAAAAGGAGAAAGCAGCACCCTCCAGGTGCGTTGGCTTCAGTCCTCCCATTTCCCATCCCTACTCACAGGGATGGAGCCACCATGGGCATCCTTGCAGCTGCACTGACTTCTGGGGACACACTTGTCCTCATTCAGCACATAGCCGGGCTGACAAATGCACCCCTCGGCACAGGCAGAGGGGACTTTGGTGCCCTCACACCGGCCATCCAGGTCCCAGCAGGAAGGTGAGCAGGAGGGAAGGCAGTTGGTGTAGCGGCTGTAGGCAGGGCATTCCAGAGCTGTGGGTGAAGGAGACAGTGGGTCAGCAGAGAGGGCCAGAGGGGGCCAAGGTGGGCAGGTGCTGGGGTAAGGGTCTGTTCCCATATAAAAACTGATTCAGAAAAGAATTAGAAATGTAGGCACATAGTTATTCCTTTATATAATAATATATAATCTTATAGTTGCTTATAATCATAAAAATATATACTCAATATAACCTTTATTTTACTAATGATTATCGGGTTATGAAGCATGGAACTGAGGTGACATTGTGAACAAAGTGATCCTAAGGCAACATGCTCTAAGCCCTCTGTCACGCCCGCATAAAGGCTGCTGGAGGGCATCTCAGCTGTGCGGCAGTGCCCGCGCTGGGAAAGCCAGCTAGGGAAAGAGATGTCCAAAATGACAGAGACATCTCCTTCCTGGGGAAGTTAGGAGAAAACTCCGCTTCTCCAAGTTCTTGTGGTAGGCCTGACAGCTGTCAGACATCCGGGGGCTTAATTGTCTCTATGTGATGCTGTGCTTCAGTGGTCATGTTCCATGTCTACTCTCACGGCCTGCATCTGTACCGGGTTTCTTTTTCTTAAAAGGTAAGAATTAGTAACAGTAACATAATCTTAGTGAGCAATGATGCATTAGGTTTTCTCCTCACCTCAGCTATTTGAAAGTATTGGGCCCCCTATCTTCAAGACCTGTGATTTACCTGACCCTATCACTGGCCACCATTACCTCACTCTACCTTTCCTGCCCACTGCTTTGTACTCAATAAAATTCAGAGTGTCCAGGCACTCGGGGCCACTGCAGGTCTCTGCGCTTTGGTTGGCAGTGGACCCCCGAGCCCAAATTCTCTTTTCTCTATCTCTGTGTCTTTTATTTCTAGTTTCTTGTCTCCACACCAACAGGGAGGGGCTCACGGAACCCTATAGGGCTGGACCCTCCAGGTAGGGGCTGTAGAAACCAGGCTATGGATGGATGACCAAGAAGGCTTGGGGAGATTTTTTTTTTCTTTTGTTATTCATTCAGCAAACATTTACTGAGTGTGGATTGTGGCCAGGCTTTGGGTAAAGGAACAAGAATGGCTCTCCCAAGTAAGCATGGGGGACAGAGGTCACACAGCAGCTGCAGCATGACCTTGATATGCATGATCAGTGGGTGGGTTCACAGGCAAGAGTATACAAGGTGTGACGGAGGCACAGAGCAGGGAGGTATTAATTCTGTTGGGGGAGTTAAAGAAAGGACCTTAAGCAAAAGTAGTGTGAACAAATGGAAATGCATACCATGCTCATGGATAGGAAGGTTCAGCAACACAGTGATACTATTTCTCCCTTAGTGAATGTACACGTTTAATGTGATCTCAACAAAATATACCACAAGTATTTTTTTTGGTGGGGAGGATGGAGTCTCTCTCTGATGCCCAGGAGTGGTCTCGGCTCACTGCAGCCACCACCTCCCGGATTCCAGTGATTCTCCTGCTTCAGCCTCCTAGGTAGCTGGGATTATAGGCACACGCCAACATGCCTGGCTAATTTTTATATTTTCAATAGTGACAGTATTTCACCATGTTGGCCAGGCCAGTCTCAAACTCCTGACCTCAGGGATCCTCCCACCTTGGCCTCCCAAAGTGCTAGGATTACAGGCAAGAGCCACCGCACCCGGCCACAAAAGTATTTTATACGAGTGTGTGCTTTTAATAGGACAAGATGATTTCAAAGTTGAGCTGAAGACAAGCAAACCAAAAAAGCCAGGAAATCTCTTTAAAAAAAGAGCCGTGAGTAGTGAATGTCCCTACCATAAGTCACACTTATTTTATTTTATTTATACAGAGTTTTGCTCTTGTTACCCAGGCTGGAGTGCAATGGCACGATCTTGGCTCACTGCAACCTACACCTCCTGGGTTCATGCGATTCTCCTGCCTCAGCCTCCTGAGTACCTGGGATTACAGGCATGCGCCACCACGCCCAGATAATTTTTGTATTTTTAGTAGAGATGGGGTTTCACCATGTTGGCCAGGCTGGTCTTGAGCTCCTGACCTCAGGTGATCCGTCCGCCTCAGACTCCCCAAGTGCTGGGATTATAGGTGTGAGCCACTGCGCTGGGCCCAAGGCTCATTTTGACCTCTCAACGATTACAACTTTGTATTACTGCTACGTGCAGATACAGATGGACAGACAGAACAGAGGAGAAAGCTCAGATGTGGATCCAAATATATACAGGAATTTAGTAATGATAAATTGTGGCATCTCATTCCCTGGGCAAAGACAGATTCGTCATTTAATAATGTTGGAATAGCTGGCTAGCCTTCTGGAGAAAAATAGAAACAAGGTTGATTCATACCTCATTTTACATACCAGGATAAATACTCATGCGTCAAAAACCTATACACCAAAAATAACCCACTTAAACATAAAAAAATGAAACCACAAAAGTCCTAAAGCAGGCCAAACATGGTGGCTCATGCCTGTAATCCCAGCTCTTTGGGAGGCTGAGGAGGTCTGATCACTTGAGGCCAGGAGTTTGAGACCAGCCTGGCAAACATGGTAAAACCCCATCGCTATTAAAAACACAAAAAAATTAGCCAGGGGTGGTGGTGCGTGCCTGTAATCCTAGCTACTCAGGAGGCTAAGGCAGGAGAATTGCTTGAACCCGGGAGGTTGCAGCAAGCTGAGATTGAGCCACTGGGGTCTGGAGCCACCGAGTGAGACTCTGTCTCAAACAAACAAACAAAATTTCTAGAGCAAAGAATCAGCAAACTTTTTTGTAGCTTCTTTGGGGCAAGCATTTATAGCTATTGCTCAAGATGGAGAAGACACAGAACAAGATTAACATATTTGACTCCATAACATTTTTTTTCCTGCATGACAAAAAAAAAAAAAGTCAAAAGAAACAAAAAGGACTGGAAAAATTTGTGTAACTTGGAGCACTAATAAAGGTCTATTTTCCATAATAGATAAAGGACTTTCATTAAATAGTTCCATAAAGACCAACGACTCAGTGGAAAAATGGCAACCAAATAGAAGCAGATAGTTTACAGAAAGGGAAATTCAAAGCATTCTTAAGCATATGGAAAAATGTCCAACTTCATTCATAATAATAACTCAAATTAAGACATTATTTTTCATGACCGGGCGAGGTGGCTCACGCTTGTAATCCCAGCACTTTGGGAGGGTTGAGGCAGGTGGATCACCTGAGGTCAGGAGTTCAACACCAGCCTAGCCAATATGGTAAAACCCTGTCTCTACCGAAAATATAAAAATTAGCCAGGCGTGGCGGCACATGCCTGTAATCCCAGCTACTCAGAGACTGAGGCAGGACAACCACTGGAACCTGGGAGGCAGAGGTTACAATGAGCAAAGATCATGCCACTGCACTCCAGCCTGGATGACAGAGTAAGACTCTATCTCAAAAAAAAAAAAAAGACTTGTTTTTCACTTCTCAGATTGGCAAACTCAAAAAGCACAAAGCATACAGCTTTCTTGTCTTTTGTTTTTTAATTTTATTTTTTGTAGAGATGCAGGGGTCTCTGTATTGCCCAAGTTGGTCTCAAACTCCTGGCCTCAAGCTTCTTGGCCTCTCAAAGTACTTGGATTATGTTGTGAGTCATTGCACCCAGCCAAGAATATAAATTTGAATTTGTTTGTATATGCATAAATAAATGGTCTTGGAGAAAAATACTGAGCTGTGAAGCAGGCCCATGGGTGAGGGTGGGAGGGAGACCATACACTGGTTATCTTTGTTTTTAGGGGGAGATTTCTTTTTTTCTGAGATAGGGTGTCACTCTGTCACCCAGACTTGAGTGCAGTGGTGTAATCATGGTTCACTGAAGCCTTGACCTCACGGGCTCAAGTGATCCTCCCACCTCAGCCCTCCCAGTAGCCGGGACCACAGGCATGAACCACTATACTTGGCTAGTTTGGTAATTTTTTGTAGCAATGGGGTACCACTATGTTACCCAGGCTGGTCTCAAACTCTTGGGTTCAAGCAATCCGCCCACCTACCTCAGTCTCCCAAATTTCTGGAATTATAGGCATGAGCCACCGCACCCCACCAACTGAGTGTTTTTTAATACTTTAAAAGTATTTAAAAATTTTTAATCCTTTATAATTTTTGAATCCTGCGAATGAGTTACATATTAAAAAATCTCTACAAAATTCCTGTTTTAATTGTAAAAGGATCTGGAATTATATAGTAGTGATAGTTGCACAACTTTATGAAGATACTAAAAGACACTTGATTTATTTATTTTTTGGGATGGAGTTTCACTCTTGTTGCCCAGGCTGGAGTGCAATGTTGTGACCTCCGCTCACTCTCCGCCTCCCAGGTCCAAGTGATTCTCCTACCTCAGCCTCCCGAGTAGTTGCAACTACAGGCGCCCTCCATCATTCCCAGCTCATTTTTTGTATTTTTAGTAGAGATGAGGTTTCACCATGCTGGCCAGGGTAGTTTCCAACACCCATCTCAGCCTCCCAAAGTGGTGGGATTACAGGCATGAGCCACCGCACCCAGCTAAAAGACACTTCTAAAAGAGTGAATAGTATGCTATGGGAATAATCTCAGTAATTTTTTTTTTTTTTTTTTTTTGAGATGGAGTTTCGCTCTTGTTACCCAGGCTGGAGTGCAAATGGTGCGATCTCGGTTCACGGCAACCTCCGCCTCCTGGGTTCAGGCAATTCTCCTGCTTCAGCCTCCTAATTTTTTTTTTTTTTTTAAGTAAAATGCTACAGAAGTTTGCCCAGTTGTCTGCCAGGAGGAAAGAAGAAAGCTTTCTGGCCACCCCGGCTAACATGGTGAAACCCCATCTCCATAAAAAACACAAAAATTGCCCGGGTGTGGTGGCCGATGCCTGTAGTTCTAGCTACTTGGGAGGCTGAGGCACGAGAATGGCTTGAACCCAGGAGGCGGAGGTTGCAGTGCCGAGATCTTGCCATGGCACTCCAGCCTGGTGACAGAGGGAGATTCCATCTCAAAAGCCAGGTGAGGTGGCTTATGCCTGGAGTCCCAGCACTTTGGAGGGCCAAGGCTCATTGCAACCTCCACCTGCCAGGTTCAAGCCATTCTCATGCCTCAGTCTCCCAAGTAGCCGGGACTATAGGCATGGGCCACCACACCCGGATAATTTTATGGGTTTTTTGTTTTTTTTTGAGACAGAGTCTTGCTCTGTCGCCAGGCACCAGGCTGGAGTGCAGTGGCGGAATCTTGGCTCACTGCAACCTCCACCTCCTGGATTCAAGCAATTCTCCTGCCTCAGCCTCCCAAGTAGCTGGGACTACAGGCATGCGCCACCATGCCCACCTAATTTTTATATTTTAGTAGAGATGGAGTTTCACCATGTTGGCCTGGGTAGTCTTGATCTCTTGACCTCATGATCTGCCCACCTTGGCCTCCCAAAGTGCTGGGATTACAGGCATGAGCTACCTTGCCCAACCTAATTTTGTGGGGTTTTTTTTTTTTTTTGAGATGGAGTCTTGCTCTGTCACCAGGCTGGAGTGCAGTGGCGCAATCTCGGCTCACTGCAACATCTGCCTCTTGGGTTCAAGTGATTCTTCCACCTCAGCCTCCTGAGTAGCTGGGACCACAGGCACGTGCCACCATGGACGGCTAACTTTTTTTTTGTTTTTGAGACAAAGTTTCGCTGTTGTTATCCAGACTGGAGTGCAATGGCACGATCTCGGCTCACCACAACCTCCGCCTTATGGGTTCAAGCAATTCTCCTGCCTCAGCTTCCTGAGTAGCTGGGACTACAGGCGCACACTACCATGCCCAGATAATTTTTTTGTATTTTTCGTAGAGACGGGGTTTCACCGTGTTGGCCAGGATGGTCTCGATTTCTTGACCTCGTGATCCGCCCACCTCGGCCTCCCAAAGTGCTGGGATTACAAGTGTGAGCCACCACATCGGGCTAAAAAATTTACATCAATTAATAAATAATAAATTAAAAAATAGTCCTCGTCAGAGTCAGTGAGGGCTGAATCAGGACAAACGGGAAGGAGGGTGAGAGTTCTCAGGGAAGCAGAGAGGGAAACAGGGTTTGGGAGTGGTTTGGGGGTGACAGCAGGGCACACTCACGGCAGAAGCTGCTGTTTCTCCAGAGTGGGGGCTTGAGCCCCTGGCTCTGGCAGGCGGCCCCGAAGGCTTGCAGAGTGTTGCAGAGGGCGTGGTGGAGACCTCCGAACTCACAGAGGGTGTTCATACAGCCCACCAGGAAGGGTGTGAGATCTATGTGGGAGGCGCACCGTGCCCATGTGGGAGCCCGCAGCACTGCCTCACACTTTTCCCAAGCCCTGAGGAGGTCGGCCTCCCCGCAGTTTCCACTTGGGTTCTCCTGCTGTTCTGCTGGGATCTGCTGCTCATCCACCAGGAGTTTCTGACAACTGGGAAGGAAAAAGAAAGGAATCAACCTAGGGACAGCTGTCCCCCTGCTATGACACGAATTTTTTTTTTTTTTTTGAGAGGGAGTCTTGCTCTGTCACCCAGGCTAACTGGAGTGCAATGGTGTGATCTCGGCTCACTGCAACCTCCACCTCCCCTCCCAGGTTCAAGCTATTCTGCCTCAGCCTTCTGAGTAGCTGAGACTACAGGAGCCCACCACCATGGCTGGCCAATGTTTTTGGTTTTGGTTTTTCTTGGAGACAGAAACTCACTCTGTGGCCCAGGCTGGAGTACAGTGGTGCAATCTTGGCTCACTTCAACTTCTACATCTCAGGTTAAGGTGATTGTCATGCCTCAGCCTCCCGAGTAGCTGGGATTACAGGCACCCACCACCAAGCCAGGCTAATTTTTGTACTTTTAATAGAGATGGGGTTTCACCATGTTGGCCAGGCTGGTCTTGAACTCCTGACCTCAAGTGATCCACCCGCCTTAGCCTCCCTAAGGGCTGAGATTACAGGCCTGAGCTGCCACGCCTGGCCCTATGATAATGATCTGGTGCGCCCAAATGACCCAGAGAGAGCTCTCAGGGACTCCTCACCCTCCTAATCCCTCTGGTGTTCACAGGGAAGCTGGTCTGAGCTTTGGCCAACCCTCCATCGGCCTTGTCTCCTTCCAGGTTCCTTTTTCTTTTTTCCTTCCTGCTCTGCTGCCCAGGCTGGAGTGCAGCGGCATGATCAAGGCTCACTGCAGTTTCAATCTCCCAGGCCCAGGGGATCCTCCTGCATCAGCCTCATGAGTAGCTAGGACTAACCACACCTGGTTATTTTTCTTTTCTTTTCTTCTTTTCTGTAGAGATGGGGTCTTACTATGTTGCCGAGGCTAGTCTCAAACTCTTAGGCTCAAGCAATCCTATCACATCAAAGTGTCAGAAGTACAGGCGTGAACCTCTGCACCCAGCCATTTTTAAACTTTTTTTCTTGAGGCAGAGTGTCTCTCTGCTGCCCAGGCTGGAGTGCAATGGTGAGATCTCAGCTCAATGAAACCTTTGCCTCCTGGGTTCAAACAAGTCTGCTGCCTCAGCCTCCTGAGTAGCTGGGATTACAGGCGCCTGCCACCATACCAGGCTAATTTTTGGATTTTTAGTAGAGATGGGTTTCACCTTGTTGGTCAGGCTGGTCTTAAACTCCTGACCTTGTGATCTGCCTGCCTTGGCCTCCCAAAGTGAGGTGCGTGGGACACGGCACCTGACCTGTTTGTAAACTTTTTAAGACAGAGTCTTGCTCTGTCATCCAGGCCGCAGTGCAGTGATGCAGTCAGCTCATTGCAGCCTTCAAATCTTGGACTCAAGCAATCTTCCTCCCAAAGCCTCCTGAATAGCTGAGACTACAGGCATGTGCCACCTTGCCTGGCTAATTTTTGTTTCTAATTTTTTTTTGTAGAGATGGGGGTCTTGCTATGTTGTCTAGGCTAGTCTCAAACTCCTGGCCTCACGTGGTCCTTCAGTCTTGGCCTCCCAAAGGGCAGTCTTGGCCTGCCTCTCCTCCAAGGTTTCTAAGTAAGGAAAGGAAGACTTTTTTTTTTTTTTTTTGAGACAGAGTTTCGCTCTTGTTACCCAGGCTGGAGTGCAATGGCGCAATCTCAGCTCACCATAACCTCCGCCTCCTGGGTTCAGGTGATTCTCCTGCCTCAGCCTCCTGAGTAGCTGGGATTACAGGCATGCGCCACCATGCCTAGCTAATTTTTTTGTATTTTTAGTAGAGACAGGGTGACCAGGATGGTCGCGATCTCTTGACCTCGTGATCCACCCGCCTCGGCCTCCCAAAGTGCTGGGATTACAGGTGTGAGCCACCGGAAAGGCCTGGAAAGGAAGACTTTCATATTTCTCTAACTGGGTTCTAGCAGCCTTGAGATGGATCAATTACACACATCACCCCAAAATGTCCAGAAGCCATCACCCTCAAATCAGACACACAAAGCAACATTCTGGCCTGTAATCCCAGCACTTTGGGAGGCCATTGCGGGTGGATCACTTGAGGTCAAGGAATTCAAGACCAGCCTGGCTAATGTGGTAAAACTCCATCTCTACTAAAAATAAAAAAAATTAGCCAGATGTGATGGCTCGTGCCTGTAGTCCCAGCTACTCGGGAGGCTGAGGCAGGAGAGTCGCTTGAACCCAAGAGGCAGATCTTGCAGGCTGAGATCATGCCATTGCACTGTAGCCTGGGTGGCAGAGCAAGACTCTGTCTCAAAACACACAAACAAAAAAAATTGAAGACGAAGAAAAAATAAACATTCTGGTCTTCCCTACAGTCTAGCTCCCCATATCATGTTGTTATGAAAGGCTAGAGGGGTGACCAGGCAAGGTGGCTCTAACCTGTAATCCTAGCACTTTGGGAGGCTGAGGTGGGCAGATCACTTGAGCTCAGGAGTTTCAGACCAGCCTGGACATGGTGAAACCCCTTCTCTACCTAATATATACAAATTAGCTGATCCCAGCATGGGGCATAGTGGCATGCACCTGTAATTCCAGCTACTCGGGAATTAGAGGCACAAGAATTGCTTGAACCCAGGAAGTAGAGGTTATAGTGAGCCAAGATTGTGGCACTGCACTCCAGCCTGGCTTATAGAGCAAGACTCCATCTCAAAAAAAAAAAAAAGAAAAGAAAATGAAAAAGAAAAGCTAGAAGGGTTGGCTCATGTCTATAATCCCAGTACTTTGGGAAGCTGAGGCGGGCACATTGCCTTAGGTCAGGAGTTTGAGACCAGCCTGGCCAACACTGTGAAACCCCGTCTCTACTATGAAATACAAAAATCAGCCAGGCATTGTGGCAGGTGCCTGCAATCCCAGCTACTCAGGAGGCTGAGATAGGAGAATCGCTTGATAGAGGAGGCAGAGGTTGCAGTGAGCCAAGATCACGCCACTGCACTCCAGCCTGAGTGAGAGAGTGAAACCATCTCAATGAAAGAAAGAAGGGGGAGGGAGGAAGGGAAGGGAGAGGAAGGGATGGAAAAGAGAAAAGCTAGAGGGTCTCAGGGGACCACTACCTTGGGTCAATGTCCTTATCTTTCCAACTGTTCACGAATTCGGTGTCACTCTGGGCTAGCTCGTCACTGGGCATCATTAGTTCATCCTCCTCCTCATCGTTGAAGTTCCCACACACGCCGCAGACCTGGGTGGGCAGAGTGGTTTTTCGGTGCTGGGGAAGCATGAGAGCTGTTTTTCTTTCTTTCTTTTCCTTTCTTTTCTTTTCTTTTGAGATGGAGTTTTGCTCGTCGCCCAGGCTGGAGTGCAGTGGCGTGATCTTGGCTCACTGCAACCTCTGCCTCCTCTATCAAGCGATTCTCCTATCTCAGCCTCCTGAGTAGCTGGGATTGCAGGCACCTGCCACAATGCCTGGCTGATTTTTGTATTTCATAGTAGAGACGGGGTTTCACAGTGTTGGCCAGGCTGGTCTCAAACTCCTGACCTAAGGCAATGTGCCCGCCTTGGCTTCCCAAAGTGCTGGGATTATAGACATGAGCCAACCCTTCTAGCTTTTCTTTTTCATTTTCTTTTTTTTTTTGGCTCACTTCAACGTCCACCTCTGGGGTTCAGCGATTCTCCTGCCTCAGCATCCCGAGTAGCTGGGATTGCAAGCGCGCACCACCATGCCTGGTTAAAGTTTTTAAATTATTATTTTTAGTAGAGACAGTGTTTCACCATGTTGGCCAGGCTGGTCTTGAACTCCTGACTTCCGATGATCCACCTGCCTCAGCCTCCCAAAGTGCTGAGATTACAGGCATGAGCCACCACACCCAGCTGAGAGTGGTTTTTCCTGGGAACATCCTTGTCCATCCTACACAGAAAGGTACACTCCTCTGCTGCCCTGCTCCATCCTGAGGAGTGGCCTCTTTGGGCAGGCAGGATGTGAACACTGCCTCCCACCCCTGCCACCCACCAGTCTTCCTGGTGCTGCCTACCCTGTGAACAGAGCCAGACGTTTTCCTCACCTTTCCATAGTAGGTTGTGGGGATTTCAATCTCTAAGAGATGATTCCCATCAAACTTGACCTGCACACCAATCTTGAAGTTAACAATCGTGTAGATGCTGCTGGACTTGATGCTGACCCCGGGGATCTGGGAGATCACGGGGAGGGTGACCTGTTTGCTGTTGATCTAAACAGAAGGGCAGTGACAGTGAGGAGGAGGAGGAGGGACTGGAGTCCCCTGCCCAGCACTCCCTCCCAACCCCGGTCACCACACCCTGCTAACCAGCACATGGTGGCCCTTCTTCAGGGTGACCTGGGCATCGTAGATGTCAATGTAGACTTCGTGAAGGCGAAAAGCCTCAGTCCCACCTTCCTTCTCATGCTTTGCGCTGATCTTGAAGAAGGGCAAGTCCATGGCGGGGTGGCACACTTTCACCAGGATGTGAGTGCAGGCGTCGGGGATAGAATGGTTACTGCCATCAAAGCTCATATAGTGGGACTCCCCTGGGAGCTGACACACTCCCATACCTGGGAGGACAGAGAGACAGCCGGGCTATGGCGCTCCCTCTGGCAGGTACAGGGTCCCTGGGAAACTACTCCTGGGTTCCCCTGCCTTCCAGAAAAGTGTCAAGACCCCAGGTCTGGCCATGCCCAGTGGCTAACGCCTGTAATCCCAGCACTTTGGGAGGCCCAGGAGGGCTGGTCTGAGATCAGCCTGACCAACATGGTGAAACCTCATCTCTACTCTAAAAATGCAGAAAAATTAGGGTGTGGTGAAGTGCACCTGTAAACCCAGCTACTTGGGAGGCTGAGGCAGGAGAATCACTTGAACCAGGGAGATGGAGGTTGCAGTGAGCCGAGATTGTGCCACTGAATCCAGCCTGAGCACCAGAGACTCAAAAAAAAAAAAACCCTGGGACCAAGGCTGAGAGGCATGAGGTTTATTGGTGGAGGGAAGCATGATTCTTCAGAGGAAGGGTTATCTTTTTCTTTTTTGAGACACTGTCTCTGTCACCCGGGGTGGAATGCAGTGGCATGATCATAGCTCACTGTAGCCTCAAACTCCTGGGCTCAAGCGATCTTCCTACCTCAGCCTCCAGAGTAGCTGGGACTACAGGCATGAAGTATCCTATTCAACTAATTATTTATTTATGCATTTTTACTTCTTTTTTTAAATATATTTTTTCCCACCTCTTCCAGGAAATCAACTAATTTTTTAAAAAACTTTTTTTTAAGAGACAGGGTCTTCTTCTGTTACCCAGGCTGGAGTGTAGTGGCAAGATCATAGTGCACTGCCAACTCTAATTCCTGAGCTCAAGAGATCCTCCTACCTCAGCCTCCCAAGGAGCTGAGACTACAGGTGTGATGTCTTTAATTTTAATTTTTTATGTTTTATTTTTTGTAGAGATGGGGTCTTGCTATGTTGCCCAGGTTGGTCTTGAACTCTTGGCCTCAAGTGATCCCACTTCAGCTTCCCAAAGCACTGGGATTAAAGGCGTGAGCACCATGCCCAGCCTCCAGGGAAGAATTTATTTATTTATTTATTTATTTAGAGATGGAATTTTGTCACCCAGGCTGGAGTTCAATGGTGCGATCTCCACTCACTACAACCTCCGCCTCCTGGTTTCAAGGATCCTTCTGCCTCAGCCTCTCGAGTAGCTGGGATTACAGGCACCCGCCATGGTGCTTGGCTAATTTTTGCACTTTTAGTAGAGACAGGGTTTAGCCATGTTGGCCATGTTGACTAGGCTGGTCTCAAACTCCCAGTCTCAATTGATCCACCTGGCTTGTTCTTCCAAAGTGCTGAGATCACAAGTGTGAGCCACCGTGTCTGGCCCCAGAAAGGATTTATAAAACACCGTCTAAGTTGGTGGCTGCTACAGAGGAAGGTTGGGTGAGCGCTGAGGCCCCCTCAGCAGTTGGAGGTCACCTTTCCCACCTGAAGCTCTTTATGACAGCAGTTACGAGCCAAAAGCTGAATCCGAGTGCTACAGGCAGCAGGGAGTCTGTTGGCGAGCTGGGAGAGCTGGCCTCAGGGCTGCGGGGTCCCCCCATCACCGTGGTCCTCTTACCTGAGGCCCGACAACGGAGCAGCCCATCCAGGGCCCAGCATATGTGGTTGGGTTTGCAGGTGCTTTGGACGCAGGTGATGTTGTTGTCGACGGAGCAGGTGCAGAGCCTGGTGCAGGTGTGGTCTGTGTACCAGCGCTCCCCGACCTGTGGGCCACAGGGATTGACAGAGCCAACAGAAACTTGGAATCGGGAGATGGGCTGATGTCCCGGTCGAAGCTGGCTGCAGCATCTGGCCGTCCTCCTTGCCCCCAAGCATTGGGCAACCCTGCCCCTCCCAGGTTCTGAGCCTTCCTCCTGCCACTCCTGAGCTTGTCCTGACCCTAAACGTGTAGACCTGGAAAGGGCAGGGCCCCTGCTAGCTGTCCTCTCACCGGGTGGTAGGAGCCTGCTGGGTCGGTGCAGCCACACTGGCCGAGGGGCACGCATGAGGTTCTGCTCAAGATGTGGCCTTTCTGACATTCACAGCCCTCAGCACAGGGCAGTGCTTTGGGGCAGTCCCTCGGGGTGTTTATGCTGCTGCAGGTGGCTGGGCAGGGGCTGGCACAGGGGCTGTAGCTGCTGCCAGGTGGGCATCTCATAGCTAAGGAAAATAGGAAGAGTGGGGGGGGCATCTTCAGCTCCCAAACCTTAGGGCATCAAAAGCTCCTAGTAGTGGCCAGGCACGTGGCTCACACCTATAATCCCAGCACTTTGGGAGGTCAGGGCAGGCAGATCACCTGAGGTCAGGAGTTTAGACCAGGCTGGCCAACATGGTGAAAATAACATCTCTACTAAAAATACAAAACTTAGCTGGGTGTGGTGGGCATGCCTGTCGTCCCAGCTACTCAGGTGGCTGAGGCATGAATCACTTGAACCTGGGAGGCAGAAGTTACAGCAAGGCAAGTGAGGTCAGACCACTCCACTCCAGCCTTGGGGACAGCGAGACTCTCACAAATAAACAAACAAAAACAGACATAAAATTTACCATTTTAACCATTTTCATTTATTTATTCTTTTTTTTTTTTTAATTTTTTGAGATGGAGTCTCGTTCTTATTGCCCAGGCTGGAGTGCAATGGCGCGATCTTGGCTCACCGCAACCTCCACCTCCCGGGTTCAAGTGATTCTCCTGCCTCAGCCTTCTGAGTAGCTAGCTGGGACTACAGGCATGCACCACCATGCCCAGCTAATTTTGTATTTTTTTTTTAGTAGAGAGGGGATTTCTCCATGTTGGTCAGGCTTGTTTTGAATACCTGACCTTAGGTGATCCACCTGCCTCAGCCTCCCAAAGTGCTGGGATGAACAAGGGTGAGCCACTGCCCCCGGCCAACCATTTTTAAGTGTACACTTCAACAGCACTAAGTACGTTCACATTCTGGGCGGCCATTACCATCATCCATTCACAACTTTCGGTTTTGTTTTGTTTTTCGCTCTCGTCACCCAGGCTGGAGTGCACTGATCTGACCTCGCCTCACTGCAACCTCTGCCTCCTGTTCAAGCAATTTCTCTGCCTCAGTCTCCTGATTAACTGGGATAACAGGCACCCGCCATCATGCCCAGCTAATTTTTTGTATTTTTAGTAGAGACGGGGTTTCACCATGTTAGCCAGGATGATCTCCAACTCCTGACCTCAAGTGATCCGCCCACCTTGACCTCCCAAAGTGCTAGGATTATAGGCATGAACCACTGCGCCTGGCCAAATGCCTTAATTTTTTTGTAGAGCTGGGGATGTTGCTGTGTTTCTCAGGCTGGTCTTGAACTCCTTGACTCAAGTGATCCTCCTGCCTCAGCCTCCCAAATTTGCCACAACTTTGAAGAAAAAAAAGGAGTGCCTGGTTAAAAAAGGAAAGGAACAAGGCCAGCCCAGGTAAAAGCAGGAGACATTAACCAAATACAGGCAGAACTTTGGGGAAGGTGAGAATGCGATGGAGGGCCCTGGGAGATCCGTAGAAGATGGAGTTGGGCTTGCAGAGAGGCTGTAATGGAGGATGGAGGAAGCAAAATGTGTCCACCAAGAGCCAGGCTGTGCAGAGAAGGGCAGAGGTGCAGAATTTAGAGGAAGAAGCCAGGCGCAGTGGCTCACGCCTGTAATCCCAGCACCTTGGGAGGCCAAGGTGGCGGATCACGAGGTCAGGAGTTTGAGACCAGCCTGACCAACATAGTGAAACCCTGTGTTCGCTAAAAACAAAAATTAGCCAGGTGTGGTGGGGGATGCCTGTAATCCCAGCTACTCGGGAGGCTGAGGTGGGAGAATCGCTTAAACACAGGAGGTGGAGGTTGCAGTGAGCCGAGATTATGCCACTGCACTCTAGCCTGGGCAACAGAAAGAGACTCCGTCTCAAAAAGAAAAAGAATTTAGAAGAAGAAAGGGAGGGCAGGGTTCTGGAGGGTTCCTGTGGGCTGTGGGAATAGGTGGCCAGCTCACTCACGGCAGAAGGTTCTGTTCCGCCAGGCAGGGGCCTGGCCAGCCTGGGCACACAGGGACGCGTAGGCCTGCAGGGAGTGGCACAGGGCCGTGATGTCACCCTTGGTCCCACACTGGCCTTGCACACAACTGGCGAAGATGGACTGAGGGGGCACCACCTGATGACACTGAGAGAAGGGTCCTGCAGGAAAAGAGAAGGCAGGTGAGCCAGGGGAGGGCCAGGCAGGAGCAGGGCCACGTGGCTTCCCTGGGGCTGACTGGACATCCACTTCAATCAAAACCTGGATTTTCCCACCAGGCACAGTGGCTCACACCCATAATGCCAGCACTTTGGGAGGCCAAGGTGGGCAGATCACTTGAGGTCAGGAGGTCGAGACTCACCGGACCAACATATCGAAACCCAATCTCTACTAAAAATACAAAAATTAGGGGGGCATGGTGGCGCGCGCCTGTAGTCTAGGCTACTCGGGAGGTTGAGACAGGAGAAGTTCTTGAATCTGGGAGGCAAAGGTGGCAACGAGCTGAGATTGTGCCACTGCGCTCCAGCCTGGGCAACAGAGCGAGACTCCGTCTCAAAACAAACAAACAAACAAAATCCCGGCTTTTCCAGCCTAGGCAAAATCCCAGACAGTGAAACTCTGTCTCTACAAAAACTATGAAAATTAGCCAAATATGGTGGCTCACACCTGTAGCCCCCTACTCAGGAGGCTGAGGTAGTAGAATGAGCTATCATTGTGCCACTGCACTCCAAGCTAGGTGACAGACTAAGACCCTGTCCAAATAAAAACAAAACAAACAAACAAAACCAGACTTGTGTGGTGGCTCCCGCCTGTAACCTCAGCACTTTAGGAGGGCAAAGCAGGAGAATCACTTGAGCCCAGGAGTTCAAGACCAGCCTGGGCAGCATAGTATGTCCCCATCTGTACAAAATATTAAAAACTTAGTTCACTTCATGCACTTTGAAGAAAAAAAAAAAAAGAAAAAAAATGAGGCCAGGCACAGTGGCTCACACCTGTAATCCCTTGGGAGGCCGAGGCAGGCAGATCATTTGAGGTCAGGTGTTCAAGACCAGCCTGGCCAACATGGTGAAACCCTGCCTCTACTAAAAATACAAAAATTAGCTGGGTGTGGTGGCACAGGCCTGTAATCCCAGCTACTCGGGAACCTGAGGTGGGAGAATAGCTTAAACCCAAGAGGCAGAGGTTGCAGTGAGCCAAGATCGCGCCATTGCACTCCAGTCTGGGTAACAGCTAGACTCTTGTCTCAGTAAACGTTAGCTGGGCATGGTGGTGCACGCCTGCGTTCCCAGCTACTCCAAAGGCCGAGGCAGGAGGACTACTTGACCCAGGAGTTCAAGCCTGCAGTGAGCTGTGATCATACCATTACATTCCAGCCTGGGCGACAGAGTGAGACCTTGTCTCTAAAAAAAAAACAAGAAAAAAAACTAGCCAGGAGTGGTGGCTCATCATGCCTGTCATCCCAACTACTCGGGAGGCTGAGGTGGGAGGGTACCTTGAGGTCCATAGTTTCAGATCAGCCTGGGCTACATAGTGAGACTCCTCCATCTCTATTAAAACATTTTAAATATATTTAAAAAAAAAAAGGCAGAGTGTGGTGACTCATATCTATAATCCCAGCACTTTGGGAGGCCAAGGTGGAAGGTCAGGAGTTCAAGACCAGCCTGGCCAATATGCTGAAACCCCATCTCTACTAAAAATATAAAAATTAGCCAGGCATGGTGGTACACACCTGTAGTCCCAGCTACTCAGGAGGCTGAGGCAGGAGAATGGCTTGAACTCGGGAGGGTGAGATTGCAGTGAGCCAAGATTGCGCCACTGCACTCCAGCCTGGGTGACAGAGCAAGACTCCATGTTAAAAAAAAAAAAAAAATCCCAGATTTATCTACTGCCTGAGACACAAAGACAGACCCGTCAGTCATAGGTCCCAGGAAGGAGACTGCTGGTTGGCCCTGTGTTCCCATTTGCCTTCCTTGTGCCTTTCTATCTGTTTCTGGTCTCGTTTCTCCCTCCCTGACCAGACTCCCTCCCTGGCCTCCTGTCTTTCAGGGAAGAAAAAGGGCCAACAGGAACATGTCTTACCCTGAGGGTTTATTAAGATCACACAGTTCTTGCTCCAGGCATCTGCCATGCCATTCTCCTGGCAGCTAGAGGGCTTGCCACCCACAGGGAAACAGCTGAATGAGGAGAGGATACAAACTGAGGGCTACAGGCTGGGCACAGTGGCTCATGCTTGTAATCCCAGCACTTCAGGAGGCCAAGGCAGGAGAACTGCTTGAGACCAGGAGTTCAAGACCAGCCTGGGCAACATAGTGCGATCCCATCGCTATACAAAACTTTTTTTTAATTGTACTTTAAGTTCTGAGGTACATGTGCAGAACATGCCAGTTTGTTACATAGATACACACGTGCCATGGTGGTTGGCTGCATCCATCACCCCATCATCTACATTAGGTATTTCACCTAATGCTGTCCCTCCCCTATCCCCCGACCGCTGATCCCATCTCTACACAAATTTTTTTTTCAAGGCAGCGCTGAAGGAATCTACACAAAATTTTTAAAAATTAGCCAAACTACAGCTGGGCGTGGTGGCTCATGCCTGTAATCCCAGCACTTTGGGAGGCCAAGGTGGGTGAATCATAAGGTCACAAGTTTAAGACCAGCCTGACCAACATGGTGAAACCCTTATCTCTACTAAAAATTCAAAAATTAGCTGGGCATGGTGGCACATGCCTATAATTCCAGCTATTCAGGAGAATGAGGCAGGAGAATCGCTTGAACCCAGGAGGCAGAGGTTGTGGTGAGCCAAGATCTTACCACTGCACTCCAGCCTGGGCAACAGAGCAAGACTCTGTCTCAAAGAAAAAAAAAATTAGCCAGGCGTGGTGGCATGTGCCTGTAGTCCCAGCTACTTGGGAGGCTGTGGTGGGAGGATGGCTTGAGCCCAGCAGTTGGAGCCTCCAGTGAGCTATGACTGCACCACTGCCCTCTAGCCTGGGCGACAGAGCAAGACTCTGTCTCAAACAAAAGACTGAGGGCCTGAGGAACTGTCTCCCAAACCAAAACAAACATGGACAGGGGCTAGGCACAGTGGCTCTCACCTGTAATCCCAGCATTTTGGGAGGCCAAGGTGGGCAGATCACCTGAGGTCAGGAGTTTGAGACCAGCCTGGCCAATACGGTGAATCCCCATCTCTACTAAAAATACAAAAATTAGCTAGGCGTGGTGGCAGGCGCCCGTAATCCCAGCTACTCAGGAGGCTGAGGCGGGAGAATCACTTGAATCTGGTCAGCAGAGATCATACCACTGTACTCCAATCTGGGTGACAGAGCAAGACGGCCTCAAACACAACAGAACAAAATGAAACGAAAAGTGGACAGGTCCAGAGAGGGATGCAGGAGAAGAGGACAAAATGGTGCCCTCAGATAGGAAGGCCAGGAGACACAGCAGGAAGGAAAAAGGCTAGACCTCAGGGTGGACTTCCCAAGTGGGCCCTCCACAGGGATCACTAAACATGAGATAAATCAGCAGGCGTGGGTGTGGGACGTCAGAACAACTTCTCACCAACCCATATCTCAGAGAGACTAAACGGGAGAGATTGGCCGGTTTCTGCCAGTAGGGAGGTACAGCACAGAGGAAGAGGGGTCACACAGAGGACACTTCCAAGCTGCCCCCGAGGCCCTTCCCCAGGCCCAGCTCCTCCTACCTGGCTCCCCCACCCCCAGCTCACCCAGGTTCAGAGGATTCGGGTAACATCCAGGCCAGCCCCAGCTGCATGGAGTCGCCTGCAAGCTTTCTATCGGGCAGCAGGTTGTCATCCAGGCTGTTGTTGTTGTAGTTCCCTGGAGGAGGGAATCGTTGAGACAGACGACAAGGGGCCTCCAGCAGGCCAGGCCCCAGGGCCACCATCCTCCCAACCAGAAGAGGCATCCTCACTCTTCATAGCAAGGTCAACTTTTTCTACTTATTTATTTATTTTTGAGACAGTCTCACTGTCACCAAAGCTGGAGTGCAATGGCGCGGTCTCAGCTCACGGCCACCTCCGCCTCCTGGGTTCAAGCGATTCTCCTGTCTCGGCCTCCCAAGCAGCTGGGACTACAGGCGTGTGCCACCACACCCGGCTCATTTTTCTATTTTTGGTAAAGATGGGATATCACTATGTTGGCCAGGCTGGTCTCGAACTCCTGATCTCATGATCCACCCGCCTCAGCCTCCCAAAGTGCTGGGATTACAGGCCTGAGCCACTGTTCCTGGCCTCTTTTCTTCTTTTTTGAGATAGGAGTCTCGCTCTGTTGCCCAGGCTGGAGTGCAGTGGCACAATCTCAGCTCACTGCAACCTCTGCCTCCTGGGTTCAAACCATTCTCCTGCCTCAGCCTCCTGAGTAGTTGGGATTATAGGCATGTACCACCACACCTGGCTAAATTTTGTATTTTTAGTAGAGATGAGGTTTCACCATGTCGGCCAGGCTGGTCTTGAACTCCTGACCTTGGATGATCTACCCTCCCTGGGCTCTTAAAGGGCTGCACTTACAGGCTTGAGCCACCACCCCCCACCCCTTTCTGTCTCTTCATCTCCATCTTCCCTTAACACCTACCTTCATGCCCAATGTCCTCAATCAATTAGTCAGTTAACAAGCACTTAGAAGGCCAGGCACGGTGGCTCATGCCTGTAATCCCAGCACTTTGTGAGGCCGAGGCGGGTGGATCACCTGAGGTTGGGAGTTTGAGACCAGCCTGACCAACACGAAGAAATCCTGTCTCTACTAAGAATACAAAAAATTAGCTGGGCATGATGGCACATGCCTATAATCCCAGTTACTCGGGAGGCTGAGGCAGGAGAATCGCTTGAACCCAGGAGGCGGAGGTTGCAGTGAGCTGAGATCGCGCCATTGCACTCTAGCCTAGACAACAAGAGCGAAACTCCACCTCAAAAAAACAAAAAGAAAAAAACAAGCATTTAGAACACCTCACAGAGATGTGGAGGGAACTGGGACCAGGTCATACTCCTACTCATTGTCCCAGGTTTTCCCCGCAGGTGCCCAGGAAGCTCACCACACAGCCCACAGAGCTGGCCGCCATAGGAGGAGGGGACTGTCACTTCAACCAAGTGGCTCCCGTCGTAGCGAACCTGGAGCCCAAAGTTCGTGTAGAGGAGAACAAAGGAGCTGCTGAGCCTTATGGTCACCTGGCCTCGTGCAGGCCACACAGGTAGGGCCACCCGATGGCCATTCAGCTGCAGAGGCAGGGAGGACGCAGAAAGGAGAGTTAAGAAGGAACTGAGGATAAGGACAAGGGGGGGCTCACTCCTGCAATCCCAGCACTTCGAGAGGCCAAGGCGGGAGGATCGCTTGAGGCCAGGATTTCAAGATGAGTCTGGGCAACACGGAGAAACCGTCTCTACAAAAATTTTAAAAAATTAGCTGTGCATGGTGGTACATGTCTGTAGTTCCAGCTACTTGGGAGGCCGAGTCAGGAGGATCACTTGAGCCCAAGGGGTCAAGGCTGCAGTGAGCTATGACTGCACCACTGTACTCCAGCCTGGGTGACAGAGCAAGACCCTGTCTCAAAATTAAAAAAAAAAAAAAGGACGAGGGCAAAAAACTGAGAGCAGGAGGGGCTGGTGCTGGTCAGTATTTCACAGAGGGAGGAGGGGGGGTGCAAGGAAAAGGGTCTGGGTCAGCTGCAGGTACCTCCGGGTATTCCAAGGAGCCAGAGAGGTGGGCATGTGGGCAAGGAGAGGCCCAGGAGAGAAGCAGACAGGCTAGTTGTTCAGGGTCCAGGAGGCAGGAGGAAGACACATACCAAGACCTTGCGGCCTCTGAGCAGTGAGATGCTGAGGTCAAACACCGCCACATGGACGGCTTTGATGTAGGAGACCTCCAAGTTCCCCCCGCGGTTCTCGTTGGTGGCGCTCACAACAAAATAGTTGTCTTGGGACCTGGACCAGCAAGGCCGGGTCAGGACATAGGTGCAGGTGCCCATGAAGTGGTGCAGGGCTCCGTCGAAGGTCAGGTAGTGGGGGTCACCTGAGGCCGTGCAGGTGGCGGCACCTTCAAGAAGATGGAGTTCACAGTCTCACTGCTCCATGCCCTGGAAGCTCTGACCCAGAGCTGCCATCCTGGTGAGGCCACATTGGCATGGTCCCCACGGCCCACCCACAGACATGGTGTTTCCCTAGGAAGTGTGGTTGGCTTGGCTTGGAGGTGCCGAAGAGAAGCACTGCCATCCCCAACCTCACCTTCTGGGTCCTTGAAAATGCCACCCGCTCCCAGGCCCTGGTGGAGACTCAGCTATCTGGGGAAGCTGCTTTGGGCACGACCCATCACCTTGCCTGGGGGTGCCTGGGCAGCCCCCGGCTCACCTTCCACCCTGACGGCTCACCTTGGGCATGGCAGCCATAGACACCATCCTGTTGGCCACAGAACTCCTGGGCCTTACACCTCCAGGGCTGACAGCGAATTCTGTTGTTGCTTTCACAGACGCACAGCTCTTTGCAACCCGGCTCATACCACTGCTCCCCTGCCTGGGGGAAGACAGCAGGAAAGGAAGAGAAAGTGTTTTTTGTTTTTTTCTTTTTGAGATGGAGTCTTGCTCTGTCGACCAGGCTGGAGTGCAGTGGCACAATCTTGGCTCACTGTAACCTCTGCCTCCCAGGCTCAAGCAATTCTCCTGCTTCAGCCTCCCAAGTAGCTGGGTTTACAGGTACCCGCCACCATGCCCAGCTATTTTTTGTGTTTTTAGTAGAGATGGGGTTTCACTATGTTGGCCAGGCTGGTCTCGAGCTCCAGAACCCAAGTGATCTGCCCACTTTGGCCTCCCAAAGTGCTGGAATTACAAGTGTGAGCCACCGCACCTGACAAGCGTTTGGCTTTTTCTTTTTTTTTCCAGATCGGACAGCAGAGCCCACCAGAGCTGTTCAGATCACTGGCAAATCGTGGGGAGACATCCTCTCTACCAGAAGCTCTGAGATTCGCTGCAAAAGCTCAGCGTCCATTCACTGCTTCAGTCACTCCATCATTTCTGTGTCTGTTCATCACTTCAGCCAAAACTGATCTATCTGAGGCCAGGTGTGGTGGCTCACGCCTGTAATCCCAGCATTTTGGGAGGCCAAGACAGGCAGATCACTTGAGGTCAGGAGCTTGAGACCAACCTGGCCAACATGGAGAAACCCCATCTGTACTAAAAATACAAAAATGAGCCTGGTATGGTGGTGCACGCCTGTAACCCCAGCTACTCAGGGGCTGAGGTAGGAGAATCACCTGAACCTGGGAGGCAGAGGTTGCAGTGAGCCGAGATTGCGCCATTGCACTCCAGCCTGGGTGACAGTTGCACTCAAAGAAGAAAAAAGAAAAAAAGAAAGAAAGAGGCTGGGTGCAGTAGCTCGAACCTGTAATCCCAGAACTTTAGGAGGCCAAGGCAGGTAGATCATGAGGTCAAGATATCAAGACCATCCTGGCCAACATGGTGAAACCCCTCCATCTCTACTAAAAATACAAAATTTAGCTGGGTGTGGTGGTGGGCACCTATAGTCCCAGCTACTCAGGAGGCTGAGGCAGGAGAATTGCTTGAACCTGGGAGGTGGAGTTTGCAGTTAGCCAAGACCATGCCACTGCGTTCTAGCCTGGCAACAGAGCAAGACTCCGTTTCAAACAAAAAAAGAAAAAGAAAAAGAAAAGAAAAGATAGAGCCTGCAGGGGATGTGACAGCAGGGAGCAGGTCCTTTCTGGCTGCAGGGCTGAGAGGTCCACGCAGCCACTCACCTTGAAGTAGCTGCCTAAGGGATGGAGGCACCCACACTGGGAGCGAGGTACGCACTCAAGGCCACTGAGGACGAAGCCCGGATTGCATTCACAGGCCTCCACACACCGGTCTGAGCAGAACATGCCGGAGAATCCTGAATGGCAGGTGTCAGGGCACGGCTTGGCACACAGGGAGTACCTGCTGTTGGGCGGGCAGGCCATTGCTGGTGGAGGGAGAAGCTTGGGTGAGAAGGAGATCAACAAGCCACAGGGCTGGGTGCGAAACAGGAAGGACAGGCCCCAGCTCCAGGCTTCTGGCCAATCTAGAGAAGAGAGAGTGACTGCGAAAAGCTTCCCCAAGGAGCCTGGCTGGCAGGAGCAGATGAATCCATCACTCACCACTGGCAGTGCTGCTGTGTAGACATGCCCCAGGTGAGCTGTTGGCCCGCAGGGGACTGGGGCCACCGGTGAGGTCTGATTTAGGGGATAGACCTGCCCTAAACAGCTTCCCCAAAGAGCTGGGCCACACCAGGAGCTGGGAGGCAACCTTGTCGCCTCCCCTGCCTAGGGCCTGTACCATGTGCCCACATGTAATGACCAGGGCTGCACAGAAACACTTAAAAAAAAAAAAAAGAGTCACTCTGGCCCAGGCTAGAGTGTAGTGGTGTGATCTCAGCTCACTGTGACCACCTCCTGGGTTCAAGCGATTCTCCTGCCTCAGCATCCTGAGTAGCTGGGATTACAGGAGCCAACCTCCATGCCCAGCTAATTTTTGTATTTTTATTTATTTCTTCTATTTATTTATTTATTAATTATTTGAGACGAAGTCTCACTCTGTCACCCAGGCTGGAGTGTAGTGGCGCGATCTCGGCTCACTGCAACCTCCACCTCCTGGGTTCAAGTGATTCTCCTGCCTCAGCCTCCAGAGTAGCTGGGATTACAGGTATACACTGCCACTGTGCCCAGCTAATTTTTGTATTTTTAGTAGAGTCGGGGTTTTGCCATGTTGGCCAGGCTGGTCTCGAACGCCTGACCTCAAGTGATCCACCTGTCTCAGCCTCCCAAAGTTCTGGGATTACAGGCCTGAGCCAGCACGTCCGGCCTCTCCCCTGCTTTTGGCACAACTCACGGCAGAACTGAAGTTCCCTCCAGGGCTTCACGGCGTAGCCTGCATCCTGGCAGGCTGTGGTCATGGTGGACATGTGTGTACACAGCAGGTGCTGCAGTCCCTGGAAGCTGCACATATCAAACATGCAGCTGTCGAAGAAGGAGGTGGCCTTCATGTGCAGCAGGCACGTCCTGAGGGGAGAGGCCAGGTCAGGGGGAATGGGGCGGGTGGGGACAGAGCCTTGGAGGACCCCAGCTGCCAAGCAGCACCCCTGTGCGACCCTGCCTGCCCTCCTTCATACTCAAATGGGCCACGCATGTCAACCAGCCGTCCACAGAACCTTGGCCCCGACATGCTGCTCTGCAGGGATGAATCACAAGATGGGGGATTCACCACCTGGTTCTTCTGACACCTGCAAGAGACCCACCCCAAATGCCCTAAGGACAAAGGCTAGCTTCCAGCTCAGCCCTAACCCAGGAGGCAGCAAGATTAGCAGGCCGGGAAACCCCTCTCAGAGGACATTTGAACACTGATCCCTGTCCACGCACTGTGGAAGGCTGAGGTGGGGAGAATGGCTTGAGCTCAGGAGTCCCAGCCCAGCCTGGGCAACTCAGTGAGATCCCATTTCTACAAAAATGAATAAGAAATTATCTGGCTTTGGTTATATGTCCATAGTCCCAGCTAGTCAGGAGGCTGAGGTGGGAGGATCACTTGAGCCCAGGAGTTGGAGGCTGCAGTGAGTTGTGATTTGCACTATGGCACTCTAACCTGGGTGACAGAGCGAGACCCTGTCTCTAAAAATAAATAAACAAAAAAAAGAATATTGAGCAATTGAAAGAACAACTTGAAGTCTCCAGGGTAGAGAGGAGAAAGGGGCAATACCAATCATTTTTAAAAGGGAGGGCCCAGGCTGGGTGTGATGGCTCACGCCTATAATCCTAGCACTTTGGGAGGCCAAGGTGGGCGGATCACCTGAGGTTGGGAGTTCAAGACCAGCATGACCAACATGGAGAAACCCTGTCTCTACTAAAAATACAAAAGTTGCTGGCATAGTGGGGCATGCCTGTAATCCCAGCTACTTGGGAGACTGAGGCTGGAGAATCGCTTGAACTCAGGAGGCAGTTACAGTGAGCTGAGATCACGCCATTGCACTCCAGCCTGGGCAACAAGAGCAAAACTGCCTTTCAAAAAAAAAAGAGAGAGAGAGTGCCAGGAAGGGGACGGGACCCTCCCGGGGCCCCAGTGGGAGGGCTCCTTGCTCACTCCTGGTCCTCATCCTCGTCCATCTCCCAGCTGTTCCCCAGCTCCTCGTCATCTGCTGTTGGGCTGCCATCCGACTTCAGGTTGTCATTGTCACTGTTGCCATCATAGTTTCCACACAAACCACAGAGTTTACCAGAGTAGGTGCTGGGGGAATGGGAGAGAAGCTGGCATTAGTGGAAGAAGGAGCCTCGGTCCTTGAGGGGCAGTGGCAGAGAAGGCAAGAAGCTGGCGTCCCAAAGCAGAGGGTATGAGGAGGATGAAGAGGTACGGACTGGACAAGAGGACCCCATGGCCCTCCGCCGAGCCTCCTTCCCCTCTATTCATTGTCCGGCCACAGCAAACCCCTTGCTGGCCCTAAAACACTGAGGCTTTATTTATTTATTTATTATTTTATTTTATTTTTGAGATGGAGTCTCTGTTACCCAGGCTAGAGGGCAGTGGTGTGATCTTGGCTCACTGCAACCTCTGCCTCCCAGGTTCTAGCGATTCTCCTGCCTCAGACTCCTCAGTAGCTGGGATTACAGGCATGCACCACCAAGCCCAGCTAATTTTTTATATTTTTAGTATAGACAGGGTTTCACCGTGAATGCCAGGCTGGTCTAGAACTCCTGACCTCAGATGATCTGCCTGCCTTGACCTCCCAAAGTGCTAGGATCACAGGTGTCAGCCATCTTGCCTGGCCAATTTATTTATTTATTTTAGAGATAGGGTCACTCTCTGTGGCTCAGGCTGAAGGGCAGTGATGTGATCAGCTCACTGCAGCCTCGAACTTCTGAGCTCAAATGATCCTCCCCTCCACCTCCTGGGTAGCTGAGACTACAGGTGTGTACCACCATGACCAGCACATATTTTTTAAGAGATAGGATCTCACCACATTGTCCAGGCAGGTCTGGAACTCCTGGGTTCAAGCAATCCTCTTGCCTCAGCCTTCGAACATGCTGAGATTATAGGTGCAGGCCACTATGCCTGGCTAATGTTCAACTATTTTTGTAGAGATAGGGTCTCACTGTGCTGCCCAGGCTGGTGTAGAATGCCTGGCCCCAAGGGATTCTCCCCTCTGGGCCTCCCAGAGTTCAGGGCTACAGGCAGGAACCCCTGCACCCACTCTCTATAAAGTATTTCTATACAGTCTTTCTTTTACCAGGTGCAGCGGCTCACACCTGTAATCCCAAGACTTTGGGAGACCGAAGCAGGAGGATAACTTGAGATCAGGAGTTTGATACCAGCCTGGCCAACATGGTGAAACCCCATCTCTACTAAAAGTACAAAAATTAGGCCAGGCATGGTGGCTCATGCTTGTAATCACAGCACTTTGGGAGGCCGAGGCGGGTGGATCACCTGAGGTCGGGAGTTCAAGATCACCCTGGACAAAATGGTAAAACCCTGTCTCTACTAAATATACAAAGACTAGCCAGGCGTGGTGGCATGCGCCTGTAATCCCAGCTACCCAGGAGGCTGAGGCAAGAGAATCACTGGAACCCAGGGGGCAGAGGCTGCAGTGAGCTGAGATCATGCCACCTCACTCCAGCCTGGGTGACAGAGCAAGACTCTATCTCAAAAAAAAAAAAATAAATACAAATACAAATACAAAAATTAGCTGGGTGTGGTGGCACGTGCCTGTAATCACACCTACTTGGGAGGCTGAGGCAGGAGAATCACGTGAACCCAGGAGGTGGAGGTTGCAGTGAGCCAAGATCATGCCACCGCACTTCAGCCTGAGCAACAGAGCAAGACCCTGTCTCAAAAAAAAAAAAAGTCTTTCTTTCCCTTGTTTCATCCATCTGGGGAGCCACTCTTCCTGCAAGAATGGGACCAAGTGACTGCCCTTTTGAAAGCCTCCAGAGCTCACTAGTGCCTCCTTATAGCACGTTCCCAAAGCATGTATATCCATCCTACTACCTATCATGTGCCCCAAAACCATTTTCTCCTTCTCCCAGTCCAAAGGAAGCCCTGCCACTTAAGCAGGGTGCTTCCCACCCATCGGGAGATGCATCAGTGATCAGTTAGTGGTGCCAGGGATGGAAGGGGAGTGGGCAGGGCAGAGAGCAGGAAGAAGTGGCAGCTGCCTGGCCGGGACACTGCCTCACCTGGACACAGTCACATACAGCTGCTGGTCACCATCCCATCTCACCCGCAAACCAAACTCCGTCTGCAGCTCCACAAATCGCCCACTTGCACCCAGGAAGACACCTTTGGAGAGTATAGCTGGGAGGGTAACTTGCTGACCCCCAACCTGGAAGGCAGGGCAGAGAAAAGAGACAGAGAGACAGATCTGGGGGTCAAGGAGGACCCCAGTAGACTTCCATTTCCATGGCTAGAAGGCAGGACACCATCCACAGCGGCCTAACAATCTCATCCACCAGGAGTGGACTGGAGCTTCCCCACCACTGTTTTGTTGTTTCTGTTTTTGTAAGAGACTCCAGACGTTGCCCAGGCTGGAGTGCAATGGTACAATTGCAGCTCACTGCACCCTTGGCCTCCCACGCTCTAGCAATCCTCCCACCTCAGCCTCTGGAGTAGAGGGGACCACAGGCAAGTACTACCACACCAGGCTAATTTTTTCTATTTGTTAAAAGACAGGGTCTTGCTATATTGCCCAGGCTGGCCTTAAACTCCTGGCCTCACACAATCCTCCCACTTTAGCTTCCTGAAGAGCTGGGATTGCAGGCCACTGTCTTGTTCAATCCCGTCCGTGGAAGGGTTCTGGGCCTGGAGGGGTCGGCCAGGACACACAGTCAGACCCTGCAAGGGTGGTGGGGGTGGAACGGGGCTCACCAGCGTGCGTCTGCCCTTGAGCAGGGTGACAGTGGTCTTGGGCAGGGTCACGTAGACTTTGCTCAGACAGGACACGCCTTCTAGTCCCTGCTCCTTATTCTTGGCTGTCACCCTGAAGAATGGGTCTGGGTGGGGAGAGGAATGAAAAGAGCCCAGTGGCTCATTTCTGAACATCCGCCGTGAGCAGTGCCCTGAGCTCAGCGTCTCAGGAATAGGTGAGGGCCACAGACACACCAGCCCCAAAGTCCAGGAAGGGAGGCCAGACCCACATGGGAGCAGCCCACGACTGCCTCTTCCAGAAGGGCCTGCGACTACTGCATGTCTGTCTCCGTAGTGGCTGAACATCTTCCGGGGCGTTTGTGCTCCCTAACCACTGCCTTTTTTTTTTTAAACTTTATGTATGTGTGTATGTATGTACATATCTTTTTACACAGTGTCTTCGTCGTTACCCAGCTGGAGTGCAATGGTGTGATCATAGCTCACTGCAGCCTCCAACTCTTGTGCTCAAGTGATCCTCCCATCTCAGCCTCCCAAGTAGCTGGGACTATAGGTGTGTTCTACCACACCTGGCTGATTATTTAATATTTTTTTTTTGAGATGGAGTTATTCACTTGTTGCCCAGGCTGGAATGCAGTGACTCAATCTTGGCTCACTGCAACCTCTGCCTCCCAAGTGCAAGCAATTCTCCTGCCTCAGCCTCTTGAGAAGCTGGGATTACAGGCATCCGTCACCATGGCTGACTACCTTTTATACTTTTAGTAGAGACGGGGTTTCACCACGTTGACCAAACTGGTCTTGAACTCCTGACCTCAGGTGATCCACCCACCTCAGCCTCCCAAAGTGCTGGGATTACAGGTGTGAGCCACTAAGCCCGGCCTGATTTCTAATTTTCTTTTTTTCATGGAGATGAGGTCTTGCTATATTGCCCAGACTGGTCTCAAACTTCTGGGTTCAAGCAATCCTCCTGCCTCAGCCTCCCAAAGTGTAGAGGTACCAGTGTGAGCCACTGTGCCTGGCCTTCAAACCTCACCTTACAGAAGAACTTGTTCCTATGTTGCGTCTTCCCCATCTGCACCCTGCCCCTTCCTACCACCCACTGTGCCCCCATGCCCAGCAGTGCTGCCCACAGACCTTTCCCTCAGCTGTGGTGGCATCTCCAGGGCCTACCTGTCGAGTTGCCACAGGGCTGGGCCAAGATGTAAGTGCACCTGCCTGTGAAGCCAAAGTGCCTCCCGTCAAAGGTGACATAATGAGGGTCTCCGTAGACCAAGCAGGTGGCAGTGCCTGATGGGACAGGAAAGGAGAACAGGAAAAGCTGCTTCTGTGGCCCCTCCAGGGACTCTGAACGGCAGCCCACCCATTGCCCAGTGGCAGGTCCCGATTCCCCCGCTCAAGCGAGAGACTGGGATCCTGGCGTCACATCCACTCCCACAGGCTGGCAGGCAGGGACAGCATGGGGAGGAGCTCTCACCATAGGGGTGGCATCCGTACTGGCCATTCTTAAGCTGGCACACGGTGTGTGTCCCGCACCGAGAGACCTGGCACTCGACCCGACTGCCCGGCCAGCATCGGCAACGATCTGTGCAGTTGGGGCTGAACCACTCTGCCCCAGGCTGGGAGAAAGGAATCTGAGGTCACACGATCACATAGCTCTTAGAGTCCTCCCTTTTCCCTTTTCATTTCTTTTTTTCTTTTTTTTGAGATGGAGTCTCGCTCTGTTGCCCAAGGCTGGAGTGCAGTAGCACGATCTCGGCTCACTGCAACCTCCACCTCCCAGGTTCAAGTCATTCTCGTGCCTCAGCCTGCCAAGTAGCTGGAATTACAGGTGCCCACCACCATGCCTGACTAATTTTTGTATTTTTAGTAGAGATGGGGTTTTGCCATGTTGGCCAGGCTGGTCTCGAACTCCTGACCTCAGGTGATCTGCCCACCTCGGCTTCCCAAAGTGCTGGGATTACAGCCATGAGCCACCTCGCTCAGCCAGTGTCTGTCTTTACCCAACATCTTAGCCCTCCCATGGGCACTCTCATTCAGTAAATAGTTGCTGGATGAAGGGGTCAGCCAAGACCCCAGGTGTCTCTCTGAGTCTGAGAGCATTATGAAGGCAAGGAGCATGACCTATTCATGGTGACCCCAATGCCAGGAGAGTAGAAAGTACGAAGTAGGCTGGGTGTGGTGGCTCACAACTGTAATCCCAGCACTTTGGGAGAATGGGTTGAGCCCCGGAGCTCAAGACCAGTCTACCAACATGGCAAAACCTCATCTCTACAAAGCAAAACAAAATCTTTGTAAAAAGTACTAAAGAAACATTTGTTGAATGCATAAATGAATCTATCAGAAGTGAATACAAGCCTTTCAGAGCAGGGGGAAGAGATTCTTGGTGCCTTTGACAGATCTTTCTGCTCAGGGTGCGGCTGAAGCTAATCTCAGTAGCAACTCAGGGAGACCCAGGAGACTGGTTAAAGGGGGCTGGGGAAGGAAATAATAGTCCCAAAAGAGACACACGGAAGCTCTGATGTCAGTGAGAAGAATGCCTGGAGCTGAGAAGCACTGGACATTAATGAACGGCTTCACGCACTTTTTTTTTTAGACGGGGTCTCACTCCATTGCCCAGGCTGGAGTGCAGTGGTACAATCCTAGCTCATTGTAGCCTCAAATTCCTGGGCTCAAGCAATCCCTCCACTTCGGCCCCTAAAGTGTTGGGATTACCAACAGGTATGAGTCACCACACCAGGCTTTTTAATGCACATATATTTAACGCACATATATATTTATATGTAGGTCACATATATTTATCATAAGATGCTAATGATAATAATTAATACTTATTAAGTAATTGTACGTGTCAGGACCTAATTTCATCCTTACAATAATCTGATATGAGGTAGAAAATCTTATTGTGTACACTTTATAAATATGGAAAAAAGATTTAAAGAGGCAAAGGAACGTGCCCAGCTAGGCACGGTGTCTTATGCCTAGAATCCGAGCACTTTGGGAGGCTGAGGCAGGAGGATTGCTTGAACTCTGGGTTTTGAGACCAGCCCGGGAAACATGGTGAAACCCTGTCTCTACCACAAATACAAAAATTAGCTGGACATGGTAGCAGGCACCTATAGTCCCAGCTACTGGAGAGGCTGAAGTGGGAGCATCACCGGAGTCCAGGAAGTGGAGGCCACAGTGAGCCGCTATTGCACCACTGCATTCCAGCCTGAGCGACAGAGTGAGAGTGGCTGGGCACGGTGGCTCACGCCTGTAATCCCAGCACTTTGGGAAGCCGAGGCGGATGGATCACCTGAGGTCAGGAGATGGAGACCATCCTGGTAACATGGTGAAACCCCGCCTCTACTAAAAATACAAAAAATTAGCTGGGTGTGGTGGGGGGCACCTGTAATCCCAGCTACTCGGGAGGCTGAAGCAGGAGAATCACTTGAACCCAGGAGGCAGATGTTGCAGTGAGCTGAAATCGCACCACTGCACTCCAGCCTGGGCGACACAGCGAGACTCCATCTCAAAAACAAACAAACAAACAAACAAACAAAAAGATTGAATCAGTAACTTAGACACTGTGTAATCACTGCGTCTCAGCTGACCCACTGGGACTATCCGGTGGTCCCAGTTCGCTTCACCTGGGGAGCAGATGGAGCTGGAACCCAGGTGTTGTCATCAGTCCCCCTCACAGGACCCTGGCATCCCAGGGGGCTTACCTCATAGTAGTTGTTGTTGTAGAAGCAATTGCAGGAAGAGGCCTGGATGCAGTGGTCGTCAGCAAACAAAAAGCCTGGGTCGCAGACACAGCCCCCCCGACAGAGGGGCCCGCAGCTAGGCCTCGGGCTCTTGCATGAAGCGGGACAAGCACAGGATTCATAGTGAGCATTTGGGGGGCAGCGCTCTAAGGGGAAAACAGCCTTTGTCACACTTTCACTCTGTGGCTTTCTCGGGGAGCCTCCCTGTCTCTCCTCTACCCCCAAACTCAAATTCTTCTCTAGGAAACAGGACCATATTTTTCAGCCACAAAATGGCCTGAATTAGCTTAAATGTGGCAAGGGGAAAAAAAAAATGTACTGAAGGCTGGGCACGGTGGCTCCTATCTGTAATCCTAGCGCTTTGGGAGGCTGAGGCGGGAGGATCGTTTGAGGCCAGGAGTTTGAGACTGACCTGGGCAACATAGTGAGATCTCATCACTTATAAAACAAATTTGAAAATAAAAAAATGTTAGGCTGGGTGCAGTGGCTCATGCCTGTAATCCCAGCACTTTGGGAAGCCAAGGTGGGCAGATCACTTGAGGCCAGGAGTTCATGAGCAGCTTGGCCCACAGGGCAAAACCCCATGTCTACTAAAAATACAAAAATTAGCTAGGCATGGTGGCTCAGGCCTGTAGCCCCAACTACTCAGGAGGCTGAGGCAGGATAGTCGCTTGACCCAGGGAGGCGGAGGTTGTAGTGAGCCGAGATGGCGCCACTGCACTCCAGCCTGGGGACAGAGCAAGACTGTCTCAAAAAATAGAAAAGATAATTTTTTAAAGAAAAGACATCCTGATGCATGCTACAGTACGAAAGGCCTGGAAAACATCACACTGTGAAAGAAGCTAGACACAAAGGCCCACATATTGTGTGATTCCATTTGTATGAACTCTCCAGAACTGGCAAATCCGTGGATACAGGAAAGAAATGTGTGGCTGCCAGGGGCTGGGGGAAGGCAGGGGGGAGTGGCTGCTAATAGGTACAGGGTTTCTTTTTAGAGTGATGAAAATGTTTGGATTAGAAAGTGATGATCGTTGTACAACCTTGGGAATATACTAAAAACCACAGAATTGCTTTTGATTTTTTTTCTTTTTTTGAGACAGGGTCTCGCTCTGTCGCCCAGGCTGAAGTACAGCAGTGCAATCATGGCTCAATACAGCCTCGATCTCCCAGGCTCAAGTGATCCTCCCACCCCAGCCCTCCGAGTACCTGAGACTACGGGGTGTGCACCACCACACCCACAGCTAATTTTTTTTTTTTGTACTTTAAAATAGAGACCAAAATCTTGCTATGTTGCCCAGACTGGTCTCAAACTCCTGAGCTCAAGCACCCCTCCTGCCTTGGCCTCCCAAAGTGCTGGGATTCCAGGCATGAGCCACCATGCCCAACCTAGAATTGTATACAATTTAAAAGCATGAATTTTGTAAAATATGGATTATATCTCAATAACGAACAAGGAGAAGAGAGCCTCATAGTTGGGTCCCAACACCCCCACCCACTCCAACCCTGCCATCCCTCTCGCTCTGGGCAGTCCTCCCCATTTCCTCTGAAGTCACTATGGACTGCTTCAGCGCTCCCAAGATAACCAGAAGTGCCTAGCTTTCTACCAGAAGCATCCCTTTCCCACTCTCTCCTAACCACTGTCTCAATCTATCAGCCTCAGCCAACACTCTGTCCACCTCATACCTGGAGTGGGTCTGGGGGTTGTGGTAGTGCCCAGGATCACACTGGCCACAGGGGCACCTGGAGCATGTGGAGACATCAATGAGGTTGCCGGTCCAATGGCTGTGGGACTGGGACGGTGTGGCATCCGGGCTGTGAGCTTTTCTGTGGGGATGGTGGGTTTTTTAGTGGGAACAGTGGTCTCTTCAGTGGGGATAGTGGTCTCTTCAGTGGGGATGGCGGGTTTTTCAGTGGGGACAGTGGTCTCTTCAGTGGGGATGGTGGGTTTTTCAGTGGGGACAGTGGTCTCTTCAGTGGGGATGGTGGGTTTTTCAGTGGGGATAGTGGTCTCTTCAGTGGGGATGGTGGGTTTTTCAGTGGGGACAGTGGTCTCTTCAGTGGGGACAGTGGTCTCTTCAGTGGGGACAGTGGTCTCTTCAGTGGGGACGGTGGGTTTTTCAGTGGGGATAGTGGTCTCTTCAGTGGGGATAGTGGGTTTTTCAGTGGGGATAGTGGTCTCTTCAGTGGGGATGGTGGGTTTTTCAGTGGGGACGGTGGTCTCTTCAGTGGGGACAGTGGTCTCTTCAGTGGGGACGGTGGGTTTTTCAGTGGGGACAGTGGTCTCTTCAGTGGGGACGGTGGGTTTTTCAGTGGGGACAGTGGTCTCTTCAGTGGGGATGGTGGACTCTTCTGTGGAGGTGGTGGTCTCTTCAGTGGGGATGGTGGACTCTTCTGTGGAGGTGGTGGTCTCTTCAGTGGGAGCCATGCGCCCTACAGTGGGAACATGCAGATTTTCTGTGGGGACGGTGGTTGTCTCAGTGGGAATGGTAGGTATTTCAGTGGGGACAGTTGGTTTTTCAGTGGGGACGGTGGTCTCTTCAGTGGAGATGGTGGGTTTTTCAGTGGGGATAGTGGTCTCTTCAGTGGGGATGGTGGGTTTTTCAGTGGGGATAGTGGTCTCTTCAGTGGGGACGGTGGGTTTTTCAGTGGGGACAGTGGTCTCTTCAGTGGGGATGGTGGGTTTTTCAGTGGGGACAGTGGTCTCTTCAGTGGGGATGGTGGACTCTTCTGTGGAGGTGGTGGTCTCTTCAGTGGGAGTCGTGCGCCCTACAGTGGGAACATGCAGATTTTCTGTGGGGACAGTGGTTGTCTCAGTGGGAATGGTAGGTATTTCAGTGGGGACAGTTGGTTTTTCCGTGGGGACAGTGGTCTCTTCAGTGGGGATGGTGGGTTTTTCAGTGGGGACAGTGGTCTCTTCAGTGGGGATGGTGGGTTTTTCAGTGGGGACAGTGGTCTCTTCAGTGGGGATGGTGGACTCTTCTGTGGAGGTGGTGGTCTCTTCTGTGGGTGTTGTGGGCCCTACAGTGGGAACATGCAGATTTTCTGTGGGGACGGTGGTTGTCTCAGTGGGAATGGTAGGTATTTCAGTGGGGACAGTTGGTTTTTCAGTGGGGACAGTGGTCTCTTCAGTAGGGATGGTGGTTTCTTCAATGGGGATGATGGGTTTTTCCGTGGAGATGATGGGTTTTTCTGTGGGGATGGTAGGTTTTTCTGTAGAGGTGGTGGTCTCTTTAATGGAGGTGGTGGCTTCTTCAGTGGTGGGTTTTTCTGTGGGAACACTGGGTTTCTCTGTGGGGATGGCAGACTCTTCTGTGGAGATGGTGGTCTCCTCAGTGGGGGTGCTGGGCTCTTCTGTGGGGACAGTGGACTTTTCTGTGGAAATGGTGGGTTTTTCAGTGGGGATAGAGGGCTCTTCAGTAGGGATGCTGGGTTTTTCTGTGGGAACGGTGGGGTTTTCTTTGGGGACTGTAGGCTTTTCTGTGGAAACTGTAGGTTTTTGTGTGGAGATTGTAGGGTTTTCTGTGAGGCCAGCGGTTTCAGAAGGGATGCTGGAAGAAGCTGGAGATGTAGGAGGAAGCACTGGCAGCACTTTTACTGCAAAGAAAAAAAGAATCCCTGGAGTTAAAGCCATCCCACCGTCCTCTTCACCGCCACCTAATTGGAGTGGGTAGGCTCCAAGGGTCGACTTCTTCACACCTCTCTTTCTACTTCCAACCCCCAACCTTTATTCATTCAACAAACACTAATATATGTCAGATACTGTACCAGGTAAGAGAAAGCCAGAAATGAATAGGATATGGGTCCTGCCTTCGAGATTGCAGGGAAAGGAGTTCTGGATGAGCCCCCAAAATCCATGGTATCCAAGCTCCGTTCCCCCAGGCAAACATCCCAAAGCGGAGAGAAGGGACAGGCAGGTAGAAGATGGAGAACAGGACAGATGCGATGCTCACACCTGTAATCCATGCACCTCGGGAGGCCGAGGACGGCGGATCACTTGAGGTCCGGAGTTTACGACTATCCTGGCCAACATGGTAAAACCCCCTCTATTGAAAATATAAAAATTAGCTGGGCATGGTGGCGCATGTCTGTAGTCCCAGCTACGCGGGAGGTTGAGGCAGGAGAAATCGCTTGAACCCAGGAGGCAGATGTTGCAGTGAGCTGAGATTCAGCCACTGCACACTCTAGCCTGGCGAAAGAGTGAGACTCCATCTCAAAATTTAAAAAAATAAAAAAGAAGAAGATGGGAAACAAGGCCAGCTGGAGGAGAATTCAGGCTTTCAGGCAACAGGGAGGACTTGCACTTCAAGCAGTTCCTAGAGAGAACCCCAGCGAATGGCGATCTCAGGGCATGGCCTCCTTCGTGGAGCCATGGCTTTGGGCTTACCTGGACAAGTCCCAGGACTGATCAAGATGAAACCCAGATCAACCACAAAGGCTGTGTTGCTACCCCGGATGGCCTTAAAAATCAGCTGAAGTCAACAAGGGAGAGAGATGGAGAGAGAAACAAAAATGAATCTCCAGCAACTCTGTGACTCTGCTGGGCATAGAGTCTGTCCCCTGCCCAAATGTCACCTTGTTCCAGCCTCAACGGTCCAGCCCCGTTCCAACCCCTTTTCTCATTTTCCATAACATCAGGTCTCCCTTTTCTCGGCTCTCTTTCCAGCTTTCTACCTCTTCAGCCCTGGTGGTACCCCCAGACCCCAGCCATTGCCCCTTACCGCACACAGTCAGGGCCTCCGTCTCCATCTCTCACCTGCATGGGCTGTTGATGTCCTGAAGGGATGGTGACAGAGGTATTCTGCCAATAAGGGCTCTGGGACCCCACGCATTTCCAGAGAGGAATTGGGGGGCTCCCTGCAGGACTTCCTAGGAGGAGCTTGAGCGTAGTACCCGCCCCAAGGCCATACATGTGGTATGCGAACTCCACGCAGATGTCACCAGGGGTGCAGAAGGGCCGGCTCACCAGGCTGACTGACTGCCCTGCCCGGGAGAATTTGTCAGTCTCAAGGTAGATATAGTGACCACCTGGGCAAAGGAAGCGAATGGGCAAGATGAGAAGCCTGCACAGGACACACCAGCTGCTACTCTACCAACGCTTTGCTTTCCGAGCGGGGATCTGAGCAAACACTCAAATTCTCCAGGTCGTAGCATTATTTCTTCTGCTCATTTTAGACATCTAGCTAAAGAAGGCGGGGTCAGAAAGGGAAACACAAACCAGCAACCTAGGCTCCACTGCTGACTGCGTTTGTTAATATCGTGTGTGTGTGTGTGTGTGTGTGTGTTTGAGATGCAGTCTTGCTCTGTTGCCCAGGCTGGAGTACAGTGCTGTGATCTCAGCTCACTGCAACCTCCGCCTCTCAGGTTCAAGAGAGTCTCCTGCCTCAGTCTCCCAAGTAGCTGAGACTACACACACGTACCACCACTCCCAGCTAATTTGTGAAATTTTTTTAGTTGAGTCAAGGTTTCACCATGTTGGCCAGGGTAGTCACAAACTCCTGACCTCAAATGATCCACCTGCCTTGGCTTCCCAAAATGCTAAGATGAAAGGCGTGAGCCACCATGCCTGGCCTATTTTTTTTTTTAAAGACAATGTCTCACTCTGTTGCCCAGGCTGGAACACATTGGTTCAATCACAGCTCACTGCAGTCTCGATGTCCTGAGTTCAAGCAATCCTCCCACATCAGCCTCACAAGTAGCTAGGACCACAAACACATGCCACCACATCTGGTTAATTTTCTTTTTTCAGACAGAGTTTTGATCTGTCACCAGGCTGGAGTGCAGCAGCATGATTTCGGCTCACTGCAACCTCCACCTCCAGGGTTCAAGTGATTCTCCTGCCTCAGCCTCCTGAGTAGCTGGGACTACAAGCACATGCCAACACGCCCAGCTAATTTTTGTAATTTTTTTTTTTTTGAGACAGAGTCTCGCACTCTTGCCTGGGCTGGAGTGCAATGGAGTACTCTCAGCTCACTGCATCCTCTGCCTCCTGAGTTCACATGATTCTCCTGCCTCAGCCTCCCAAGTAGCTGGGATTACATGTGCACGCCACCATGCCTGGCTAATTTTTTCTATTTTTAATAGAGACGGGGTTTCACTATGTTGGCCAGACTGGTCTGGAACTCCTGACTGCATAATCTGCCTGCCTTGGCATCCCAAAGTGCTAGGATTACAGGCGTGAGCCACCGTGCCTGGCCAATTTTTAAAATTTTTTAGTAGAGATGGGATTTCACCATGTTGGCCAGAATGGTCCCGATCTCTTGACACCGTGATCTGCCCGCCCAGGACTCTCAAAGTGCTGGGATTATAGGCGTGAGCCACTGCGCCCAGCCACATCTGGCTAATTTTTTTAAAACTTAAAAAAAAAAATTAGCTGGGCATGGTGGCGCGGGCCTGTAGTCCCAGCTACTTGGGAGGCTGAAGCAAGAGAATTGCTTGAACCCAGGACGCAGAGGTTGCAGTGAACCGAGATCACGCCACTGCAGTCCAGCCTGGTGCTTGGTGATGGAGCAAGACTGTCTCAAAATAAATAAATAAATAACAATTTTTTAAAAACTTTTTTTTGGTAGAGATGCGGTTCTCACTATGTTGCTCAGGCTGAGTTCAAACTCCTGGGCTCAAGCAATCCTCCTGCCTCAGCCTCCCAAAGTGCTGGAATTGCAGGCATAAGCCCCTCATAAATGTCTAGACTGAAAATGAGGCAGTGGGTTTTGAAGCCTGGGGTTCCATGAAGTGAGATGCCTGACCTCACAGCCTTGAGAATCTTAGTGAGTTACTCTGCTGTCTCCACAGTTCCCACTCATGGCAGTTTCTGAGTAAACGCCTGCGGACTAATCACCCCACCACCCGAAACAACTTCTCCGTTCAATCACAGCAGCCAGCCCCCTACCTGGGAGCAGATTCAGTCAATTCCTTGGTGCGAGTCCTCCTCAATCTCCTTACCTGCCCTAGGGAAATCTCCCGAGGGGCCCATGCCGTGGATGGATATGTTTTTATGTCCGAGGACCCAGTGTCCACCATCCCTGGAAGTCTGGACCCAGTCACAGAAGGGATGGGCGCTATCTTCAAAGTCACACTGAGGAAAGCCCTCTAGGGGATCAAAATAGGAGATTTGAGCAAGTTGAGTGATGCTCTCCAGCCCTCCCCCAACCCACCCCAGATTCTGAGAGATCCGGGCCTCCCAGGGCCCACTCTCACCCCCACAAGGAGCAATGCTGATTGCATCGACTGCCACAGCTGGCTCTGGGATCTTTCCAAAAACACCCACCACGATGAACTGGAGAGAAACAGAGAGTGGGCCAGGAGTGAACATACACCCCACACCCCCAAGCCCCTGATGTGACTCGACTCCATTTCAGGTCCCAGAACCCCTACTCCCTGTGCCCAGACCCTCAATTCATTTCTTTCTTTCCTTCTTTTTTGAGACAGGGTCTTGCTCTGTTGCCCAGGCTGGAGTGCAGTGGTACGATCATAGCTCACTGCACCCTTGACCTCCAGGTCTCAAAGGATCCTCCCACCTCAGCCTCCTGAGTAGCTGGGACTACAGGTGCACATCATTATGCCTGCTCAATTTTTGTATTTTTTTTTAAGAGATGGGGTCTTGCTATGTTGCCCAGGCTGATCTTGAACTCCTGTCCTGAAGCAATCCTCCCTCCTCAGCCTCCCAAAGTATTGGGAGTACAGGCATGAGCCACAGCGCTGGACCACTCAATTTATTTCAACAGTGGGGTGCCTACCATGGGCAAGGACCCGACCCCTCGCTTCTCCAAACCTGTATCCGTCCCACAGTTGTGTAACTGACAGAAACAGCTTGCCAGTTGGGTCCAGGATGTCCTGAGAAGAGAGTATGTTTCCGGATGCTCCCTGCAGGGAAGGAATTGGAGAGAAGTGAGCTTAACAGGACTGGGAAATGACTTGGAGCTATACCCAGGAGGATGAGGATGAGAAGGTATAGCTGGGGAATATTAAAACCAAATGAAAGCACAACCGTCTCTTTATTTTTATTTATTTTTTTCAGATGGAGTCTTGCTTTGCTGCCCAGGCTGGAGTGCAGTGGTGCAATCTCAGCTCACTGCAACTTCCATCTCCCAGGTTCAAGTGATTCTCCTGCCTCAGCCTCCTGAGTAGTTGAGATTACAGGCGCTCGCCACCGTGCCCGGCTAATTTTTGTATTTTTAGCAGAGACAGGGTTTTGCCATGTTGGCCAGGCTGGTCTCGAACTCCTGACCTCAGGTGATCCACCCGCCGCGACCTCCTAAAGTGCTGGGATTACAGGTGTGAGCCACCGTGCCGGGCCAGCACAACCTACTCACCTATTTTGCCAGAATTCAGTGCCCTCCCAGTCATGATTTCCACTTCATGGAATAATCTCGCACATATTCCAGACCTCCCTAGACCCTTAGGGATGCCCCATGTTTTCGCAACAAGCCAACCCTGGGAGATGTGCGCAGCTCAGTGTAAATCCCACAAATTATCTGCTCTAACCCAAGACTGAAGCGTAAATGTGCAGTGCTGCGCCAGGAGACTGGCCCCGGAGGATGTAGTGGAAGGAAAGGCTCAGACAGTCAGAGGACGGGCTCACGGGGCTCAGGAGGATGGCTTTCTGCCCAGGTCTTGCATTCCTTGGGTCCAGGAGCATATAGTAGCCACCTGTGAAGGAAAAGGCCGGAGAACTAGGGTGGAGGGAACTGAGGGAAGATAGCAGCAGAGATAGGGCCCTGAGGAGGCTGGGGACCTGTCCCTTGGGAGCCCAAATAGCAGCCTACAATCAGGTAGCACCAAGGTGGTCCTGTCCCAACAGACTGAGGTCTTCAACTTTCCCAGAAATGCCTGGGCTGGGTAAGGACTGGGCATTGCCATGGAAAACACTGGGCACCCTCTCCAAAGCAGCAACTAGAACTCTGTCCTTTGGGTGCTGACTTGTTTTTGCTTTTGGGACTCTCACTCTGTCGCCCAGGCTGGAGCGTAGCGGCGCCATCACGGCTCACTGCAGCCTCAACCTCCCCAGGCTGAGCTGATCCTCCCGCCTCGGCCTACTTGTGTAGCTGGGACTGCAGGTGTGGGCCACCACGCTGGGCTAATTCTGTAATTTTTGTAGAGACGAGAGCTCACTATATGTCCCAGACTGGTCTTGAATTCCTGGCCTCAAGTGATCTGCCCACCTCGGTCTGCCAAAGTGCTGGGATTATAGGCATGAACCACAGCACCTGGCCTAATTTTTTAAAACATTTTTTTTTATTCAAAAATAAGATGTATAAACTCAGAAAGGAAATGAGGGAGCAGGACCCTCTATGCTTGACCTACAATGCTTGGCTCATTGAGGGCTGGAAACGTGGGGTGTGTGGAGAACATTGAGAGAGAAAGTGAATGCAGCGTGAGAGAGAAAAGGAAGAAGTCAACAGCAGAAAGAGAACGAGCTCAGCCGATAGCACAGGGAGGTGGCGGAAACAAGCTAGAGGCAGACTTTAGTGCACGGAAAGAAAGAGTATCAGCCGGGCGGAGTGGCTCATGCCTGTAATCCCAGCACTTTGGGAGGCCAAAGTGGGTGGATCACAAGGTCAGAAGATTAAGACCAGCCTGGCCAACACGGTGAAACTCCATCTCTACTAAAAGAAGAATAAATAAAAATTAGCCAGGCTTGGTGGTGCATTCCCATAATCCCAGCTACTCAGGAGGCTGAGGCAGGAGAACCCAGGAGGCTGAGGTTGCAGTGAGCCGAGATCATGCCACTGCACTCTGGCCTGGCCAAAGAGGGAGATTCCATCAAAAAGAAAAAAGAAAAGGAAGGGAAGGAAGGGCAGGGAAAGAAGAGGGGAGGGAGGGAGGAAGGGAGGGAAGGAAGGAAGGAAGGAGGGAGGGAGGGAGGGAGGGAAGGAAGGAAGGAAGGAGGGAGGGAGGGAGGGAAAGAAGGAAAAGAAAAAATGCAAGAGGGAGGGAGAGAAGGAAGGAGAAGGAAGGAAGGAAGGAAAGAAGGAAGGAATAAAAAATAAAAGAAAAGAATATAAAAGAGGGAGGGAGGGAAGGAAGGAAAGAATATTGCCTGGATTTCTGCAACAGCCTCTCTGCACTGACCCTTGACTGTTCACCTAATTGGATCCTCAACACACACCAAAAATCCTTTTAAAATAAGTCAGATCCGCTGGGCACGGTAGCTCACGCCTGTAATGCCACACTTTGGGAGGCCAGGGAGGGTGGATCACCTGAGGTCAGGAGTTTGAGAGCAGCCTGGTCAACATGGTGAAACTCCATCTCTACTAAAAATACAAAAATTAGCTCTGTGTGGTGGCAGGCACCTGTAATCCCAGCTACTCGAGAGGCTGAGGCAGGAGAATCACTTGAACCCAGGAGGTGGAGGTTGCAGTGAGCCGAGATCACACCACCGCACTCCAGCCTGGGAGACAGAACAAGATTGTGTCTCAAAAAATAAGTCAGACCAAGTCACTGCTCAAAATCTTGCAAAGGCTCCCCATTCACACAGAATAGAAAAGCCACAGTCCTGACAAGGGACTTCAAAGCTCTGTGTGATCTGCCTCTCATGAGGGTCTCAGCTCACCCTCTTCATCCCAGCCACATGACTCTTTGCTGTGCCTCAATCCCATCCTTCCTCAACAGCCCCACTGCTACCTCAGGGCCTTTGCACAGCTGGCCCCTCAGCCTGAAATGTCCTCCCCTACCCCCGACAGTTTTCAGGCCTCACTCCCTCACCTCTTCGAAGTTCCTGCTCAAATGTGTCCCGAATGTGACCTACTCTAACCAGCCTAGTTAAAATTGATAACTTGCCCGGGCACAGTGACTCCACACCTGTAATCCCAGCACTTGGGGAGGCCGAGGTGGGCAGATCACCTGAGGTCAGAAGTTCTGGACCAGCCTTGCCAATATGGTAAAACCCCGTCTCTACTAAAAATAAAAAAAATTAGCTGGGCGTGGTGGTACACACCTGCAGTCCCAGTTACTCAGGAGGCTGAGGTAGGAGAATCAATTGAACCTGGGCAGCAGAGGTTGCAATGAGCCAAGACTGAGCCACTGTACTCCAGCCTGGGTGACAAAGCAAGACTCTGTCTCAAAAATAAATAAATACATAAAGAACTGGTAACTCACGGCTGGGGGCGGTGGCTCATGCCTGTAATCCCAGCACTTTGGGAGGCCAAGGTGGGCAGATCACTTGAGGTGATCCTCCAGTCTCAGCTTCCCACAGGACGGCAATTACAGGTGTGAGCCACCACCTGGCTCCAGCTTTGCTCAGCTTTTTATTGTCCCAATAACGCCGCTCACCTTATCACTGTATTTACTTATCTGTTTTGGTAACTGTCCCCCGCTACCCTGCCCTACTCCTCCTTGTCCGTTTTGTATATTGGTGTATCTCAGGTGCCTAGGACAGCACCTGGCACACTGTAGGCACTCAGTATTTCTTGAATGAGTGAAGAATGAAAGGGGCTGGAGGTGATGGCTCATGCCTGAAATCCCTGCACTTTGGGAGGCTGAGGAAGGTGGATCACTTGAGGTCAAGAGTTTCAGACCAGCCTGGCCAACATGATGAAACCCAGTCTCTACCAAAACTACACAGATTAGCCAGGTGCAGTGGAATACACCTGCAGTCCCAGCTACTCAGGAGGCTGAGGCAGTAGGAGTGCTTAAACCCCGGAGGCAGAGGTTGCAGTGAGCCAAGATCGTGCCACTCCACTCCAGCGTGAATGACAGAGTAAGACTCTGCCTCAGAAAAAAGAGGAGTTGGAAGAGGAGGATGAGGAGGAGGAAGAGGAAGAGGAGGAGGAGGAAAGGTACCAGGGAAAGGAGATGAGCAACTGGCTGTGTTGGGTCTGCTAGGTAGAGCTTGCAGGACGGTGATGGGGAGGCTGGCTGGGTGCTTGGAATCGGCTTCCTGAGTGGAAGTTGAGCTGCTAAGAGGCTTGAAGCTGTAGGGAGTCATGCCAGACTGTCCCAGGGCAATTACGGTAGGGTGTGCGGCACTCAAAAGTCAAGGAACAGAAGCATGGCTGCTACTCACTGCCAGGGCTAGAGAAGTCGCCATCAGGCCCCACTCCTGGCTTTCCTGACGGCCCCTTCTTCTGAGTCCACTTGGCCCCGGAGGCAGTTGGGATCCAGGTCCAGCCACAGAGGTCATTTGGAATGTCAAAGCCGCATGTCTGCACCACACAGACTGAGAGGAAAGAAAGAAGGGAAGATATATGTATTTTTCTTTTTTAGCGACAGGGTCTCTGTCACCCAGGCTAGAGTGCAGTAGTGTGATCACAGCTCACTGTAGCTTGAATTCCTGGGCTCAAGCAATCCCCCTACCTCAGCCTCCCAAGTAGCTGGGACTACAGGTGTGCACCACCATGCCCAGCTAATTTTAAATTTTTTTGGCCAGGCACAGTGACTCATGCCTGTAATCTCAGCACTTTGGGAGGCTGAGGTGGGCGGATCACGTGAAGTCAGGAGTTCTAGACCAGCCTTGCCAACACAGTGAGACCCCATCTCTACTAAATATACAAAAATTAGCTGGGCATGGCTGCAGGCGCCTAGAATCTCGGCTACTTGTGAGGCTGAGGCAAGAGAATCAGTTGAACCCGAGAAGCAAAGGTTGTAGTGAGCCAAGATTGTGCCACTGTGCTCCAGCCTGGCTGACAAAAGCGAAACTCCATCTCAAAAAAAAAAAAAAAATTATATATATATATACATATTTTGTAGAGATGGGGTCTTACTATGTTGCCCCAGACTGATCTCAAACTCCTGGCCTCAAGCCATCCTCCCACCTTGGCCCCCTAAGGTGCTGGGATTACAGGTCTGAGCCACTGTGCTGGGCCGAGATCTCTTTCTCTTTAGGTGTGGCTGCTTCCAGAGTCAAAGTTGTGGAGGGCAGAGGCAGAGGAAGCAACCAGAATCCTGGCCCATGAGCTGCTCCTGCCACTCTGGGTTGTGCAAGGGTGGAGAGAAAAGGGTCCGAGGGCAGGTGGGAGGAGGAGGGACAGGGACTCACCGCGGTTGCAGGAGCCCCGGCGGACAGAGAGGGTGTCCAGGGCGATGTCCAGGTAGGCAGTGCTACCCCGTGTGCCTTCAAACATCAGCTGCAAGAGGAGGGTAAGGGGACCCTGGCCCCTAGTTTCCTTTCTGAATTCAGATGGCCTGGCCCCCACAATCCCCTTCTGCCACATCCCCAGCCCCAGAATCCCCAACACCCAGATTCCCCCCGAGGTCCCATGATTTGCCCCTGGCCTCACCCGGGTGGGCAGGGTGAACCCTGCAGGCACAGTGACACTAGTGGGCATCCAGGAGGGTCTCTGGGTGTTCCTGTGTTTCCAGAGCACGTGGGGGCGGTGGCCCTGTTCACCCAAGAGCTGCAGCAGCCTGAGCTGGGCACCCCAAGACAGTCCAAACATGCGGTAGGCGAAGCGCACGCAGAGGGGTCCTCGCTCCCACAGGTCAGGGCTGCGCAGGCGGGCCACTCCGCCCCGGTGAAAGTTGTTCGATTCCATATGCAGATAGCTGCCCTCTGCGGGAGGCAGAACCCATGACCCTAAGGCCCAGCCACCCCCGAGGGCTGCCCCCACCTATCCACTTCTCTTGCCACCCCTACCTACCAGCCACCTCCCTGCTCACTGACCCAAGTGCCTCACCTCCATTCGGGTACCCCCCAGGGGGCCCAGTGGTGCCGGCAGGAGAGGGCCCACTGGCTCGAACCCAGTCTCCGTCATCTGCAGACACTTGGGACCAGTCACAGAGGGGTTTGGTGTCATCTTCAAAATCACACTGGGTAAGGACGTCTAGGAAGAATGGGTCACTGAGGTTTCAGAGAGGGCAGGGAGAGTGCCCAGAGTCACATGGGGAGATGGAAGTAGCAAGATTGCTAAGCTTAGAGAAAGCTACCACAAAACTAGCCGGGTGTGGTGGCGCACACCTGTAGTCTCAGCTACTCGGGAGGCTGAGGCAGGAGAATCGCTTGAACCTGGGAGGCGGAGGTTGCAGTGAGCCCAGATCGAGCCACTGACCTCCAACCTGGGCAGGAGATTGAGACTCCATCTCAAAGAGAGAGAGAGAGAGAGAGAGAGAGAGAGAGAAGGCCGAGTGCAGTGGCTCACACCTGTAATCCCAGAACTTTGGGAAGCTAAGGCAGGTGGATCACGATGCCAGGAGTTTGAGATCAGCCTGACCAACACAGTGAAACCCCATCTCCCCTAAAAATACAAAAACTAGTGCTCACTTCGGCAGCACATGTACTAAAATTGGAACAATACAGACAAGATTAGCACGGCCCCTGCACAAGGATGACACGCAAATTCGTGAAGTGTTCCATATATTTTTTTTAAATATATACAAAAATACAAACATTAGCCCAGTGTGGTGGTGCACACACATAATCCCAGCTACTCGAGAGGCTGAGGCAGCAGAATTGCTTGAACCCAGGACAGGGAGATTGCAGTGAGCCGAGGTCATGCCACTGCACGTTAGCCTGTGCGAGAGGGGGAGACGCTGTCTCAAAAAGAAAAGAAAAGAAAAGAAAAAGCTGTCTTTGGAATTGGAGTCCAGAGACTGTTCATTTTTTGTAGAGACGAGGTCTCCCTATGTTGCCCAGGCTGTTCTCAAATTCCTGGCCTCAAGCCATCCTCCCACCTCAGCCTCCCTAAGTGTTGGGATTACAGGTAGGAGCCACAGTGCCCGGCCCAGGCAGAGATTTGAAAGAATCTTTTAGGAGAAATCTGGGGCTAGGAGAATGGACGAAATGACAAGGTCAGGGGTTATGAACTGAGGTTGGAGGACTGGACTTGGCCTGCCAGGACCCATTTTGTAGTTCTGGCTGACGCTCGGAGGGGACTGGAAATGGCCGCTCCTGGGCTAGGAACTCAGGGACTGGCGTTCTGGTGCACAATGTGGGTTCTGAGGGGGGAGAAGAAATCTTAGCACTCCTGGTTTCCAACTCACCATTGTCCCCAGAGCTGTGAACGCCCAGCTTCTGATCCAGAGGCTTCCCTCTCCTTGGGGGTGGTTGGGAGAAAGAAAAATGCAACCTTGGTCATTGTCAAGAGTTATAAGACTCAGTGATTTTAAGTTTTCTGAGTGGTCACGTAAGAATGACCAGTGTTTATGCAGTGCACGTATGTAACTTGACTTTTTCTCTTTTTCTTTTTTTTTTCCCAGCACCCAGACTGGAGTACAATAGCGCAATCACAGCTCACTGCAGCCTCACACCTCTGAACTCCAACAATCCTCCCACCTCCCAAGTAGCTGGGACTACAGGAGCATGCCACCACGCCCAGCTAATTTATTTTTAGTTTTTGTAAAGATGGGGTCTTTCTATGTTGTGCAGGCTAATCTTGAATGCCTGGCCTCATGCGATCCTCCCACCTCGCCCTCCCAGACGGCTGGGATTACACTGCGCACAGCCGTCCTCTTTCTGTCGTTGAAGTTCGACTTGTCTGAATCCTCCCAAACACAGTGCAGGACACCAAGGCATGCACCATTTTTTTCTTGTGAGACCGAGTTTTGCTGTGGTTGAACAGGCTGGCGTGCAATGATGTGGTCTCGGTCACCGCAACCTCTGCCTCCCAGGTTCAAGTGATTCTCCCGCCTCAGCCTTCCAAGTAGCTGGGAGTACAGGCATGAGCTCCCATGTATTTTTAGTAGAGATGGGGCTTCACAACGTTGGTCAGGCTGGTCTTGAACTTCTGAACTCAGGTGATCTGCCCACCTAGGCCTCCTGAAGTGCTGGGATTACTGGCCCGAGCCACTGTGCCTGGCCTGACAGCCATTATTTCTTTGCTTCCTTGTACTTGAAGTCTCTCTCGTCAGCCGGGTCTACCCTGGGTCTTGCCCATTTCCTGAGGGCCTGACCCCTCCTATCCTTCTCTCCTAGCCTTAAATCTGTCTTCCAGCTCTACACCTCCTTTGTCCCTCCTCACATTGCAGCCCTGTCCTGCTCCTAGAACCCAATCCTTAATTCCAGGCTCTGGGGCTGTGCAGCTCTCCCCATTCCTGTTCATTGGTCAAGATCAACCTCTTTCCATCCCACTGGGCTCCCACCTTCTTCTTCAGGTCTTTTTTTTTCTTTTTTTTTGAGATGGTGTCTCACTCTGTCTCCAGGCCAGGCTGGAGTGTAGTGGTGCGATCTCAGCTCACTGCAACCTCCACCTCTGGGTTCAAGTGATTCTCCTGCCTCGGCCTCCCAAGTAGCTGGGACTACAGGTGCACATCACCACGCCCAGCTAATTTTTGTATTTTTTTTTTTTTGAGTCAGAGTCTTGCTCTGTCACCCAGGCTGGAGTGCCATGGCATGATCTCGGCTCACTGCAACCTCTGCCTCCTGGGTTCAAGCGATTCTCCTGCCTCAGCCTCCCCAGTAGCTGGGATTACAGGTGTGCACCACCAAGCCCAGCTAATTTTTGTATTTTTAGTAGAGGCAGGCTTTCACCATGTTGGCCAGGCTAGTCTCAACTCCTGAGCTCGTGGCTGGTCTCAAACTCCTGACCTCATGATCCATCTCCCTTGACCTCCCAAAGAGCTGGGATCACAAGTGTGAGCCACTGCACCTGGCTAATTTTTATATTTTTTGTAGAGATGGGTTTTCACCATGTTGGCCAGGATGGTCTCAATCTCTTGACCTATGATCTGCCTGCCTCGGCCTCCTGAGGTGCTGGGATTGCGAGCATGAGCCACCGCACCCGGCCACTCTCCAGGTCTTTTGTAGTTAGTCTGCTCACCCCCTCCAGTTCTGCCCTTCCGTATTCTTTACAGCCACTCTCAACTTACCCCAGTTTATCATTACCCCCTGGGCCCAGCTTACCTGAGATGGGCAGGCGTGTGACCCTGACCCCAGGCAGCCCCCACCAGCAGCACCAGAGTCCAGACTGGAGGAGCCATGAGGAACCTCAACGGTAGCTCTCAGAGAAGAGGGGAAGGGCACAATCAGGAGCCCAGACCACTTTTATATGCCCCTGACCTCCCTAGCTTGGCATCCTTCCAGAGAAACACAGAAAGCTCTGGGAAATTAAAACTGTAACAGCTGAAATTTACCTTCCAGTAGAAGCGTCTTAGATTGAAATCAAGGGAAATAAACTAGAGCAAAGGAAAGAAAGAGAAAGAAAGAAAAAGAAACAGGTTTGGAGGATCAATCTAGGGAGTCTAACCTCAAACAAAAGTTCAAAAAGAGAACAAAGAGAAGAAATTATTATTTTAAAAAGAAAAACACACAAGAAAATGTCCAGAGCTGAAATATATGAGTCTCTAGATTAAAAAGGTATCTAGGATGGTAAATGCACAGAGACCCCTGGAACGACTGGATTTCAGAATATCAGGGGTAAAGAGAAGATCCGAAACACTTTCAGAAAGAAAATAACAGGTCATATACCAAGGATCAGAAATCAACATGGCACCCGGCTTCTCACTAGCAACCATGGAGTCTCAGAGGCAGTGGAACATTGTCTACAGAATTCCAACAGAAAACCATTTCAAACCTAAAATTCTATAACTGGCAACAATGGCAACTGGAGAGTTACGTGAAGAAAGGACTGCAAATGGTGGGACATGGTGGCTCACACCTGTAATCACCTGAGGTCAGGAGTTTGAGGCCAGCCTGGCCAACATGGTGAAATCCCACCTCTACTAAAAATACAAAACATTAGGCAGGCATGGTGGCACATACTCATAATATCACGTACTCAGGAGGCCGAGGCACGAGAATCACTTGAACCTGGTAGGCAAAGGTGCAGTGAACCGAGATCGCGCCTCTGCACACCAGTCTGGGTGACAGAAACTCCATAAAAAAACAAAAAAAGGAAAGGAGAAAAGAAAAGAAAAAAATAAAGAAAAGAAAGAACAGAAGAACGAACTGCAAATGCCTATTGGCAAATCACTGAGAAAGGTCACAGAGGAAGAGGCACAAACAGCCAGCAAACATTTCAAAACATGTTCTGCTTCACTAGCAATAAGGGAAATGCTAACCAAAACTATGACTCGAATATTGATCAAAAAAAAAAAAGAATTGTTTTGAGACAGGGTCTCATTCTGTCACCCAGGATGGAATGCAGCCTCACAATCTTGGCTCACTGCCGCCTCAACCTCCCGGGCTCAGGTATCTTCCCACCTTTGTCTCTGGAGTAGCTGGGACTACCAGCACGAGCCACCAAGCCCAGCTAATTTATTTTATTTTATTTTATTTTTTTTTTTTGAGACAGAGTTTCACTCTTGTTCCCCAGGCTGGAGTGCAATGGTGCGATCTCGACTCACCGCAACCTCCGCCTCCTAGGTTCAGGCTATTCTCCTGCCTCAGCCTCCCGAGTAGCTGGGATTACAGGCACGTGCCACCATGCCCATCTAATTTTTTTTGTATCTTTAGTAGAGATGGGGTTTCACCATATTGACCAGGATTGTCTCATTCTCTTGACCTTGTGATCCACCTGCCTCGGCCTCGCAAAGTGCTGGGATTACAGGCTTCAGACACTGAGCCCGGCCAGTCCAGCTAATTTTTGTATAGTGTTTGTATAATGTTTGCCCAGGCTGGTCTCAAACTCCTGGCTCAAGTGATCTGCCTGCCTTGGCCTTCCAATGTGCTGAAATTATAGGCATGAGCCACTGTGCCCAACCAAGAAAAATTTGAAAGGTTGGTGGTACGGAATATTGGACAGGATGCATGTGGACACGAACTCAGTGATGATAAGACTGCAGGCTGGTGGCCAGGTGCTGTGGCTGGTAATCCCAAGTGCTTTTTGGAGGCCAAGACAGCAGGACTGCTTGAGACCTGGGCAAAACAGTGAGACCCTGTCTCTACAAAAAAATTTAAAAATTAACCAAGCATGGCAGTATGCGCCTGTAGGTCCCAGCTAGCTGGGAGGTTGAAGTGGAAAGACCCAGGCATTTGAGGCTGCAGTGAGATATGATCATGCCACTGCACCCTGGCCTGAGCAACAGAGAGAGACCCTGTCTCAAAACAAAACAAAAAAAGAATGTCGGTGAAAACCTTTATTTTCTTTTTTAGGACAGTCTCACTCCGTTGCACAGGCTGGAGTGCAGTGGCGCTATCACAGCTTTCTGCAGTCTTAACCTCCCAGGCTCAAGCAGTCCTCCCCCTCAGCCTCCTGGGGCTTAACCTCCCAGGCTCAAGCAGTCCTCCCCCTCAGCCTCCTGGGGCTTAACCTCCCAGGCTCAAGCAGTCCTCCCACCTCAGCCTCCTGGGGTTTAACCTCCCAGGCTCAAGCAGTCCTCCCCCTCAGCCTCCTGGGGCTTAACCTCCCAGGCTCAAACAGTCCTCCCCCTCAGCCTCCAGGGGCTTAACCTCCCAGGCTCAAGCAGTCCTCCCCGTCAGCCTCCTGGGGCTTAACCTCCCAGGCTCAAGCAGTCCTCCCACCTCAGCCTCCTGGGGCAGCTGGGATTACAAGTATAAGCCACCAGGGCTAGCTAATTTTTGTTGTTGTTGTTTTTTTTTTTTTTTTCCTCGCTTTTTATTTTAGAGACAGGGTCTCACTATGTTGCCCAGGCTGGTCTCAAGCTCATGGGCTACAGTGATCCACTTGCCTCAGCCTCCCAAAGTGCTGAGATTACAAACAAGAGCCACCGTGCCCTGCCAGTGAAAACTTCTTAGAAGGCATTTCTTTTCTGTTTTTTTTGTTTTGTTTGTTTGAGGAGGACTCTTGCTCTGTCACCCAGACTGGAGAGCAATGGCACAATCTGGGCTCACTGCAACCTCTGCCTCCTGGGTTCAAGCAATTCTGCCTCAGACTCCTGAGTAGCTGAGATTACAGGCATGTGCCACCACACCCAGCTAATTTTTGTATTTTTAGTAGAGACGGGGTTTCTCCATGTTGGTCAGGCTGCTCTCAAAGTCCTGACTTCAGGTGATCCTCTGCCTTGGCCTCCCAAAGTGCTTTGATTACAGTGTGAGCCATTGCGCCCATTCCCAGAAAACTTTTTTTTTTTTTTTGAGCCAGAGTTTTGCTCTTGTTACCCAGGCTGGAGTGCAATGGTGCGATCTCGGCTCACCGCAACCTCCGCCTCCTGGGTTCAGGCAATTCTGCCTCAGCCTCCTGAGTAGCTGGGATTACAGGCATGCGCCACCATGCCCAGCTAAGTTTTTGTATTTTTAATAGAGACGGGGTTTCACCATGTTGACCAGGATGGTCTCGATCTCTTGACCTCATGATCCACCTGCCTCGGCCTCCCAAAGTGCTGGGATTACAGGTGTGAGCCACCGCGCCCGGCCTCCCAGAAAACTTCTTAGAAGGCATTTGACAATAACCATTGAACTGTCAAATGTGTCTATCTTTGACCTACCATTTCCTTTCTAGGAATCTTGCTACAGAAATACATGTACTTTGCACAAATTTGTGCCTACCTAAAGATGTTAATTGCAACATTGTTTACAACAAGAAAAGTTATCGTGATAAATATTTATCAGTAGGTATGTGATTAGATCATATTAAGAAATATGGTTGGGAACGGTGGCTCACTCCTGTAATCTCAGCACTTTGGAAGCCCAAGGCAGGAGGATTGCTTGAACCCAGGAGTTCAAGACCAGCTTGGGCAACATAGTGAAACCTCCCCCTCTACTAAAAATACAAAACTTATCTAAGCATGGTGGTGTGCACCTGTAGTTCCAGCTACTCAAGAGGCTGAGGTGGGAGGGTCGCCTAAGCCCAGGAGTTCAAGGCTGCCGTGACCTATGATGGCACAACTGCACTCCAGCTTGTGCAACACAAGGAGATCCTGTTTCTAAAAACAAATAAAAGAGCATAGTGACTCACGCCTATAATCCCAGCACTTTGGGAGGCTGAGGCAGGTGGATCACAAGGTCAGGAGTTCGAGACCAGTCTGGCCAACATAGTGAAACCCCATCTCTATTAAAAAAAAAAGAAAAGAGGCCAGGCGTGGTGGCTCACGCTTGTAATCCCAGCACTTTGGGAGGCTGAGGTGGGTGGATTACCTGAGGTCAGCAGTTCCAGACCAACCTGGCCAACATAGTGAAACCCCGTCTCTATTTAAAAAAAAAAAGAAAAGAAAAAAGAAAGCCCTTTGCAGTCCCCGGGACACCTTCTGCCCAAATGAGGCTGAAGGGCCTCACCGTGGAATGCCAACAGAGTGCAGACAGGGGTCAGATCTGAGGACAGAGAGCCCTTCTGCCTGTTTATGTCAGAGCTGGGGGTATCAAGGGTCTCCATCCCAGGCCCTTGTCCACCCCTCCTCCATATCAGGTTAGCAGAAGAATCAACAGAGGGGCCAGGGCCAGGAAATGGTTGATCTAGGGAAGAGCAGCAGAAGACACTGATCACAGCCCTTCCTGTTGGACAATAAATCCCCCGACGGCTGCTTTTGCTGACCTCCCTTTGGGACCACAGAGCTGAGGTCACAGCTCCCAATCGTCTGCAGGTGGGAGTGGGGAGCTGAAGCCAGGACAGGAAAGTGGGGCAGGACCATTGGGGCCTATATTTTAGGGAGCCAGGAACCAGCAAGATCCCAGGGACTGGCAACCTTGACAAGACTGGCAGCTCTTCCACAGGTGTGGAAAAGCCCTGGAGAGAACTGGAGCCGGGTCCGAAATTGACTGTGTGTCTTTGGGCACTTTTTTCACCCTCTCTGTGTCTTAGTTCCTTCCTCTGTAAGACTGGGGAGGAGGCTCAATCAGCACACCAGGGATTTTTTAAAGCCAGAAATCTATGATGTCGGCCGGGTGCCATGGCTCATGCCTGTAATCCCAACAATTTGGGAGGCCAAGGCCGTTGCATCACCTGAGGTCAGGAGTTCGAGATCAGCCTTGCCAACGTGGTGAAACCCCATCTGTACTAAAAAATACAAAAATTAGCTGGGCATATTGGGACTTGAATAGCTGGGAGTCCACGCTATTCAGGAGGCTGAGGCAGAAGAATCACTTGAATCCTGGAGGTACAGGTTGCAGTGAGCTGAAATGGCACCATTGCCTTCCAGCCTGGGCAACAGAGTGAGACTGTCTCAAAATATAATAATAATAGAAGAAAGAAATAGACAACTATGTGTGGCAGTCACTTTTTTTTTCTTTTTGAGACAGCGTCTGGCTCTGTCACCCAGGTTGGAGTGCAGTGGCCCGATCACAGATCACTACGGTCTCAGCCTCTCAAGTAGCTGGAACTACAGCCTACTTTTTAGTAGCTCAGCTAATTTTTAAAAACATTTTTTATCAAGATGGGGTCTCGCTATGTTGACTAGGCTGGTCTCGAACTACCAGCCTCAACTGATCCTCCCACCTTGGCCTCCCACAGTGCTGGGATTACAGGTGTACACCACCGTGCCTGGTCAGGTAATTTTTCTTGTTGTTGTTGTTTTGCCCTTGTTGCCCAGGCTGGAGTGCAATGGCGTGATCTTAGCTCACTGCAACATCCGCCTCCCGGGTTCAAGCGATTCTCCTGCCTCAGTCTCCCGACAAGCTGGGATTACAGGTGCCCACCACCACACCCAGCTAATTTTTGTATTTTTAGTAGAGACCGGGTTTCCCCATGTTGGTCAGCCTGGTCTCTGCAAGGCTCTATTTTCGGTTCAAATCCTGAGAGCGCGCCAAGGAACAACTCACTGTTTTAATGAGCGCCTGGGTACAGACGGGCTGAGGCCCAAAATGGCGTCAGCCCCAAGTGAGGACGGGGCAGGGGTTTTAAAGCAAAGAACTATAAAATTAGCTGGTGGTGCGCACCTGCAGTCCCAGCGATTCAGGAGGCCGAGGCGTGTTTGCACTCCTGTAAACAGGAAGCGTCCCAGTCTGATGTAACTGCTACGTCGATCTTCACGGGGTACGTGTCTTCCAGACTATACACCTTCAGGGGGCACATGTCTTCTGGCCTCTCTCCAGATCTTCAGGGGGCACGTGTCTTCCGGCCTATCTCTCCATCTTCAGGGGGCACAAGTCTTCCGGCCAGGTCTGTTCCGGTTTCTGCTCTCTGGATGACGCACGCTGCTGGCGGAAGGGAGGAGTTACTCATCCCCCCCAAGCTTTCAGGCCCCGGGGAGAATCTTTCCGTCTCGAACTCCTGACCGCCCAACTTGGCCTCCGCCCACATTCGCCTCCCAAAGAGCTGGGATAACAGGCGGGAACCATCGCGCCCAGCTCTGCCATTTTTAATAGTCAATTTTTTTTTTTTTTTTTTTTTTTTTTTTGAGACGGAGTTTCACTCTTGTGACCCAGGCTGGAGTGCAATGGCGCGATCTCGGCTCACCGCAACCTCCGCCTCCCGGGTTCAGGCAATTCTCCTGCCTCAGCCTCCTGAGTAGCTGGGATTACAGGCGCGCGCCATCATGCCCAGCTAAGTTTTTTTGTATTTTTAGTAGAGACGGGGTTTCACCATGTTGACCAGGATGGTCTCTATCTCTTGACCTCGTGATCCACCCGCCTCGGCCTCCCAAAGTGCTGGGATTACAGGCGTGAGCCACTGCGCCCTGCCATAACCAGTATTTTTTAATAAAGAAGGGAGTTTAGGCTGGGCATGGTGGCTCACGTCAGTAATCCCAGCATTTAGGGAGGCCGAAGCGGGCAGATCAAGAGGTCAGAAGTTCAAGACTAGCTGGACCAAAATGGTGAAACCCCATCTCTACTGAAAATACAAAAACTACCTGGGCGTAGTGGTGCATGCCTGTAATCCTTGCTACTCAGGAGGGTGAGGCAAGACAATCGCTTGAACCTGAAAAGTGGAGGTTGCAGTGAGCTATTGAGCCATTGAACTCCAGCCTGGGCAACAGAACCAGACTGTGTCTCAAAAAAAAAAAAAAAAGAGACATTTGGGCATGACTCCCATAAGCTGGGAAACTATACTACTGTCTGCCTTTTTTTGTTGCCAACATTGTTCACAATGCCACAGTTTTATGATGGAATTTTAGTCGAGTTAGCGTTGACCAGCCTGAAATAATATAATTAGCATCCAGCTTAGATTCCAGTGTCCGTAAGACCCGGTTTAGCTGCCGCAACCCCAGCAACAAGCCCTGCTGTGGTGAGATCACCAGACTCAGTAGTTCCAGTAGAATCCCAGGTGACCTGCGAGGTGGGGACAGGTCTTTGTTCAGCCTGATGCTGCAGGGGACTGAATGGGAAGGAGTGGGTAGCAGAAGACGGACAGGCCTTGCTGACCACAGCGGTTCCGTCCACTCCATCTCTTCTTTCCTCTCCCTGG